GTTGTTTTGCACGTTCTATTTTCTTCTTAAATCGTCTGCGAAAAATTGTCACCCCTATATTAAAAAAATGTTTAGAATTTTGCAGTAGGGTCGTTGTTTTGCTACTCCCTATAGTTTGTAATCGTTTTTACCCTCTCACCTATTGTTTTTCGCAAATTCCTCGACTTTCTCTACTACCTATACTCGCTCTCATCTATCATCCCCCTACCCCCCGTAGACCTTTTGAATTTCGACGTTTTCACCTAACCTAACCTGACTCTGACTAGTTCTCCCAATTTCTACGCCTCCCCTATCAGTTTTGAATTTTTTCTAGTATTTTCCCGTGCTGTGCGCTCCCGTCCCGAGTGCGCATAGACACTACACACTTGTTCCCTGTCGGGCACTTGGTGCGAAATTTGCCTTTGCTCAGCTCCCTTCAAAACAATAGATCATAGAGAAAATTTTTTTCTAAGAAGCCACGGCTTTTCTTTAGTTCGTTCTGGTAGGGTCGTCGTGTTTGGGGTCGTTGTGCTACTCCTAGTTTCGTTTTTTTGCAATACCTTCTACCCTCCCCTAAATGCAAAATAGTTTAATAGTTTCTAAGATCTCAGTGCTTTTCGTCGAATTTTCTTCTGGTTGTTTTTCCCTCGCTTCTAGCTTCCCCTGAACGTTCTCTCACCGTTCAATTTTCTGTTTTTTCATTCTCCCTACTCGCTTGACATCTTTCCCTCCGCTCTCACCCCGTCCCCCTACCCCCGTAAACCCTTAATATCGGATTCGGAATTTTTCTAGCTCACAATTTTCCCGTACCCCCCTATGGAATGGTAAGGCGTCTATCCTACAAGGCCACTACACTTGTCCCTAACCCGCTTCCTATTTTGCCCGCCCACCCGCTCGACCCGCCCTTTTTTTCTGACTCGATAAGGTGGAAATTTTCGGGACTAATTTTCATATTTTCATTTCACAAAATCGATAGTACAGTGTGCTGTATAACCCTCTCCGTCACATGGCCCCCTCCTGCGCTCTCGATTCTCCTTAACTTATAACTAACAACAAAAGCTGTCTGTCTAGGTCCTCGCATTATAACGCATCCTATAAATCGAGGCCTATTGAGCAAAACATGCCCTACGGGAATTAAATCATCCACACTACAGAATCCTCAATGCCTCTAAGACATCCAAACCTTCTGCTCCTGAGGTCTCGACACGCCCCTCGTGACGTGCAATCCAACGCTGTCCGGGGACCTTCTTCAAAGCTCTGCGTAACTCCAATCACCGGATGGGTAACCAATCCCTTCAGCCCAATTGACGCAATCGCCATGGCAGCCTCCGATCCCTCTCCCTGTCCTCGATAAACCGATATATCTACCTATCCCAACCCTCTCCTCTGCTGATATGTCCCCAGATAGAATCCTAATTGCAGACAGTGCGGCCCTACAACCGCACCGATCGTCCTGAGTACCCATGTGGTGTCCCAGATTCTGGTCTCAAAGAAGAAAGGCGAGTAGGTAAAAAACGTACAAAACCTCACCTATCACCGCAGAACAGGTCTCTGACTTGACCTCTCTACCACATGCTGTCACCTCGCTCGGGTTGTCAGAGTTACTCGCGGCGCCCTTTGAAACCAAAGTGTCACTACACAAAGCAAGAACTTTATATCTCGCGCTCCTTCGGGAGCCACAGCCATGGAGGCATGGGCATCTTCAACGATTGTCACCCGGTGCCTTGCGGCGCTTCCTGCTCTGCTGCGCCGAAGCCTGCGAGCTGCGGGGGGAGAACCAATGCCATCACTTCTGTTCCGAGACCGACTATCCGGACTCTCGGTGTTGCAGGCTTCTCACCTGCATGCGAGAGGAGATAAGAGAGAGACCCGACCCGCGTGGCGCTCACCTATCCCACCGATCTCTGCCTCCGACACTGCCGTCGCATAGGCGGCGCCCGCCTCGCTGTCCCCAGCCACTTACAGCCGTGGGAACCCTCCGGGGAGAAAACTCTCCAAGCACTGAAGAAGACTTCGACCTGCGCAGTCACGCTATGACCCACGCCCTATAGTTACGCCCAAAAGTTCAGTGGCGGAACTATAAATGCGTTCGAGGCTAGCATCTCCTCTAAAGAGGTACGCAGCAATTTGAACTTGCACTGTCATGAGTGCAGGTAATCACGCGCCATAGCAAACTCGTTCGAAGTTCGCGACACGATTCGATGCGATGATGTTTTATCGACTGTCGACTTCCAATGCCACATCCGTCACTGCTGAAAATTCAACAAATCTCACGAAAATCAAGCCAAATGCTCATCTTGGCCAAGGTAGCACTCCCGACCCCCATGACGGGCTACAAGATAATGTTTCAGCCTCGAACTCAACAACTTGAGGCTGTTCAATTCCAGTTCAATTCAATCCCAATCGTGGCAACGCTGTTCTCCAGCGTCCCCGGACTATGGAGAGCGGCCACCGCCGTAGGAGAGAGAGTTCGAGTGGACTCAGCAAATTTCTCTCGCGTTTATACAATGCCTTTCTCTGCACTTCCGGACGACATGAAATCGCGCTTTGCGCCTAACGAGACTGACGTTGCGCACATTGTGCAGAGGAAGTTCTCACACACCGACAGTGACTGCCCGCAAATAGCACGCCCAAATGTATAAACGTCGCGCCGAATAACTCCAGATATCAGACTGAAAATAATACGTCAAACACAAGGCCACATCATATTCATGCCCCGTAGTCATCACTAAAAAAGGCGAATAACTCCCCCGAAATCCAATTTTATGGACTATAATTAATCAAGGTTATCCAATGCAATTTAGATCGTTCCAAAGGCGCTTTATTGGAGTTTACTCGCTTTTTCGTGGCCGGCGAGTACTCCATTGCTTTGGTTTCTGAGCCGTACGTCGACTCGACCAATCTTGTCAAATCCATCCCAGGGGTACAAATATTTCAATTCCCTAATGCCTCATCTGATAGAATTAAGGCTTGCATATTTGTTAAAGAGGGCATCCCCTGTTTTAGCGCTTTAGGCTTCACCCAATACTCCTCGCCCAATCTGTCTGTAGTGCAATTAAAAATTAGAGCGACGCCACTGTTTATAGTATCGGCCTATGTAGAGCCAGACGCTGACAACCTGAGTACAATCGAGCGTCTTGACGTTTTCCTCACCGGCATTGGCGATTCTCGCTGCGTCGTGGGTGGTGACTTCAATGGTTGGCATCCCATTTGGGGCAGCGAGAGAGCTAACGCCAGAGGTAGTGCACTCACCGATCTGGCACATGGACACGACTTCTTTTTCTGCAACACCGGAGTGACACCCACATTTGAGACCACACTCATGGCAGACACAGGACATCCATCAATGATATAACAATGGCCTCGGCATCCACCGTTGATTGGATCGAAAATTGGGCGGTCAATCTCGAAGCATGTCCTATCTCTCAGCATAACGCAGTCGTTTTTGATATTCATGCACGTTGTGACCGACACTACGGAGGTAACAACGCGCATTCCACCTTCAGGTACAAGAGTCATAAAGCAAATTGGGTCAAATTCAAAACTGAACTTCACACACTTATGACTAACACAGATCTTCTCGATATCCCCATATCCAGTCTGGATGCATACGGATTGGAAAGCTTTGTGGACAGGATCACTGAAATTATACATGCGGCTTGCAAGGAATCCATGCCTCCCAAGGGACCCGGCGGTCGTTACAGACCTCCCTGGTGGACCGACGCACTGGAAAGTCGAAAGGCTGAAGTCATCGGTCTCCATCGTCGGCTTCATGCTGCCAGACACCGCTCTCCCCAGTCGCAGGACGAAATCGACCTCCTATCTCAGGAAACCCAAGCCAAACGCACCCTGTATGCGCAAGAGCTCAGAGATGCATCGACGGCTAACTTCCGCGAATTCTGCAATCGTCAGTGCAAAGAGAATGTCTGGTCCCTGACCAATCGTCTCCTCAAGGAAACTGCACCTCGGCGTCCCCCTATCACTCTTAAACTCGGTAGAGAGCACACCACTGATGCGCAACAAACCGCCAAGGTCCTACTTGACCACTTTTATCCTGATGATACACTTGATTCCTCCCCTAGACACCATGACCTCAGACAACGTACCAACGACCTGCCTGACACCCCTGACGAACCCCCTTTCGTTGTCGAAGAAGTACTGGAAACTCTCAAAACGATGAATCCTAAAAAAGCGCCTGGTTTGGACGGCTTGACCTCCGATATATACATGCAATTTGCCTTGGCATACCCCAATCTCATCACGGACATTCTTAATCGTTGTCTTGAGTTGCAGTACTTTCCTAGACAATGGAAGAAAGCATTTGTCAAAATCATCCCTAAACCAAATAAGTCCGACTATAGCGATCTTTCTTCTCACCGCCCCATTGGTCTGTTGTCTGTGCTCGGTAAGTTGCTAGAGAAGCTACTCATAAAGCGGGTTACATTTGCTGCTGGAATTGCGGGCAAATTAAATAACAGGCAGTTCGGCTTCAAAGAGCAAACCAACACCACAGCAGCACTGTCCACAGCTCTTGATGTTATTCACTCCGCTAAACAAAATAAGGAATTGGTGATCGCCGTTTCCTTGGATATCAAGGCGGCTTTCGACAATGCTTGGTGGCCAGCGCTTTACGGCCTTCGTCGCATCGGCTGTCCCAAGAACATCTTCGGTCTCATCGGCAGCTACTTCCAGGATAGGGAGGTAGTCCTGAACTACGGGGATGAGCGCGCCACCAAGTCTTTGACGAAGGGCTGCATCCAGGGATCTATGTGGCCCTAATGTAGAATATAATCCTAGACGAGCTACTCGATATCCAACTACCACGAGGTTGTCACATCCAGGCTTTCGCCGACGATGTACTCCTCGTGGTACATAGCGCTAGAATTGAGGAGTTACAGAGGCTCACCAACACCGCGCTACTCAAAATTATTGAGTGGGGCCATAGCGTAAAACTGACTTTTAGCCCCTCAAAAACGCACGCTATTGCTTTCACACCTAAAGCCAAAGGAGCCACCATCAGAATGGCAGACACCGCTCTCCCTTTCGTGAGAGAGCTTAAGCTTCTCGGGGTCACACTGGATGAAAAACTGTCATTTAATAGGCATGTACAGCTCACCATCGACAAAGCCACGCGCATATTCAACAGACTCTGTCTCTTCTGTCGTCCCACTTGGGGAGCCCACCCCGAAAATGTCAGAACTATATACCAGCACGTCGTCGAGCCTATCATCACGTATGCTGCTGGTGTATGGGGGCAAGCGGCTCTTAAGAAAGGTATCAAGAGGAGACTGTTGAGTATGCAGCGAGGATTTGCGATTCGAATTATTAGGGCGTTTAGGACTGTGTCCACTACTGCAGCGATCGCGTTAGCAGAACTCACTCCTTGACCTTAAAGTTCTCGAAGTTCATCACCTGAGCAAACGCGACTCACAGGATCTACGCATCTTCTGCGCAGTGATTTGTCTCTTGATCGTCCCACCCCGCCTCATAAGTTACTCCACCCTGCTGTCAGAGTCTCCATCACTTCGCTTCCTTATTCATCTCTCACCACTTCACAGTCATCCCTCACCATTTATACAGATGGAAGTAAGCTGGAGAATTCTGACACCGGGGCCGCTTTCGTCGCATATTCGGAAAATAAGCAAATCGCTGTTAAGAAGTTCAAACTCCATCGGTCCTGCTCGGTCTTTCAGGCCGAGCTTCTCGCCATCCTCAAAGCCTGCACGTGGGCTAACTCGTTTCATCCACATTCACACATCACCATAATAACCGACTCCCAAGCGGCCCTTGCCGCATTGCGAGATCGGAGCAACACGCACCCTCTGGTCTCACAAACTCACGCACAAATCCATTCGCGTACATCCGGTTCGTTGAGCTTCGTATGGGTCAAGGGACATATAGGCGTAGACGGGAACGAGGCGGCCGACTCCGCGGCGAAATACGCTGCCGCCTCGCACTCCTCTTTATCCTACGCTTCATATCCCATGTCTTTTGTCAAGCATAACATCCGCGCTGAACATAACCGCATATGGCAAGCAAGATATGAGAGCTCATCTCAAGGTCGTCATACGATTTCTCTTCTCCCTAAATTAACTGACATCACCAGATTTAGACAGCTAGTCAAAACTTCCTTTCATATTACCCAAATATTAACAGGACATGGCTATACAAAGCAATACTTGCATCGCTTCAATATAGCCGCTGACGACGCTTGTCCCTGTGATGATTCTACTACGCAGACTTTTGAACATCTTCTAGAATACTGCCCCAGATTTAGCCCGAAGAGACTAAATCATGTCTTGCTTTGCAACAATCTAAGATTGCCCCCATTTTTAACATATTAGAATTGTTAAAACACGAATCGGCCATCAGTTCATTCGACACTTTTGCAAAACACATTATCACCAACCTTAAAGCTTTCAACGGCCAACTAAGATCATGACAGACTACTTGCGTCCACTAATTAATTAATATTACCTCACCTTCACAAGTCTTCAACTCCCACTAGTACATTTATCACACTCGCCTCACCTCCATTCCATTGTCCGTGTATATAGTTGTCAATTCATCATTACCACATTCATCATCATCAATTCACCTTGTTCCCCCATTGACATTCGAGTAATCCTGCGGATGTGGTGTATGGATAGCCGTATCAAATCGCGTCTGCCATTCCCCGCTGCCGCAGGGGCCTATGTGGGAACCTTGTCATATTCATTAGCAAACGTCCACGGTGGGGAGAAGCTCACGTATCTAATAGCGGAAGCTCTCCCTTCCGTCGACATCAGCGCAAACACATAGATAAGAAATTAGCGATTATTACCGCATATGTTAGTATATCATACCACTGCGAACCAACGAAAATAGGAAAAAAAAAAAAAAAAAAAAAAAAAAAAAAAAAAAAAAAAAAAAACCTAACCTAACCCAACCTAACCGATCATAGTTAAAAAAATTTTTTCTGGAATTTCGTTGTTTTCTCGCTGTCCCTCGTTGTCAAAGTTGTTGTCTAGTCGCTCCGTACAGTTTAATATAGTTTTTGCACCCCTCACCCCTTTCTACCCCCCGTTGCAAGTAGTTTTTTGTTATTTAAAAATCTCAAAAATTATCTCGTAAATTGTCTTTTTTCGTCGTTTTTTCTTCTTGAATTAGTTAGTTTTCGTCCCCTCTTGTCGTTCGTCTACCTATCACCCCTACCCCCGTCAACCCCCTGAATTTTGACTACTTACCTACTCGTAATCGTACTATTTCTCCCCAATTTTCTCCCCCCCCTATCGCTTTTGGAATTTTTCTAGTATTTTTCCCGTGCTGTGCGCTCCGTCCCGAGTGCATAGACACCACACTTGTCCACATCGGAGCACTTTTGCGAAAAATTTGCCCGCCCACCCGCCCATTTTTCTCACCGTATAAGGTGGAAATTTTCGAGACAAAAATTTTTATTTTCTTTTTCGTCCTTTTTCGATCTGGAATTGATAGTGTTGCCTCTCAGCACCCACCCCGTCAACATCTTACTCACCTTTGCTTCCTCAGTTAGCGTAAAACTTGAAAATGATCCTAGCACGGTCACCGGTCAGGCGACCCGTCAACTTGCCGTCGGAGTCAGCCGAGGCTCGCAAGGCTGATTCTGCGGCCCCTCAGGCTTCCCCCTTCTTCAGGTACCTCATCCACTGATTTTCTCCCAACGTGGAGACCAATAACAGACTCAAACTCCGCCAGCCTCAGCCGCCACGACAGTGTTTTTGATGATAGTTCAGCAGCTATCTCGTTACCTCTCTCACAAAGTACTCAGTCGAATGTTGTAGTAGAAGGAACTGACTGCTCGGAACGCGTGCAAACTCTGGCATTGGGCATTGTCAGAATCCTAAGACAGGCCAAGTCTGTCACTGCGGATATGAGAAACAGAGCCATCGACTCGGCAAATCAAATTGCTTGGATAGCCGGTAACTCCATGGCCCGCCGCATAAAGGAGATCGAGACAGAGTCCGCTGCACATAAACAGGAGCTCACGTCTGTACGCAGCGAGCTCAGTGAAATTAAGGCCCTCATTGAGAGAAACAAATCGGATAAAATCTATAGTGACGGACAGACAGATCTAAACTCACTCACAGCTACAGCTCTTGACCCAATAATGCAGGAGATTCGCAATCTAAGGGCGGAGCTGACTAAGCGGGAAGAAGTCTGTTCCGCAACGCACGTCACTAAAGAACAATTGGATAGGATTCTCGATGATAAGATAGAAGCCATAAAAGCCGATATCTCCACAGCAAAAACTGCCATCCTAGATATGAAAGAGGCTAGACACGATGAAGTCATGGCAATAATGCACGAACAAGGCACTGCTCTTGACACCGAAGTTGCTCTCAATGAAATAAAGGAGCAAATTAAAGAAGTCCAGACTAAAATACAAGAAAACGCTAAGGCGACCAGTGTAGTTGTGAACGGACCAAATGCGAAGAAGCAGGATGATCCGTCAACTGCAACTCTAGCACCTATCATAGAACCCAAATCAGGAAATCAGATCAACAAAATAAACCGCGTCGTCCCAGCAGTTATGCTGAAGCCTTAAGAAAACCAAATTACGCGGTCTTAATTGAATCGGCCGATCCCAGGAAAACGTCTGATGATGTTATAAATCAGGTAAAACAGAACGTTAACGTCATCGATTTAGGTATTGGCGTAAACAGAGTAACCAAGATCAGGAACCAAAAGGTTGTTATGGCATGCGGGTCCCAAGAAGAACGCAGAGCCCTTCAGGAGGCGATACGCCAAAAATGCTCACAGATCTCGGCTAGAAGCACAAGGGATAGACACCCACAAATTAGGCTTGTCGGAGTAGTAAATAGCCTCACAGATGAACAGATAGAGAAAGCGGTCACCAGCCAAAATCGACATCTGCTTGGCTCCCTCCCTCCCAATTCGCAGGTCAGGACACTACGTAGGACCAAAGGTAGAACACAGGAAATCAAGAACGTGATTCTGGAAGTATCGCCTCCGATATGGAAAGCAGTTCAAGGACAAAAGCTTCACATCGGCCTGCAACTGGTGCCTGCAGTCGATCAGTCGCCTCTTACCCAGTGCTACAAATGCATGGGATATAATCACAGGGCGGCTGAATGCAATGAGCAGATCAGATGTGGGCACAGCCCAAGAGCATGATACCAGAGTGTGTCCAAATAGGAACTTGACTTCTCAGTGCTGTAACTGCAAAAAGGCAAAGAGAGACCTTGAGCCTCATCCAGCATACAGCCAAGACTGCCCTGACTGGCAGAAATGGGATGGAATAGCAAGGGCCGCTGTCCTATACTGCTAAGGGCGTCGATACAGTCAGGGCAACAAACGCCCAAAATGCACAGGAGCAAATCAAGATAGCACAAATTAACCTTGGGAGGGGACATTCCGCCACACAAGAATGCCTGAGAGAAGCCAGTCAGAAAGGTTACTCAGTCTTGCTGCTTCAAGAGCCTTACGTTGGCTCCAAAGGGTACTTAAGCGTTGGTAGTAACAGTCGAGTCATACAAAAGCTACATAACAGAAGCCACCCGGTAAGGGCAGCCATAGTCATACTAAATCCAAGTATACGCATAATAGAAAGTCAAGACTGGACCACAGAGGACATGGTTGGATTAAAAATCATCGTTGGTAACGTGACGTATACTTTTGTTAATGTTTACCTAGACAAGACGCACAACATTGAACAAACAATGAACACTCTTCGTAAAATTGTTGACTCGACTGGTACTGCCAACCTCCTCATTGCGGGTGACGCCAACGCCAAAAGTCCGTGGTGGGGATGTGATACCGAGGACGAACGAGGCAGCAAAATAATGGACACGTTTGCAGAGCTTGGGATGGAAGTCCTCAATCAAGGGTCGCAACCGACATTTCTGGTGTATCGACAAGGACAACCATGCCAAAGCATCATTGATATTACGGCCTGCTCGTCACAGATCCTCAACACAATTACAGACTGGCGAATAAACCCAAGCCTCTGCTCGTTGTCGGATCACATCCCGATTACCTTTAATCTTAAAGCCACTACAAATCTTGATACACACTCTGGTTCGTCTACACGGGTATTCTTTACTGCAAAAGCCGACTGGAGCAAATTTGAAGAAGCACTTACTAATAACCTCCAACAACAGAACATCACCACTGAAACAATATCGAACACAAATAACACTACTGATCTTGAAAATTTAATACGGAAATTTCATGACGCTCTAACCGGTGCTTGCAACGACTCGATTCCCAAGCTATATAGTAAAAAATCTATAAATACTGCAAAGTGGTGGACTTCAGACCTCTCTAACTTAAAAGCAGAACTTAAGAGAAGCAGAAATAGAATAAAGAAGGCAAACGCCAATGCTAGAAGCTTTGTAGTACAAGAATACCTAAGGAAAAAAGAAGAATATAAGAAGGAGATACAGCAAGCGATTACAAAAAGTTGGAAAGAATTCTGTACGGGTGAAGAAAGAGAAACGATCTGGCAAAGATCCTACAGAATCATAAAACACTACAGCAAAGATGTTCGCGAAAAACTGCTAACGGACAATAACGGTACCACACTCTCGGCGGATGAGTCTGCAGCCCTCCTAGCCAACACCTTTTTTCCAGAAGATGATCCTACAAAAGACAATCACGAACATACTCAAATCAGGCAAAAATCAATAGAAATCTCATCAAAGAATCTACCCATCGACAGGCAAATTGATCTTTTTACTGAACAGGAGTTACGCTCAGCATTACAGCATGCGAACTCTAAAAAAGCCCCAGGTTCGGACGCATTCACTGCAGACATCTGCCAAAAAGCCTTTAAGACATGTCCTGAAGTATTGCTAGCGATCTATAACCGGTGCCTTCTCCTGAGTTACTTCCCTGAAGTATGGAAGGAGGCCCATATAAAGGTTATACCTAAACCTGGCAAGGAAGACTACAGTATTCCCAAGTCATATCGACCCATAGGCCTTCTTTCACTATTAGGGAAGACCCTAGAGAAAATGATGGTGAAGAGAATACAGTGGGACCTTACTGGTCGGGGCTCTCTACACCCCAACCAGTACGGCTTCCTTCCACAAAGAAGTACAGAGGATGCACTTTACGACGCACTGAGCATAGTTAAAAATGCCATAAAAACTAAACAACTGGCAGTCATTGCCTCCCTCGACATCCAAGGAGCCTTTGACAGTGCTTGGTGGCCCACTATTATTACACAGCTGGATACCATGGGAATCGACAAGGACTTACTACAACTGATAACCTCGTATCTGTCGGGAAGGAAAATAACTATTAATTACTCTGGTGCAACAGTCAACAGGAAAACTGATAGGGGCTGTATCCAAGGATCGGTCTGTGGACCGATTCTGTGGAACGTTCAATTGAATCAGGCACTTGAACCCTCCCAATATGACGGAGTACACATACAAGCCTTTGCAGATGACATACTCCTCATAGCCCGGGGTAGCACTGGAGAGGAGGTGGAGAGAAACTTGAACCAAGCGCTTTCAAAGATACTTCAATGGGGCAACAAGCTCAAGCTCAAATTTGCCCCACACAAAACGCAAGCAGTTCTCTTCACCAAGAAACTCAAGTATCATACTCCTAGGCTCGTGATGGACGGAACATCTATTGAACTGCGGGATGAAGTTAAGGTTCTCGGTTTAACCATAGACCGGAACCTTAACTTCAATTCTCACATTCGCGCTGTCTCTGCAAAGGCTTTAAACATATATAAATCAGTGTCTAAGATGGCCAGGGCTCAATGGGGCCTGAATCCCGGTGTCCTCAAGTTAATTTACCAATCAGTTGTAGAACCGACCATCCTCTATGCCGCCAGTTGCTGGGCCCATACCACCTCGAATCACAATGTTGGGAAAATTCTTGACAGAGTCACCAGGCTCTTCGCAATCAAAATATGTAAAGGACATAGAACTACCTCGTTCTCTGCCAGCGTGGTGCTTGCGGGGATTCTTCCCCTCAAAATTAAAGCGATCGAACAGGCTGAGTTGTACTTAATTAAGAGGGAGAACCCTTGGGAGCGCTGCCTGGCAGAGAATTTGAAAGTCGCACACCGGTCTCCTTACTACCACATCCAACCAATAGAAATACAGTTCCTTTTAAAATCATAAGCAGTCAAACCGAACTAGATGAGGTTATAGATAATAACTGGCCGAGGTTCTATACTGATGGCAGCAAGATAGAGGGTAAAGTCGGCGGTTCTGTCACATGTTGGATCGATGGTAAAGAAGTCTACTCAACCAGCTTCCGCCTGGAAGATTTTTGCTCCGTCTTCCAGGCGGAACTAGCAGCCATACTGAAAGCCATCGAGACAATGTGCAATAAGTCGAGATTCCATACTGCAAACATCTTGAGTGACTCGAGATCAGCTTTAGAGAGTATTGCAGATCCATGTCCACTCCACCCCCTCACCATGAAGATCCGGCAAAAAATTCAGAATCTCCAACAATGCGGTGGAAAAGTATGCTTCTATTGGGTGAAAGCTCATACAGGAATAATTGGCAATGAGCGCGCGGACGACCTCGCCAAGACAGCGGCTCTGAAAAAGAAGACAAGGCCCATATATGATCGGTTTCCTCTAACGTACGCCAAAAAGGTATTAAGGGAAAAATCACTAGATAAGTGCCAAAAATTATATATAGAATCCAACACAGCAGCCGTAACAAAAATATTCTTACCAGATATTCGAAAAGCATATAAGATAGTAAAGGAAATAGAAATAGATAATACAATAACTCACCTTCTCACCGGACATGGAGGAAACCGATCATATCTTCACAGGTTTAAACTGATAGATAGCCCCAGCTGCCAATGTGACAGTGAAACCCCGCAAACCATACAGCATATACTTTTCGACTGCCAAAGATTCGCTAAAAAACGGTTTGACTGCGAGTTCAAATTGGATGCAACACTGTCTGAAAGCAATATAGAATATATATTTGAGAATAAAGAAACCAGGGATATATTCCTTAACTTCGCAAAGTCTCTGCTGAGGGTCGTGGCAAGAGAGAATGGAGCAAGAATAGTTGACTAAGACGACAAAGGTTTATACACAGTTATACACATGGTATACAATTTCATATTTACATAGTTTTACAATTTTATATACACTAAATTAAAAAAAAAAAAAAAAAAAAAAAAAAAAAAAAAAAAAAAAAAAAAAAACCATTGTTATAAATACACAGATATCAAATTTACAGACTAGAAGGTTGTCGCATTAAAAAACACAGCGACAGAAAACAAAGTTTTTTTTTAAAAAAAAAAAAAAAAAAAAAAAAAAAAAAAAAAAAAAAAAAAAAACCTAACCTAACCTAACCTAAACCGAAGGTTTTTAGTCATCAGTGTGGAGATGTGTTAGAGTTTACCATGACAATTATATCGACGATCAAATTTCTTGTTGCGCCATCTCTTGAGTTTTAAGTAAACCATTTCATTAGCGTGGCGCTAGTGTTCATTCTTTCGCACCGCGTATCGCGCCATTTATCAGTCATATTTAAATACACCCAAATGTAAATCTGATATCAGTTGATATTAGTTGTGAGTTGTATCTGTAAACTCGTTAAATAAATTGATGCTTGTTTAATAGATTTCTAGAGGGGCCATCTCTTGAGTTTAAAGTGAACCATTCCATTCAAATTAGCGTAGTGTTAGTGTTCATCCAATTTCTTGTTCGCATCGTGCCATCTATCGGTCACGTCTTAAGAGTTGATTTGAGTTGCCTCTGTGAAGTCTTTAAATGAATGAACGCTTGTGTTGTTTAATAATATAAGAATAGATTGTTCGGTATATAATGTAGAATTAATCGCATTGCAGAATCCGTACCGTTATGTGCCTTAGAAGGAGTCATCAATCATGACTCCAGGATAAATTCCAATAGATTGATATTGGAGTTGAGAACTCACACTCTCTCGAATTGCGCCACTAGCGACATAATGGTTCCGTACTATTCTGCAAACCGTCCGCCGCCAGCAGCGCACCGGGCGCCGCCGCTTGGAGTGGTTAACTGAAAAGCGTCATGCGGAGGAATGCGTTGCAAATGAAGCGCGATGGTTGCACGAGGAGAAGGAGCAACGGGAACGAGAGGAGCGCGAACGAAAACACTAGGAGAAGCTCGCAGCATTAGGAGCTTGCAGCATTGCTCGAGCGAAAGGAGCGAGAGGAACGAGAGCACCAGGAGATGCTGGCACGCACGGAAGCAAAGATGCGCGCTAAGGAGACGGAGGTGGCGCGGCGCGGCGGCTGGTGGAGCAGAAGGTGGTCGCCGGCAGCACCTGGCGCCGTGCCGACCGCGCCCACTGCACCGACCTTGGCGACGCCTGACACGCCAAGTTCACCAATGATACCGACAAGAAACCCGATCCCTGGAGGCCAAATCGCGGTCGCACCGAGTCGTCCCGTAATGATCGTAGCTCGCCTGACGGCCGAGACGATAGATTTTTTTTTTTTTTTTTTTTGATACACGAATGGGACAGAGTTACCCAAGCAAAAGACTTGGAACTGATGGCACGAGCGGGGATACCAATCCCAATCAATTAATGGATAAATGTTTTTTTTTTTTTTTTTTTTTTTAGGGTATATTGCTAGCAATGGGGCTACTAGTCCCCATTACTAACAATCCTCCAAATGTGGAGGGGAGCGGTGGTTAGTCGGCAGGTAACATGGATGCGGTAAGTAAAACACATATATCAGTAAGTGTGTGAATGTATTATTATTATTATTTACAGTAAATGCTAAATATTTTATTTATTTGTCTCCTCAGTCTTCCTCGTGCAAAGAGAACAGCTTGGCCACCTCGAACAAGTCTTCAAACTCGCCCTGCGCCAGAACCTACGCATAAACAATACACAATACAACATACAACAACAACGATATCGTATCGTATCGTATCGTATCGTATCCACTTACATATTATACAAAGGAATGACATGAATTGTTGTTTTTTTTTTTTTTGTCCTAATCATGAACATGAACTCACCTCTCCTAATCGATGATTTCATCACATCATCATCATATATAGATCATCATTCATTATTTCAGCCATTTTCCGTCCACTGCTGAACATAAGCCTCCCCCATAGACTGCCGCAAGGAACGGCCCTGAGCCACCTGCATCTCACTGACTCCCTGCACCGCATTTCAAGTCGTCACTCCATCTAGTGGGGGGTCGTCCTGCACTGCGTTTACCCGTGTGTGGTCGTCACTCAAGAACTTTTCTTCCCTATCCGAAATGAATAGTCAAGGACATTAATAATCATCGGACAGGGCACTGTTAGTCGGCAAATAGAGACCTGTCTAGCGACATGCATCCGGTTGAAGAGATTCCACAGCAGCACGCCTACGACCCGCTTCTCGCGCAAGTAGAACACGACGCCGCGCTCGTAGCGCCGCGCCGCCGCGTCGCCGGCCGCGCCGCCCTCGCTCGGCGTCGCGCCGCCGCCCGCGGTCGTCGCCGTCGCCGTCGCCGTCGCCGTCGCCGTGTCCGAGTCCGCTGCCGCCGAGCGCGCCGTCACCGCCGCGTCCTTCACCGCCTCAGCTGAGAATACGCCCACGGTCTGGAGACTGGAGTCTATTATGCCTATCGCCTGAAATCAAATTGTATAATTTAATAAATTCTTGCCGTAGCTATACAATACATATACGCAAACTTTTTGTATATACGCAGAAATCAATTCAACTGTTTCATAAAAAAACATCGATTTGAGTAATCTTATGATTATTCAAATCACTAGGTACAAATACAAACTTGATGTTCCAAAGTATCGTTTAGAAAAAAAAAAAAAAAAAAAAAAAAAAAAAAAAAAAAAAAAGTATTTGAAAAAAAAAAATTATTTGAATTTAAATTAAAATTTGTACTCAAAGGAATTGGTGGTTTGTCGCATATGAACGTTCATAATGTATTACGTATTCAAACGAATTGCAAAGCACAATATAGTTTATAATTATAATTTGTTTATAATTACTCCTCTCCATCCAAAGGTTGCCTGGAAGAGATCGCTCTTAGCGATAAGGTCGCCCATTGTTTTCTCATTGTGATTATTTCTTGTAATTGTTTGTATTTATAATAAGTTTACTATTGTAATCTTTTGGAGGAAACAATAAAGAGTATCTATCTATATATCTACCTATAGTTGATAGGTACAGAGTTGAAAATTTACACATGATTGTACATTTGCCACATTTTGGTAAAAGTTATGAACGCTCATAAGTTCTACGATTAACAATCGTTAGTACGTACACCGTGACTAATGTTACAAATACCAAAGGGAGTTTGTCTACATGTTTGCTACCTCTTGGCGTTTTGAGTTTACCTCGTAGCCGAGGTCGGGCCCCAGGTCGCTCCAGAACATGCTCTGGTGCTTGTAGGCCCGCGGCGGCGCGAGGCCGGCCATGTTCTCGCCGGCCAGGCGGCCCGACACGACGGCGTGGTCGTGGTGCTCGAGGCGGCGGCGGCCCAGCGCCGCGTCGTAGAAGCAGGCCACGTCGCCGGCCGCGAACACGTCGCTGCGCGCCTGCAGCTCGCCGTTGACCAGCAGCCCGCCGAGCTGCGCGTGCGTCTCCAGCCCCGAGCTGCGGGCCAGCGCGTCGTCCGGCGAGCTGCCCACGCACTCCACCACCAGGTCGGCGTCCGCCGCGCCGCCGCCCGCCAGCCGCAGCCGCACGCCGCCCGCCGCCACCTCGCTGCCCGTCACCTCCGCTGCCGCACCGAGACCAGCGCGTTCTCAGTTCACACCACTATTTTGTTTATTTCTATTTCTACTAAAAATATATCTTATATTTTGTATATAAGACTCTCGTGTCACGGTGTTTGTTACCAAACTCCTCCGAAACGGCTTTACCGATTTTTATGAAATTTTGTGTGCATATTGGGTAGGACTGAGAATCGGCCAACATCTATTTTTCATACTCCTCAATGATAAGGGTGACCCTCCCCAAAATTTTTTCCCTTTTTATTTTATTATGATTAAGCATTGAAAAATACATACAACTTTAAATTTTCATCGTTTTACGATCAACTCCTATATTTTAATCACGATTTTTATATTTCCCAATAAGAGGTAAAACAACGTTTACGGAGTCAGCTAGTTTTTTTTATAGAATTGCTGGATTCGATATGAACCACTCTAGAATAATTATTTGTTCACTACATGAATTAACATGAAGGAATTCGTACTGACGAAAGTAACTAAAAGCTTCGGTAAGTTAACGGGAGTCATGCGCGGCGCGTGACAAACAACTCACTGTCGGGCAGCAGGTGGACGCCGGCGGCCTGCAGGCGGCGCGCCGTCTCCGCCGCGAGGTACTGCGGCAGCACGCTCGCCATCGGCGCCGACTCGCGGAACACCTGCGTCACCGTTTTACCACTCGATCGCACTGCGGGAAATAGACAATATGTGATCGTAAACGATTCGATCGATCAGGAAATGCTACGTGACTGTGTACGTGTAGTACAGCTGTACAAAGAAAATATAAAAAAAAAAAAGTACTGACAGCATTCGGCGAGCGAGGCGCTGAGCTCGGAGGCGAGGAAGCCGCCGCCGAGCACGAGCACGTGGCGCACGCGCGGCTCGTCGAGCGCCGCCGCCAGCCGCGCCGCGTCGCGCAGGCCGCGCAGCGCCAGCGAGCGGCCCGCCGCCGCCGCCGCCGCCAGCGCGGGCGCGCGCCGCGGCCGCACGCCCGTGGCCACCAGCGCGCGGCCGTAGCGCACGCGCGCGGCCGCCGCGCCGCCGCCCGCCGCCGCCTCCAGCCGCGCCTCGCGCCGCGCCGCGTCCAGCCGCGTCACGCGCCAGCCGCGCGCCACCGCCGCGCCCGCGCCGCCCGCCGCCAGCGCCGCCGCCGGCGCGTAGAACGACGCCGGCTCGTACGACACGCTGCGCCACACACACGCGCGCCACGTTACATACCACTCGCGTACCACACGCGCATATATACACACTCGTGCCCTTGTAATATATGTATATGAAGTACGTCTGTGCTCGCGTGGCTAATTTCGTTTCAGCACGTGGAACATAGCGACAAAATTACAGGAGAATCCCGAGACGCCTCAGCGTGCTCCGGGGACACGGTGTTCCTCCCGTCCTATGTATACCGCTTTCCATCGAGTGGGAGGTCGCAGCACGCTCGCTACATCGAGATGCGCAGAAAAATTAGTGCACAAGGGAGGAGTAAATACAAGATAGAGAGCGGAAACCTGCGACGCCTGCCGTTCCACTGGCGGAAGGTGAGCGCGCCGAGCCGCGCGGGGTCGGCGGCGGCGGCGGCCAGGCCGGGCTCGCGCCACAGCTCCTTGCTGAGCGGCGGCCGCATGTAGGGCAGCTCGCGCTCGTCGCCCACCATGAGGACGCTGGCGTCGGGCCGCGCGCCGCGCAGCGCGCGCATGGCCGCGAACGAGGCCGTGCCCGCGCCCACCAGCAGGAAGTCCACGCGCTCCGGCAGCTCCGCCGCCGCCGGCTCCGGCGCCGCGCCGTCTGCGCCGTCTACGCCGCTCGCGCCGCCTGCGCCAGGTGGATAGTGTAATATGTTCCTGCTGAGACGCACCACTAATTAAACTTTATAAAGATGTGCTAATATAACTCACCGTCGCCGGCTGCAGGAGAATCCTTCTCACTTAACTTGCGATAAAAGTACACCTGCAAAAAAAAAAAAAAAAAATTCAATACTTTTAAATGGTACATTACTGCAGCAGCCAGCAACTGAAGCACTGACGGACGAACATTCAAAGTGAGTCCATCAATGCCTAGTTGTGGCCAAGGCTTGTATAGTAATTTTCTCAAACAATGCGCCGAAATCAAAAACACAATTTTACTTTTTAAGTTCACTGACGAATAACGAACAGTAATAATTTTTCACGCGCCATAATGTTCCTTTGTTTTTTTTTCAATAAACAACTTTCTATTTGCAATCCAGTTCGAAATTTAAATAAAACCTTTTATTAGTTACCTCCTTGGTAACCATGTTTCGAAATAAAAGGTCATTCCATTTTTAAATTATAGGACAGATATGAGTTTACATAGTAATTTATCTGGCCGCAAAACACAACAGATATGGATTTTCATACACCTTTTGCCGGCCGCTGCCCGCATGTATATGGCCAGTACGGCAATTTTGATTTATCTCTAAGAAGATTGTCAAAATAATGCTTACATTTCCAAGCATGTTTGAATAAAAAACCCTTATCAATTCTTATGATTCTACTGCTGGATTGGGAATGTTATCTGCTGAAAATAACCCGTAAGGAAATCAACAGTTATTAAATGAATTGATCACTTATGTACAAGATATTTTTAGATTTGTAAAAATGAAAATGGAGCCTGCCAATACGATTTCTTCAGCTCCTCGGAAACCTCTTCTAATAAATTGGGGAGATCATTTTGAAGAAACACCAAATAGCTTTGCCCTGTTAAATTCCCCGGTAATTCAGGTGCTCAGAAGATCATTTATCCGAAGATGCAAGGCATGCATAAGAGTGGGAGGAAAACAATTTGAGCATTTATTTTTATTTTATTTCAATAGGTACATCACATTACGGAGAATTAACATAGTTACATTTATTGTAAATATATGTAAAATAAATTATTTTGAATATCAAATGTTGTTTTTTATGACACCCCAATGATGGAGATACATTTCAATTTAAAAAAAAATATTCCCATATTACAAATTTTGTTATTTAGTCAAATTTTCTCCTTTTCTACACAAATGGCAATAAGTTTATGATAGATAGTTATGAATTGTACCATTGTAAAATCTACTTGAAACAGACATTATTTTAAAATTATTGGTCACCCATGTATTCATAATTTTTTTTTATAACTTAGAGGTTTAAAATTTGCTTAAAAAAATTTTTTTGCATATTTTTCCAAAATAAATTAGTTTGGGTATTAAAAAAAACTGCAATAGCTAGTCATACTATTCTCTTTCTATCTATTAGCACAGTTAGTATATAATAATAAAACAACAAAAAACCAATAGAATTCATTCACTTCTGGTCATAGTGATCAGGACAGTAAAATAAGATAAAAAAAAATTATGATATATTTTGTTTCATATTTTTTTAGGACGACCATAAGTTGAACTAGGTTATCCATTCATTACCAGACACCCTGTATACCCATTGTGGTACACCTGAGTCTCCCATACTGTACAGCTTGAATATATTGTCAAAAATGTAATACATTTTGAATTCTTTGCAGGAACTTTGAACAAATCTCATTTGTTAAATCTAAAATGTATGTAGTAATAATAATTATAATATATTCAATTTATTAGTAGTAATTTTAATAAATAAATAAATAATTAACAAAATTCATGTAATTGAATTGACATAAAGCTCTTTATACAAGTACAGTAACATGTAAACATGTACCTTACCTGTACCCACACATAATATGATAATATGGGTACACTGCACCAGTAATATAAAGCTTACCCCTCCGAGTGAGGCTGTGATAGCAAGTGTGGTGGCAGCGACTGTCCATGAGCGACGCGAGGGTGGTGGTGGCGGCGGTGGCGGAGGCGGCGGCGGCGATTGGGAAGGGAGGGGTGGTGTGGCCAACGACTCTCCCTGTGCTCGTGCACTATCCAATCGTGCTCCATCAGTGGTCAGCACAGTCTATGTGGTAAAGATTATCATCTACATTAAAAATGTATACATATTAAGTGATACATTGTCAGTTAAACAAGATTTTTCAGCAATGTATGGAGCAAAGCTCAGTCAATTTACAGGAACAAAATTAATTACATTTAATAAAAAATATTACCGTTTTATATTTCCTTAATTTCCTTGCAGGCTTAAAAATTACAATGAACAGTGATCAGTTGATTGCACAAGAACCAATACATATATTCATACTGAACATATAGCAACCAGTAGCTCACCTGTGTGTTGTGCAGAGCAGCAGATGTGGACAGCAGCCTTGTGCCTGCATAAATAAATTATTTATCAATGTTTCTTTGTTTCCAGCCTATTATATGGAATTATCTAAGCCTATTTGAAAATAAATAAAGCTATACAAGAACCACAAATAGGCAAAAATTTTTTTTTTAATTTAGTACATAAAAACAGTCAATTAAATCATAAAGATCACCTCTAGGATAAGTAAAGAAAAGTCGAACGCCTCTAGGGGTTCCCATTAACAAAACTTGAACCTAATTTAAAACATGCCCGTCAAAAATCATATTAATCGTTTAAAGATAAGGCTAACAATGTTTCACTTACGAAATAATTTAAAAACATCCCTTCTCGTTCGCGAATTTTTGATGAGAAGCTCGAGGGCCTGGCCTTCGATATAAATTGTTGAAACTGCTCTGAGCATAGTTTACACACTTTTCAGATAAAAGATAAATATTAAAAAAAGCCTATAGGGTTTAAGTTAATACTCAGATTCATTTCCATGCATCTTAGATAGGTAAATAAAACTATTATTCGAAATAATTAAATAATACGAATAGGTTAAGTATAATTCGGCAAGCAAACAGTTACCCGTCTGCATAAATGTCAAATTGACAGTCAAACTGTCATTGCAAATACATTTTTTTTAGTACGTTTGTTCATTGCAAATACAATGGAAATGTCAGTCAGTAAATCAAATGCAAAGAAATAGATACCAAGTTAAAACTAAGAACAAGAAATCGAAATTAATAGTAATATATAAAAGTAAATATCTTTCTTTTGATGATGTTGGTATATTTTGTTGTATGTCTTCTATTGATTATTCTTAATAATAGTAAGTGAACATAAATGTTCTTCAATTCTTCATATCTTTATATGATCAACATGAAACTTTTGCATTTCAATAGGGGTATTTATTAAGTCAGAATATCGGTCTGTGCGTTGGGCAACTGTGGCAGTTTTACTATACTCATCATCTTGAGAACGGACGCAGACATTCTATCTCAGATAATAAAATATTTCCTTGCCATGTTCTATGTTAGCTTTTATTTTGAAATTTGAAGTTGAAATTGTCTGTAGCGAAGGGATTTTCTAGGATTGAAAGAGGAAGAAATACATTTAGATATTTACTATGGCCGATGATTCAATGACTGCCAAAACGGTTGCTGAAACATTTCTGGCTAATTGATTCGCACGATTTGGTGTAGGTACTCGAAAACATCACTTTAAATCAACGTCGCCAATTTGAGTCTAATCAATTTAATCGACTTATCAAACTTTGTGACTCATCGCATTTGCGGATAACCAGTTACCATCCGCAGTTACCAGGCGAATAGCATGGTGGAACGCCTCCACCGACAGCTAAAGGCCGCACTAATGTGTCACCGCGACGATTGGTTGAGCTCGTTTACTTTGATGTTGTTAGGTCTTCGATCAGCATTAAAAGAAGATATTGGCTCTTCAGTTACTAAAATTTTGAATGAAGAATCCCTTTACCTTCCTGGAGAATTGTTCACCTGTAGCTTTCCAGAAGACTAAAAGATCCTTTCGATTTTGTACATAGACTTCGCAGAATCATGTCACAAATGAGACCCATTCCAGCTTCTCGTCATAAAAACCCGAATTATTTCTTTTCAAAGATTTGCCCGACGCTACTCATGCCTTTTTAAAAGATGATAGCATCCAGCCATAAGCCAGTAATTCGCTAAAACTAATTCCATTTCAAAACATAAAAATAATTTAAAATTATTTCGTTCATACTCCTGCCAAATCATTTACGAGTATATCTCACTCTATCATTATTATTTTAATTATTATATCTCTTACTTTGCCAATCTATATATTTCATATCTTTTCGTAATCGTGATCTCGGTCAATTCAGTTTGGCTGTCAAAGCTGTCATTCATATCAATCAGTCAGTACCACATAATTTAAGTACGCATACTAGTTGTGTTTCATTTTATTTAAAAAAAATCAAAAATAATTAGCAAAATATCTCAGCTTTTTTTATTATAAATATTAACCGTTTGAAGGAATGCTATAAACTTTTTCGTATACTGGTGCCAGAGTGAATTATTAATTTTTATCTATCTAATCAATCGGCGGGTAGAACAGATACCAAAATTCCTCCAGCTTCGGCGACACAGGAATCCTCTCTCCGGACTACTAATTGGTACTGTGTATGATTTAATATTGGTGTCAGTAGCATTATATTTTGTGTTAAAATGTCAGAATTTTGTTTCGTTGTTTTATTGCGACTTACCTATGTCTACAACCAATATTTTATTTATTTTGTGATTCGATTCTATTCATTGTAATAGATTTTCAATTATGGAAGCATAAATTAATGGTTAAGGGATGGGCAGCAGCAATATCCCTCTTAAAACACAATCAAAAGCCTAACTACGATTGCCAATCCACCTGCCAAGCATGACAACCCTAAAAACCCTCAAGGAGGAAATGTAATGTTCAGCAGTGGATAGTTGGTGGCTGAAATGTTGATGATGAAATACAAATTAAATATGGGTCCTTATAACTATATTCTGAAATTACTATTGTATATAGTAAAATCTGCTTTTAATGCCCACAACTGCCTTTGTATGGAAAAAAATATTAGACATTACTGGAAACATTGTCTTTCTCTGTCACAAGTAATATCTGAAGCAAAATTCCGTAGTCATTGGTTCAACTGGTGCTGAAAAGCAACAAATTTTTTGCATAATTCTAAAGTATTAGCATTTATTTATGATTAGGTCCTATTTGTAGGAACACTTTTGCTCTAGTTCCTATGATTTATTTCTGATGCATTTTATTGTTAACATCTAATCTTATAATAATATCTTATATTTATAATCCTGAGCTATTTATTCACATAAATTCAATTTAGTTAGAAAAAAAAATACAACAGCCGAGATTCTTGCTCATTCTTCATAGCTAGAATCGTGTTACAATTTGAAAATTGCGAGTCTCTCTACAAAGATCATGAATTATGAGATGGATAATGGTTGGATGGTGTGTCAAGATTAAAATTATACCAGATTTTTAAACTTTGATCTCTAGAAATACAACTATGAAAAATATTAGTAAGAAACATACAAAGGTAGACAAAAATTCTAAAAATATTATTGATTTGGTTTCTCTGCTCTTACTTAGACCTCTTATATCAATTTTTCCTAAGTATCTGCTACGTGTACAATTTTATTATTTTTGAGATGAATAAGATTAGATGTATGATTTATATGAATAATTTGTTTTAATTATTATGTATGTTCATGAAAAAAGTCAAGAGTAACTGATTTTTGTTTCAAATTACTATATGGTTACATTTTATTATTTAAAGTTTGTAGAATGCAATAAATTATAGTATTATTGATATGATAATATATTTTAGACAAGGTTAGTCCATATATACATATACATACTGGATTAATAATCATAACAATATTACGGTTGGAATACGGTTAATACGGTTGGAATTCCGAGGCGGCTCACTCCCGGGAAAGATACAGAAAGCGGTGCTCTTAGATTCTACCTGCATTGTACACCGATTGTATCTCTCCCTGGGGCCATGAACCCTGGCCGACTGTGCTTCTGCCGGGGGTTAGTTTGCCATCTCCTCTCCTTAAGAGGAGAGATGTGAATTTTCTAAAAATTTAAATAATAATAATCATATCAGTTCATAATATGTGCACTCACTGTGCAGGAGAGGAGCATTAGAAATAAATTTTTGTTCATTCCTGCTTCTGTTGTTTGACACATGAATTTCTAATGTGTTACTATTTGTAAGAACCTATTGGTGGTTTACTTTATAATCCTACACTATAAACTATTTCTGTTCACAACTCAAATGAACCAATCAAAAACCAAACCAACACAATAATACAGAACTGACTATACAGACTCTGCTATACAGTTTATCACTAGTATGTGGGTGAAACTCTTTGTTGTAAGATTATGTATAATTATGTCACATATTTTACACCTCTACTGCTTTCGTTCATCATATGCTTTCGGTTCTTATCTAATCCTTAGCTGGTAGAGAATGTCATATGCCATTAAGTTCGCCAATTATAAAAAGTTATTGTGCAATAAAAAGTAAGTAGTAATAATGGAGTACAACTTGACCAAAATCGGAATATAAAAAAAAAAGAAAAAATAAACATCAATTATATCTAATAAAATCCGGATGCCCATGTGATGCTAAAACTGAGAAATTCTGCTAGCATAAACATACTCATGACCATTTATTATTCCATTTACCAGTCCATTTTGTCATGCTACATTTCCTATTGGGGTCATGCAGCAATAACAAGTATGATTGAACTGAAGTATGATGAACATGAGAAACTGTTTCAGACTATATGCTAATATAATTAAACCTGATTACAAATTCATAGAAATTTCACTGAAAAGCTATGTATTATTATATTGGAGATTCCAATGCTAAACTGGACACAAGACAAAACGATGAGACAAGAATGAAGAACTATGGAATCGGACAGCGAAATCCTAGGGGACAGCAGTTTTTATTTTTTGTGGGTGAAAATGGAATAGTAACCCCGCCCACGTTATTGGTATATATCGGCAGGGCATGAGTGGAAGTTGATAGGTAATAATGAATGCAAGTCAGTTGGCCCACCATGAATTCGCCAAGAATTAACCATGATGGTTTCCAGGGGGAACGGCATAGGATAGGCAGAGGATATATTGCTAGCAATGGAGCTATTAGACCTCATTACTAATAATCCTTATCCCACCAGTCAACAGCAGTTGGCTGACTTAATGGAGAAGGAGGGACTCTTTATGATTAACTCCTTTTAAAAGCGGCCACACAAAAAATAGACCAAGGCTAGCCCCGACGGATAGACAAAAAATGAGATAGATTTTGTCATGACGACAAATCGCCATTTATTCAATGATATCTCAGTGATCAATAGGTTTAAAACAGGAAGTGATTACCGAATAGTAAGAGGCACATTGAACCTGAATATTAGGCTAGAAAGGTGTCGTCTGATTAAGTCTGCGCTCCGACCTTCGTATGCCGTTATCGAAACCCCCAAGAGTTTTCAACTCAAATTGTTGAATCGCTTTCAGTACCTTACGAACTGTGAAACAGCGGACGATATCAACGATAAGCTAGTGGAAACTGTCCAAGCAGTGGGAGCTAAATTTTGTAAACTCGAAAAGTACTCATAAACTCTCTGGCCGTACTCTAGATCTTATGGGGAAATAGCCTGAAATGTGATCCCAGTCTTCAACGTCTATGGAAGAATATAGACAGCTTATTAGGCAAATCCTCAATATGTATACAACGTAACATACGCGAGTTCAATACTGTATGCATTGAACAGGCGGTATCAAGGCTCCAAAGTGTTCGCCAGAGATTTGGCTATTGGGCGAAGCCAACTGACAAAGTTGAAGACCGACACCGGTTATATAATTTCCGCCACATCTGATATTTTGAGTGAAATTAAGAAATTCTGTGGACAGTTGTACACAACGTCGTTAACACCGCATACTAATGCGAATAACGATCAAAGAGCTAAAGTTACCCGACACTGTACGGTATATATCCCGAACGTCAATTTGCAGGAGTCCTGACAATCGTCTTACGCGCAACTCGATGACCATCCGAACACAAGCCACCCGAATAAGCTTGCTTCCAAATGGTTTTACCACAATAGACCATATGCATATGCTACGGCAGATTATACAGAAGACCGAAGGATACAATCTGGTGCTGTGTCTGGCGTTTGTAAACTATGAAAAAGCCTTTGATTCGGTCGAGATGGCTACGATGTCTATCCGAGTACAGAACCGGAGTACGAAACCCATCCCACAGTAGAAAGGTATACGACAGGGTGACGTCATAGCTCCGAAACTCTTCACAGAAGCATTGAAAGATGTTTTCAAACTTTTGGACTGGAAAATATATGGTATAAACATCAATGGCGAATATATCACTCACCTTCGATTTGCCGATGACATAGTAATTATGGCGGAATCCCTGGAAGATTTGAATACTATACTCAATGACCACAATGGTGCTTCTCAACAGGTAGGTCTTAAGATGAACATGGATAGGACTAAAATCATGTCACAGGTATTCCGGTTACGATTGAGAACACTACGCTCGAAGTTGTTTATTTATTTATTTAATGTCGACGAGTATGTATACCTGGGACAACTTGTCTGAAGTTCAACTTCGACCGAGGGGTCAACCGACGAATCCATCTCGGCTATGTCACATCTTTTCATTCAAAATATCTAAAAATATATAATATTTAAAAATATTGAAGACGAAGGTCTTTAACCAGTGTGTTTTGCCAGTGACTTATGGAACCGAAGCATAGTCCTACACGATTGCCAGTATGCAAAAACTCATGCATTACTCAGCGGGCTATGGAGCAGCGCAGACAGGCACACGCATACATACACGCGTTGTATATACATACACATGATACATGCGTAGATTTGCCGCCACGATCTTATAGGAGAGCCTAGGTCTGCCACGGAAGGGTTCCGGCAGTGCCGGGATCGTGAACGGTCACGTTCTTATGGTATGGGATAATTAAAAGTGTCTCCATACAAACGCATACATTTTGCTCTCCCACAGTGTTGCGACGATAAAAACGTACGATATCGTCAAGTTCTACGGAAAAGTACAGAGACGCCCACTAGGTGTTCGAGTCATGGTAGCACAGCCAGCCCAGCTCCAAATAAATATATAAATTGTTGCGCTCGAGTATAATACGTATGTGTGGACCAGGTGGTCGGAGATGCTGGTGGCGTGCGAGGCAGGCGAGGTGTTCGCGCTGCTGGAGGGAGGCGCGGGCGGCGCCCGCGAGGCGGCCGAGGCGCTGGTCGCGCTGTACGGCGGCGTGCGCGAGCCGTGGCTGACGCGGGCGCTGCTGCTGTACCACGCGCGCACGGGCTCGGCGCGCGCGCTCGACCTGCTGGCGCGCGCGCCCGAGCTGCACGCGCGCCACCTGCTGGACGCGCTGCAGGAGCAGCTGCAGCGCGAGCGGCCCGCGCGGCTGCACGCGCTGGCCGCGCTGGCGCCGCTGGTGGCGCGCCGGCCGGCCTGGCTGCACCGCCTGCCCGCGCACCCGCTGGCTCGCGACCTGCTGCGCGCCGCGCGCCTCGAGCGCGAGCCGCTGCCGCTGCTGCACGCGCTGCTGGCGCTGGCCGCGCTGCTGCCCGCCGCGCCCGCGCTGGCCACGCCGTACTGCGCCGACCTGGCCGACGTGCTGCTGCGGCCCGCCGCGCTCGAGCCGCCGCCGCCGCCCGCCACGCGCACGCACCTGCAGCTCGCGCAGCTCGCGCTCTTCCACGCGCTCTACGCCACGCACCCCTGCACGCTGCTCGACACGCTGCGCGCCGACCTGGCCGGCGCCGCCGCCGCCGCGCGCGACGCCATGCAGCGCGACCTGGCGCCGCTGCTGGCCTCGGTGCGCCTGCACCCCGGCCTCGTCACCGGCTCGCGGCACCGCGAGGCCGACCCGGCGCGCTGGGCGCGGCTCGAGTCGCACGACGTGGTCGCCGAGTGCCGCCGCCTGTCGCTGCGCGCCGCCGCCTCGCCCTCGCCCGCGCCGTCGCCCGGGCCCGGCGCGGCGCCGCCGTCGCCCGCGCCCGCCGCGTCCGCCGCGCCCGCCGCGCCCGGTTCGGGTGCACACGCCGCCCGCTCGGCGGCCGCGCTGCGCCCCGGCACCGAGCCCTGGTTCCCGCTCGGCGACCGCTGCGGGGCCGAGTCGGCGCCGAACACGCCGCTTCCTTGCGAGCCAGATGTCGGCGAGCCGCCGGAGGCCGCCGTCGAGGCGACGCCCGAAAACACGCCGGCGCGCGAGACCCGGCCGCAGTTCCGCTACCCGCCCGAGTCGAGCACGGTGCGCGCGATCGGGCGCCGGTCGCGGCCGGCGTCGCCGCCGCGCAAGGAGACGTCGCCGTGCGGCGGCGAGGCGTACGCGGGCCGGCTGGCGCGCGTGGCGCTGGAGCGGCGCGCGGCCGACTCGCCGGTGCCGTTCGGCGGCACGCCGCCGGCCGGCGCGGTGCTGGCGCGGCCGGAGCCGTCGCGCCCGCATCAAGACACGAGCGAGACGGCCGAGTCGGTGGACCGCGAGGTGGTGGAGCTGACGGAGCGGGCCGCGTCCGAGTGCCCGTGGCCGGAGGCGGAGGCCGGCGCGCCGCCGCCGCCGCGCGATCCGCGGCGCGGCGCGCGGCCTGCGCGGGCGGCGCGTGCCTCCCGGCCGCCGCGCCGCTCGGCGTCGTGCTCGCCGCGCCTGCCGGCCGTGCGGCACTCGTCCGTCGCCGTTCAGACGGTCGACACGTGGCCAGCACCATACGAGTTTCTAATCGCCGACTTCTATCGCAATCTTCCCGACGAATCCCGTAAACAGGTAAGAGGAGCTACCCACGCGAATCGACAGTTTCCGTCATTTTCCTGATGCTGATCAACGAAGTGTATTACCCACTATGGCTAAAATTTCGCGGTCTTAATCGTTGTTGAGTTGATTCTATTAGAAATTTTCATCGTATCGATATGATATGATATATGATAACCTATTGTTTATAAGCATTTAGTTTTTATCATTCATTCTTTTTTGTATTCAAAATCAACCTATTCTGTTTCACCCCTGTGAATGTTGAGTACAACTGTAATTGGAGTTTCAGAAGTAGGCTGACTAATGAATTAGACCATTTGTAAATATCGTATTGAAGTAAAAAACAGACTATTTTTTAAGTTGGTGCAGTAGCTTTTGTGTGATACCAAAACAAACTGGCAGACAGACAAAATTTCAAAAAAATATTGTATTGGCTTCTGTTGCGTTTATTAAGACCTCTCCTTAATTTTTCTTTAATATTTCTCATATATAGACATTGTGTAGTTACAATTTTATCATATCAGGAAGTTTATTTAATTATTTATTTTCAGATAAAGAAAAATCAACAGCCAGAACTTTTCGTAATAAAAGAAATAAATATTAAAGACAAAAAACCAATTACAGGTTTTCACAAATACAATAAAAACAGATACACAAACTAACTTAGTACACGTCTTGTGGACCTTAGAATTAAATAAAGTTAGCGGTACAGTGTACTACCGGACGTTACATATCAGTGTTTCTTATCGTCGACAGATCGGTGACCGGGAATTCGAAACGTCAACTCTTCCGAGCGAGAAATTGGATGCGTACCTCGCGGAGATGTACGAGGGCCGCGGCGGGGCGCGGCCGGCCGCGAGCGGCGCCGAGCTCGCCGAGCAGCTCGCGCTCACGCACGCGCAGCTCATGTACGAGCGCTGGCGGCGCGAGGCGCACGCCGAGCGCAACCGGCGGCTGCTGGGCCGCTGCCGCCAGGTGCGCGCGCTCGAGCTGCAGAACGCCGCGCTGCGCGAGCGAGTCCGCGCCGCGCAGCTCGAGCGCGACGAGCTGCGCGCGCGCCGCCCGCCGGCCGCCGCGCCAGCCGCCGCCGCCGCGGCCGCCGCGCCGCCAGAGCGCGAGCTGCGGCTCGAGGCGGCGCTGGCCGACGAGCGCGCCGCGCGCCTGCGCAGCGAGGCGGCGCTGCGCGAGTGCGAGGCGCTGCGCGCCGCCGACGCCGCCGAGCTGCAGCGCACGCGCGCCGAGTCGTACGAGGCGGCGCGCCACGTGGAGGCGCTGGCGCGCGCCGCGCTGGCGGCCGAGCGGCGCGCCGAGCACGTGCGGCGGCTGCGGCGCGAGCTGCTCGTGCTGGCCGAGCGCGAGGCGCGCCTGGCCGAGGCGGCGGCGGGCTGGCGCGCCGCGCCGGCCGGCGGCGACGACCGCGCGCTGCGGGCGGCGCTGGCGCGCGCCGAGGCGGACGCGGAGGCGGCGGCCGCGCGCGCCGACGCCGCCGCGCTGCGCGCGCACGAGCTGGAGGCGGCGCTGGGCGCGCGCGACGCGGTGCTGGCCGAGCTGAAGCGCGCGGCGCAGCTGGCGGCGGACGAGGGCGCGGCGCGGCTGGCGGCCGTGCAGGACAAGTACGCGGCGCTCATGTGCATCGTGCGCGCCAACGAGGCGCGGCGCCTGGAGCTGCGCGCCGCCGCCTGGCCGGCGCAGCGCACGCGCGCCGCGCCGCCGCCCGAGCCCGGCGCCGCCGCCGCCGCCGCCGCCGCCGCCGCCGGCCGCAGCTAACCGCCCGCCGCCGGACGGACTGCGCTCGCGGTCGGCTTCCGGTGCCGCGTGGCCGCGCGATTTCGTATCACCGCCGCCTCCGCCCCGCCCTCGCTTTGAATTCAGTAGAGCCGCCGCTGCGATATTTACGAATCTGTTCACGTTTGTGTCGCCCTCGGCCCCGGGCCGGCAGTGCGCATACTTGTAAACGGCTCCCTGCAGCTGTAGTTATGCGGGTGCCGTACGATTACTATTAGATGTTACGATGTCTATAGTACATATTATTATTGTTAAGTAGATAGTATTGTACGTTTCTATTGTCGCTCGTTTTACTCGCTCGGTCGACTGGCCGCCCGAACGTGTCTGTACATAAATATATCCCTTACCGAATGAACTGACAAACCTTACCGATCCATCCATATACCGTGGGGATAGTTGACTGTAAAAACTAGCGATCGTATTGAGGCACAGGTCATGGAGATGCAGCCCCGCGTTATACCTGCCACCCACATACATGTCATGTTGACTTACCATCAGGTAACTGTAGAGTCAATGTCAATATGCCGCGCCAGTATCGGAAAAATTACAATAATAAAAAATAGCCGATGATATGTAGCTTTCTACGTGTCATATTTTTTTTATCGTTTATGTTTTGTTTGAGTATATCTATCACAAACAAAAACCCAAACCTATGGCCTTTATGTTACGTTATATAGGTATAGCAGAAAGATAAACGATACAAAAATTCGTCAATATAAATTTTATTTCATACCTTACGAGGTTTGTCCGGAAAGTATGTATAAAAGTTTTTTAAAAATTTTATTTTACAATTATTCAGGTAAATCAATTTTATCCCCTTCAAAGTACTCCCCCTGTGACATAATGCACTTGTGCCAACGCCGTTTCCACTGTGAGAAGGCTCCTTGAAAGTCCTCTGGTTGTAGGTTTCTCAGCTGCCCCGTCGTAGCTTTTTTTATCTCATTTATGTCCCCCAAATGCCGCCCCCGAAGTACCAATTTGGTTTTTGGGAACAAGAAGAAGTCACACGGGGCCAAATCCGGCGAATAGGGGGTGTTCGGTCACCGTAATGGAATTTTTACTCAAAAACTCACGGACAACAAGAGAGGTGTGGGCAGGGGCATTGTCGTGGTGAAGAATCCAACGCCCCTCTCGCGCCAATTCTGGACGAACTCGTGCCACACGAGCTTTGAGGCGTCTGAGCACATCGACGTAGAATTTTCCATCAACTGTCTGGCCTGGAGGGACGAATTCTTGATGGACAATCCCCCGAACATCGAAAAAAACAATCAACATTGTCTTGACATTTGAGCGGGATTTTCTTGATTTTTTTGTTCGTGGTTCCCCGGATGTCTTCCACTCTTTGCTTTCACGGCCATTCTTGCCGAGTTTCGAGAGAAACTTGATTACGACGCGCTGCTCTTCAACGGAAGCGGGCTCCATGCCGACGGGGTTTCGTTAAGAGGTAACTTCACAGATGGCGTGACAAGCCAGTTCGCACCGCACGGCGGTCAGACCAGAACTGAAGCATTGTTAGGGACATAAGGAAGGGGTCCTGCGCTTACCTGGCCTCCCCACTCCTCTTTCTCGCATTCCAGAACACTTTTATACGAACTTTCCGGACAGACCTCGTATATTGAGCAAAAAATGTAGACACTTTCTGAGCAAGTATTGTATAAAAACTATTTATTCTGTAATAAATCCATTTCGAAGCTAATTAAAAAAAACCGACTAATATCCTGATCACGCTTTACCTTTAAGGATAATTTCGCTAAGGTAATCAATGTCATTATCTCATTTCGTTTATAAATTATGTATTTGACATTATAGTTAAAAATTAAGAAGTGCTGTTCGTATGTCAGCCACCTCGACGCACTAATCTGTGAATTAATTAAAAAAATTTTTTTCGTTAATTATCACATGAAATTGATATATAAATGTGAAGTTCTAATAATGTAATTTAAAATATGAGGTTGTTGAAACATTGTGCCGTCACTGATTCTACTTGTGTTGTCGATATTATGATTAGTTACTTAGTTATGTTTAATATGTACGCTTTTATTTAGTTGTTAAATAATTTGAAATGTGTTTATTTACCCTTCTGTCCTTCTGTGTTGATATCAATTTTTTTTTCTCAATCAACTATGTAGCGGTAACAAATGTATTTGTAATTTATTACTGTGAAATCAACATATACACTAGCGCTCGAAAGTGTTTGGCCACCTAGTCAAATACATTTTGTAAAAGTCTGATTGAGTGAAACTACCTCGTAATTATTTTAACATGTTTATAGCCATTTTTAAAAATAACAAGAATATAATTTTAAAATTTAGGACGCATCTATGTGTCCACCTTTATTTTTATTGACAGCTTCACAAATCTTCGGCTACCTAGCTATTAATTTTTCCAATGTTGTCTTGATTATTTTCTGCCATTTCTCTAGCAGTTTTTTTCCACAAGTCTTCCTGAGATGTGGAACAACGTTTTCACACCTGTCTATGCAGCTGATCCCTCAATAGTTTAAGTCAGTGGACTGTGGAGGCCATATCATGAGCTTCATCACATGTTGTTCTTTTTCTTCTAAAAAGTCCTTGCATAGTCTTGACGTGTGTTTCGGATCATTATCATGTTCAAATATAAATCCCTGTCCAATTAAATGGGTTCCACAAGGCACTGCACACTGCACTGTCCTCCAATATCATTTTGTAACCTTCTTTTTTTTAAGATTCCTTGTATTCGCACAAGATGTCCTACAGCAGAGCCACCAAAACAGCCGCAAACCATCACAGACCGTCTGCCGAGTTTAAGTGAAGCCACAGTACACGCGTCATTCACATTTGTTTGACTGCCACCTTACGAATACACTTCGTTTAGTTCCAAACATTTCATATTTTGATTCGTCCATCTAGAGAACCTTCTCTCGATTTGCTATTGTCCAGTTCTTGTGTTCTCTCGTCCAATGAAGTCTCTTTTTGTTAATGAATTTATGAACTTGTTTTAAGACCGCTACGCCTCCCTTGCGTCCTGCGCCACAAAGTCTTTTAACTGACTGCTTTTTCACTACCCGCATTAAACTGTGCAGCTATTTCCGGTGCAGTTAATCGTCTTATTTCGTTTGATATTAATAACTATACTCAAATCTTCACTCGAAGTTGTGGCTCTCGGTCTGCCTGAACGACGTTTGTCTTGGTATCTCTTATAGTCTTGAAATTATACGATTACTTTTACCGGATTTATGAAGACCAATTATTATGCCCCTGATCTCTTGGGAATATTCTTTAGTTTTACCCATTTTCTACAAAAAATAAACTCAGAAGTGAGAAATAAAAAAAAAATTGGTGGTAGACTTTAAGTACTGAGCAACGGAGAGCGTGTTTTGCGTTGTTATACAAATAATGGAACCTAATAAATGATCTCTTTAAAATGTATTGTTTGTAACCAGAACAAAATGCAGGTAACCAAATACTTTGGAGCTCTAGTGTACATACACGTATGTACGCCACTGCACACTTCTGTGTTGTATACACATTTTAATTGTCAATAAAAATCAAATGTAAAAAAAAATTGTGACTATTTTTATTGATAGGACATTGTGTATCGGTCTAGATCAGTAACAGAATACGAATAAGTATGTAATTAGAAAACAGAATACGTTTATGAGAACAGAGACGATAACAATAGTTTCATGGTGTTGCGGGCTGATTACTTTTTAGATCCTTTCGATAAAAACATGTTTAATTTTTTTTACTTTGTATTTGAGTTAAGGTGTACTTGACATTATATCAAATTAGTCGTTAATTACTGACCGTCGCAGGTACTGTCGTTGAGAGCGGTCAAAACGTGTTTTCGATAATTGACCGTCAATTGAGACGTTACTATACTGCGTACGTGTGTATGTAAATGTTATGGCGGCTCTTAGCGTATGACCTGCCGAGTTCGATGGTGTTGTCTTATAACATTTCTGTATGTATGTATGTTACATTTCCGCACTGGTTGTACACCACCTCAAATGTCAACCTTCACACTTCTGTATTTGTATAAAATATAATTTGATATTGCAACGCTGTTATGTTACTGTAAGGCTTACTACTATTACTGACGAAGGAGGTGTTTTAGAATTGTTTCATACTTTAAACTGGAATATTCGTTGTGCGCTTATTGGTAAAATATATGCTTCGCTAATGGAGCGTGTTGCAACGCAACAGTGAGACTTGTACCAGTTGTTATATGAGAATAATTACATTATTTATATGTAGTACTTATGTTGCATTGGAAAAATAGGATCTAATAATTGTATTAGTAACGGACCAGCTCCGGCCGAGTGACACAGGGTTCCTAACAAGAGTGTCACGTCGTGCCTCGCTGATAATTGTATAGATATACATGTATTATATGTAATTGTATAAAATGATACCTAAAATAAAAAAAAGATATTTTGTATTAAATTATAAAGTATGTGGTGCGCCTGCGTGTAGCCGCTGATTGTTATGCTACATACATATTGTAATTTTTTCTTTTTTATAATTAAGTTTGTACCTACTATGTTTGTATGTAAAACAAAGTCTGGGCCTCTATTGAAACATCTCCTTTAATTGTGATTAAAATATTGTATTAAATAGATTGTTTTTAATTACTTATTCACCAATGCAGTTTGATTGCGTAAATGGGAAGTGGGAAACTATGTATAAAAGATTTCCGCATGTACGTCTGTCCCCCTCATGATTTAGATCCAATCAGTTGTCCTTCTGTAGCCGTTTCCAGTTGCAGATGGGATTATCATCATATCATATCAGCCGTAATCTGTTTACTGCCGAACATAAGCTTACCCCATAAACTGCTACAACTCCCTGTGGCTTGAGGTCGTAACTCCATCTAGTAGGAATCACCACTCAAGAACCTTTCTTCCCCATCGGTTGTCCGTTCTTCAAGCTATGTGACCAGCCTATTGCCACTTCAGCTTGCATATCCTTCGGGCTATGACGGTTATTTTAATTCTTTTACGAATATCGTCATTTGGCATTCTATCACGCAAAGAAACTCCGAGCATATCCCTCGCCATAGGTCGCTAAATAACTTGAAGCTTTTGCATACGGGCAATGGTGTAAGACCATATTTTTTTTACTTGATAATAATAAAATGGTAACCCCGCCTGCGCTATCGGGATACGCTGGCGGGCACAGTCTATCGTGACGAATTCCACTAGAATTAATCACGATGGTTTCCAGGGGAAACGGCGTGGAGGTCAGCCAGATAGGGTGTATTGCTAAGAATGAGTCAATTAGACCCCATTACTAACCATCCCTTTCCCCCCAGGACCATATTTTGGTTCCACAGGTCATCACTGGCAACACACACTCGTTAAAAACCTTCGTCTTCAAACAACTATCTTGGATGAGAAAATGTGGCGCAGTTTTCCGAACGCTACCCAGTCGAATTTATTAATTTTTTAAATAGATAGTATAACTTTAAATTACATATGCGGCTGAAGTGATTTTGGATAACTGTGAAAAAATAATTTGACAACACCGTTATTGTCTGTGTTCCATGTTTGCTATGTAATGGTGTCCTGGAATAAAAACTTGTAGTTGATTGATAATTGATAACTGGCATATTTTCATCGCTCCAATAAATAGACCCTCAAAAATAACGCTGCGCGTATTATTTAATAAACAAAATCCTAGTAGAGTTGGATTCGTCGGTTGACCTCTCGGTCGAAGTCCGACTTACCTTCTCGGACAAGTCGTCCCAGATATACGAGTATGTACTTAGCTACGACTTCGAGCGTAGTGCTCTTAATTACAATCGATATAGGTGTGATAGGAACGTTACACGTGATTTTTGTCTTATTCATGTACATCTTAATCTTGTTGAGAAGCACTATCGAGGTCATTGAGCATAGTGTTCAAGTCCTTCAGGGACTGTGCTATATCATCGCCAAATAAAACGTGAGTGATGTATTCGCCATTGATGTTTAGGTATACCATATGTTTTCCAGTCTAGAAGTTTGGAAACGTCTTCCAATGCAGCTGTGAAGAAATTCGGGGATATGACGTCACTCTGTCTTACACATGTCTGCATTGGAATGGGCTTCGTACTCTGGTTCTGTACCCAAATAGACATCGTAGTCTTACTGTACATACACTTCAATATACGTAAGGATAGTCCGGCACCGCCGGAGGGACTGCAGTACCGCCCATCTTTCAACCGAATCAACCGCTTTCTCATAGTCCACAAACGTCAGACATAGTGTCAGATTACACAGGAGATCGAAAAATATAATGTGCCATAGCGTAGGTATGTGGTCTATGGTGGTAACGCATTTCGCAAGCTCACTTGTTAGTAGTTGGAAGTTGAAGTTGCGTAAGACGATTGCGATATCGGTCTATAGTCCTTCAACAGGGTGTTGTCACCCTTCTTGAAGAACAGGACTACCGTCATTAAGCTATTTGAAAGCCATTTCAATCTCGTGTAAACTGATGTCCGGGATATTATCGGAGAAGTGTGTGTGGGAGGGGGGGGGGGGGGGAGATTGTTGTGAGAATGTAATGAGGATTTGCAATCCCACTGCTAGCATATACCCTATCAGGTCGATCTCCACGCGGTTTCCCCTGCAAACCATCATGATTGATTTATTGTTAAATTCATCACGAAAGACTAACTGACCTGCTTCATCCTCACCTATCATCCCTGACTTGGGCCTTGCCAGTGAATACCGTTAGCGCAGGCGGGGATCGTTGTTCGCATTGGTATGCAATCTTACTCGAGATCTAAGATGTGGTGGAAATTGAGTATGGAATAAGAACCTATGGCGATAGTTGTCACTGTCAGCTCAGTACGTCGCTGTCAGCTCATTTCACATTCAACGTTGTATTAATAAATACTTTAAATATATCACAATATTAGTTTTTAGGCGATTTCAGTTTTTACTATTGAGAAAGAATAAGAGTCACTCACTAGCCGCATGTCTCATACTATACTGATCGTATAATCCTTCTGCGGGGCATTGTGGGCGGACACTCGCAAATGTTTCTTTAGATAGATGCATTTCAGTTCAGAGAGCCTGTTTAGCAGCGCCTAAACTTGCACCCGTATAGTATATGACAGTTGCTCGACTGTTTCGATGACCAGAGCCTGTTTTCCGCTGTTGTCTCATAGTGTCCTGGGATTCAGTAGGACTGGTGCAGGCGTATAACTTTTACAACAGAGAAAGTTCTCAAGTTCGTTTTAGGACGTGCTTCTTTCGATATTTTCGTCAAATCTAAACCAATTATGAAAAAAAAAAAAAAAAAAAAAAACTGAGGGACAGAACAAACAGTGGAATTTTTCTATTAATAATTAACTGTATAAATGTTTATACTACTTTTACTGATACAAATGTGTAAACAAGTTTCCTACATGTTGCCTCTCGTCGGCTGCGCTTAGAATAGGTTACATTTCACCGCAGCCGCTCAACAGACCTCGGTCTTGTCACTGGTGTTCGCGACGCAAGGTAGCGTGCCCACTGTGTTCGCTCGCATAGCAAAATAAAAGAGATTATTCAGTTTAAATTACTCTTTATAACTAGAATCCACGGGTGGATAATACATTATATTTGGTACAAAACTCACAACATAAAATATAATATAAATAGAACGTTCAACAAACTCTTATTTACAATGTACAAAATATACAAACGCGTACAAAATAATCAACAACATAATACTAGAGGGGCGGCTCGGGGCGGCTCAGGGCAGCGGCTCGATGTAGTTCTCGGGCACGAGGCCGGTCTTGCCGTTGAGCGTGCCGCGCAGCCAGCCCGGCTCGCCGGACGCCGCCACGTTGGTGATGATCTGGTTCGGCTCGAACGACAGCTCGCCCTCCGACTCGCCCAGGCACGCGTACAGCGTGCGCACCCGCCTGCAACGTCGTGCGTGCACGTGTACGTCAGGTAGCGACGCCATGGACGCCGACCGGTGCGGTCGCGCTCCTTACTTATACAAACATGCTTTCACTATTTCACTTTCTCTATGTGTACCAGCCTCTATTACGAGCTTCAGTTTAAATAAAACCGGGACCGGCATACTTACGAGTGCCTATAGAGCGGGGTGCGCGCGAGCAGCGTAGTGGAGCCGTGCAGCGGGTGTCCGGCGTGTCCGGGGTGCGGCGGGTGTCCGGCGTGTCCGGCGTGTCCGGCGTGTCCAGCGTGGCCGGCGTGGCCGGCGTGCGCGGCGTGCGCGCCGGGCGGCGGGGACGCGCTGTGGCTGGACACGGACTCCGCCGAGCTACTGCTGGACCGACCCACGCCTGCAAGTTGATTGTCCGTTGTAGCGATATCGAAGTAAATCATTGTACAGATATGATTCAATTGTAAATGGATGATATCTATACGTGAGAGAATTATCAAAGAAAATTTAATAACCTCAATATATGCAAAAACATTTTTTTTTATTTTGTCTCTCTGTACGTATGTTCCGGTATCACGCAAAAAGGACTACACCAACTTGGATGCGATTTTCGTAGTTGTATTCCTCTTGAAGGTCTAACTTAAAATATAGTGTATTTTTTTTATACCACTGAGGTGGCAAACAAGCATACGGCCCACATGATGGTAAGCGGTTACCGTAGCCTATGAACGCTTGCAATACCAGAGGTATTACGCGCGCGTTGCCGACCCTGAAGAAACCTCTTTACCTCCCTTTTGAAGAACCAGTTATGTAGCAATTTGTTAATGTAGCAACAAGAATGTTTCATGTTGCTACATTAACAAGAAGCAATCTATTTAATTGGTTTCCCCACTACCTGCATGCACGCGTGCGGTGTTGCGGGCGACAAGCGACACGCCAGCCACGAAGAAAATTATTGCAAGTTACTGAACAAACATCGACATCGACTTGTAGCGCATCAGTGCAATCTCTGGCGTCACCGAACCAATCAATTAAATACTGTTCTTGACTTTATACTTTTAGGATTCCGTACCTCGAATAGAAGGATGGAACCCTTATCACTTTTTTTATAAATTAAATTTGTACGGAACCGTCGGTGCTCGAGTACGACACGTAGATGGAATTATTATAAAGGAGGGCGAATCTGTTGAGTAGTTTCAACACTACTGGCAGTAGTGGAGGTCTCCATCGGTAACAATGTACTCATAAGGCAACTGCCACGGAATTGATGAGGACTATTTTCCAGGGGGAGGAGTTGACTGGTGGTGACAGAGTGCGCGGTGTTCAGCCGTACTGACCGGCACGCAGCGCGGGCGCGGCGAACTGCTGCAGCAGCTGGTGCTGGTGCGCCGCGTACCGGCCCGCGCCGCCCGCCGCCAGCCGCTCGCACCCCACGCCCACGCCCACGCCCACGCCCACACCCACACCCACGCCCACGCCCACGCCCACGGTCTGAAACCAAGTATTGTTCATGTAGCCGCATATTGTTATTTTCATTTGCAACACGTGCGACATGCTGCTGTAACGGTGTAACGGTGCTGTAAAAATATCGACGTCGCTAAAAGAGGCACGGCGGGCCCGTCACGGAATTAATCATTGTTGAATATTATATATAATGTTATTTATGTAAACAACACACATAATTATAAATATGTAATACAAAATTATTTAGTCACTTCGATCTGGTATAAAATAAAACATTTAAAGTACCTCATTATTTATTTTTATCAGTTAATGATAAATCAAAATAATCGATTTCAATTTGATCAAAATTTGTAGATTTAAGGGAATAAAACATAGAAAAGTTATAACAAACAGATACATAGAAACACAAGCAAAAAAAAAAAAAATACAAAATGTACATGAGATTAAAAATATTGTAATAAGTGTCATTAAGTATGTAATAAATATTTGTAACAAGGTATATGTACTCACTATGTCATTACGAGCCGCCGCGGGCAGCGACGTCGGCGACGCACTGTGAAATGAAATACGCACACTTCAGTTACGACAATACAGTGGACGCTTACATTATATACCATACATAGTGTCTCCATACAAATGCTGTGAGAAGAGTGTCTCAACTTTTTTATACAATTTAGCATGACAAATAGTTATGGGTGATTCTTTATTGAGTTCTATATTTATTTGGTCTTAGAATTTTTAGACATTTTAAATTTTGTAACAATTCATTTTATTTATTAAATAATTAAATATAAATACGTCAAGGTACATTGTCTGCGTAAGTATATAAAACACTAATGAAAAAAACGATTCTGACAATTAACTGACATAAAGTTAAGCTGTTTTTGAGGCTCGATGCTCTGTCTATATAATCTAACACTTATTAAAATAAAATAAAAAACTGATTTCAACTTGACGAGTAGATAATATGATAAAACAAACTGGCTACAACTACCGGCCTGCCGATACTACACAACACAACTGATTATGTTTTGTAATTAAATAAATAGCGCACAATTAAACTGCTATACAATATATTGAATATGATCAGTAAATATACCGACCCGGCGATCACAAATCCCGACAGGCAGATAATCATTCCGCACTGAACTGAATATAACGACACACTGTTCGCAGTCACCGTGCACCGGCGTCGTGAGTTGCGAACGGGCCGCGGACCGGCGGCCGCGCACTGTGCGAGTGAGCGAGTGAATGAGCGGCGGCCGCGCTCGCGCTGTATATAGGCGCGGGATGCGGCGTGATTGGCGGCCGGCGGCAGGTGCCGCACACGTGGGCCACGCACCTGCCGCCGCCGCCACCACCGCCACGGCCGCCACCTGGCTCGGGCCGTACCGCGTCCGCCCACCTCCATCCAGGCCGCGCATCAATCCCGCACCTTACACCCTTCATTACACTCTATAGTACACTACCCCTCTAATAAATTTCCTTAATTTTAGTTTAAACAAGCTCGACTGATCGTTAATGTAACGCTTACATCTAACAATGAATAACTAGCAATTGATATAAAATTATATTTCGCGCTTGAGAAATTGAGACGATCTCCATTCTGAATTACCACTTTACTACGAGAACAATTAGAGTTCTTTTAGTAATGCACAATATAATTAAAATATTAATAATTTATATGTATATTATGTATTTTACAAGCGCACCGTAGACATGAAGTGAAACGACTTTGCGTGTGCGTCGAATGATCGCGCTTGACTCTCTTCGAGTTTCTTTAACACCTCTACCCACCACAAAAAATATCCTCTAGAAAAAGTATTGTGTGCTATATATTAAACTATTAGATATATATAGATTCTACTAATATTATAAACCAAAAATTTTTTAAAAAATGTTACAAAGAGTTGGACGAAGTTGAATGACATTTATTATATACATCGCCCGTATGTTAGACCGTAATCAAACACTAGTCACACAACATCACTAGTTGCAATTAATAAAATAAATATATAAATCGTTTGCACCTCCAATTAGAATATACTGTTTCTATTATGAGAAACCAGATCGACAACAACCAACTGAGCCCTGCCTCACGACATTTAGGTTCGAGCTCCTGTAGACTAGTTCGTTTCAAATTTGCCTGATCGATAATCAAACCAAAGACTATGTATACGCAAACACGATGAATTGGCTTTGTGCAGTAGAAACCCAGATGCGTCGCGAGGAGGAGCGAGCCGGCGGCGGCGGCAGGTGTGAATTCCGTGCGCTGCGCACGCGCAGCTGTCACATTCTTATCTCCGAGCTGCGCCCTGCAGGGCTTCTACCGATGCACTCATGTGTGCATTATATGTATGCTCGATGGCCAATGACCGTATCCGCGCACCATACTCATGTATATATATAAAAGAGAATGCCGAGTGACTGACTGACTGACCCATATATTAAGGCACAGCCCAAACTGCTGAACGCTGAATCTTTAAATTTTGCATATAGGTCCTTTATATAGCGTAGGTGAACAATAAGAAACAAATTTTAAAAATTCAAGCCCTAAGGGGGTAAAACGGAGTTTAAAATTTTGTATGGCATTTCTTTATTTTAACAGTGGAAGAGAAATTTATTACATAATACCACACGCGAGAAAAGACGCGGCCAAGAATTAGTAGTAAATATGAATATAAATAGCTATGGTCAGCTTTATTATAATTTAATGATAATGTAAACAAACGAATAATTGAGCCGACCAAAACGCAGTTTGCTGATGTCCCACAGTAGTGCAAACCGACAATCAATTGATCGATTGAATAGTTCAAATAGTTTATAACGATAAGTCGATTGTTTTGTGTTTGGTCCTTATTTTGTATGTAGTTTTTATCATTCATTAACATTCTTTTTGTATTAAAAATCAACGTATTCTGTATTCTGTTGTTAAAAGTTTTGCTTGTAATCTGTTTATGTACCACACAAATAAATAAATGGGATGTTTCGATTTGTTCGTAATGTAATGTAGTGTTTCAGCCAAACTTGGTCGGCAGACTCTCTACTATTACAGTGCGACTATTGCATACAACCATAATAATAGCTCAATAACATGTGCACAGAGTACAGTTCGGTAAGCACTTCATTGCAATAACACTTGTCGTAACTACTTGTGAACACAACTATTCACAAGGGCCCACTTATTTAATTTCATTGATAAGATTGTCTTTTCAACATTACATTTTCTATTGGCATTGTGTATATTTGTTTAATATATTAGGTGCAATAAAGAGTCAAATATTCGAGTCCGTATTTCTAGATGTACCAATTATATACTCACATACAGAGGAAATAACAAATGTCAAGGCCGGGAGGGTCTCAGCAGCTTCGTTTGCACTGGATCCTTGTTGTCTGTGGATATGTAGTGTCTCTGTATGCGCACACCTACAGTTGTCTTACACCTTGGTTGCCTAACAGTAAATGTCGCTAATTATTCCAGTCTTATGAAAATATTTTTTTTTTATTACAAAAATTTATCATTTTTGCAATATTAATTATTACTGACGTAATAAAACTGTAGATAAATAATGTCTATACATGGGAAGTAATTAACAAAAATATAATAAAATGAGGAGTTAATAAGACTAATAGATATATAAATAATAATTTTTAAAAAATTTGTCTGTCTGTATGTTTGTTCCGGCATCACGCAAAAACTACTATAACACATTAGATGCGGTTTTCACAGTTATATAACTGCAAATCAGGTGTATGTTTCATGTTGATACGTCATTTAGTAGTGGCGTATTCCATTGGTAATCCTACTTCGGATATCCACACGCGCCAAGTAGCGGGTAATAAGGTAATATTATATATGTAGGTATATTCTTTTATAAATCTTTCAAATCAAAAACCTTTTTCGTACAGCGGATATCAGTATATTGGATCGATATATAAATTTAAATGTTTATCTTTAGCGCCCAGACGATACAGTTTGTTAAACGCACACTATTTACCTGCAAGGTAAACCGAATATAATAATATAGAGGTAGTGCGAGCGACGCACTCGGAGCGGTACAGATAACGTGCGCGAGGCTTCTTAGCATTTTTTGTTCAGGTTTTTGCATCAACAGCTGGCGAGCGGCCGCCGCCCGCCTCCTCTCGATGCGCGCTGATTGTATTGTGGATCCCTTTACAAAACGTTCCCCGCACAATAGAGCCCCGCTCGACGGAGCCCATCCTGACCTGACTGAGCGCGATACCAAATGTATTCGTTTATTTGTATAACGGGCGCTCGGTGGACTTATAAAATTAATACGGAAGCAGTCGTAAGTAATACGACTTGTCTTGTGACTCGTGCACCGGTGACCGGCCATACATACGCGCTCCGTCGCTGACAATCTGTTCCTACTTTTTTCCATTGTGCTTGCTAACTGACTTGTCAATGCGTCGAATATCCATACAAAATAAATGTATTCAGTTGCGGTTGAGCAACGAACTACCAAGTTTTCACGTGTACAATGTTAGGAATATAAACTTTTGCAAACATTTCACACTAGCTGATCTGACAGATGTCCTCTCTATATAACGAATTATTATTTACTTTCCACTGAAACCTTATAATCGGACCATGATGAATATTAAATAAAAATATGCAAACCGGTCTAGCCGTCTTCAGTGTATTTAATGTTTATTTATGTAGGCTCGTATGTACTATCTACGTAGACGTTTGGCCGTAGGTGTGCGAATCCGTATCTTCATAATAATATTTACATCGTAATTAGGTTTTGTTTTTTAAAACCTTTAGTGATTGGTAAAACGATAATTACTTTATTTACAACAGAACATTTCTGTAATCCCTTAAAAAACATACTACGACACTACAATCTATCTCCTCGCCAAATTGCAAGCGGGACATTCTTTCATATACGTTTCCAGGGACTCTGTAACTCCTCTCTCACATTCGTATAGAACACGGACTATCGGTGGTCTACCATGAAACGTAATTGTAAATTTTCTGACTCATTTTCGTATTTTTGTTCATAACGGAATCGTGCCAGTAAATGAAGCCGAAAGAACATTTCGTTCGTCATAAATCCGACCATTTAAATCCAAAGGGACGATATTTTAACATTCTGTAATATTTTTAAACGTATTACTTTTTTTATACAACATAGAATGACAAACAAGCTGACGGCCCACCTGATGGAAAGTGATAACCGTCGCCTATAGACATGAGCAGTACCGTGGACATAACAGAGTATACTGTTTCGCCCATGATACCCCCCATGCGTTGCCATTCCTAAGGACTCAGGTGTTATTCCCCTGTACCCAGTAAATTCGCGCCATATCCCACCCTTCAAACCGAAACACAGCCATGCAAACACAATTGCTTCACGGTTGCAACACGAATAGGACAGAGGTGCCCAAGCAATCGACTTTTATTCAAAGACTCCCTCTGGTAATGAATGATGAAATTACGTAACTTTAATATCAATTTTTTGTTTCGTTCGGTCTCAAAATTTCGGAAAACATTTCAAGGTACGTCCTATGATCATAACAGGTTAGTTTAAGTCTCTCCCGGTATTAATCCTCTATCGCACTGTATATCAGTTTTGTCAACCTTTCCTTTCATCTGACATTCCTTCCCCATGCTCGAACCGTCGTCGCATGCTGTTATAGATGCTGATATTATGAAGATGATTATCGACCAACATTACAACCTACGTATTTAATTGCTAAAAATAACAATCACTTTGCTCCGCAATAAAAAAAAAATACATTGAACGTGAAAACGCTTAATTTGTAAGAACTGTTTGTCGTATTTAATAATCTTAGATTATATAGACAGAGCATCGAGCATTAAAAACTGCTCAATCTTTTATTAATATAAAAAGAGTCTGCTAATTCGACAATTAGCCGACTTGTTTCATTTTTAATAGTGTTCTGTATAATTACGCACACGACGTTTCTTAACGTATTTAAAATTATTTCTAAATAAAAGAGTTTTTGCGTAATAAAAACACGCAAAAATTATATATTTTTTTTGTGTTCGTTATTGTCAAAACTAGGACTATAGAAGAATATTTAAAAAATCAAACAGTATTTTTTAAATATCATAATATGAAAAGCGAGTAAGATAATAAGGACAGAAGATTGTGACATATGAGATCGTCAATATATTGACAAAACTTTGCCAGATTGACGTTCACGTTGGTTGTTCAGCCAGCAGTTGATAAGTTCAACATTACTTTGTAGACGACGTTTCCCCGTTTTGATCGTGGGCTCGGCGTCAACAAACAACACGCCAACCATTATAATTATCTCTTTATTATACGCCATAATGTCTACGATGTACATACATAATATAAATGTTGTTATTGATAATAAAATGCCACCAGTAAGACGAGGACACATCGGTCACCGCACGGGTAACGCACGTCGAGTTCACAATCTACGAGGCAATGGCACTGAACAAGAGCGTAGGTAGCCATTTGGAGGCAAACAGAATGAGAATTTCTCGTGGTCGAAAACAACATAATCCCTTATTTAGAGGGATTCAACACAATTAGCGGATGAATTCTGAGAAATACTGAAATTAAGTTTCTAATAAGAACTATATGATTACTTTCAAGAAAGTCAGTTTAAAAATATACTTTCTCGTATAAATGTACAGCCCTACTTTGACAACGCTAGGAGTTGAATTTCGAGAATCCTTCCTTATTATTTGCGTAGGTTATAAAAGGAATCTACTATCAAAATTTATTAATTTTAACTTTAGTATTTAGCAGTGCATTGATAAATCAATGTGTCAGGATTTTTTTCTTTACAATATAGTATAGTATAGAATGAGTGGTCCTATGACTGGCAATTAACCCTGTTGGCTCGTCCTGTACGCGGCAGTCCTGGAAACTATTGTATTCCTGATGGATTTGTCACGACGGGCCGCTAACGCGTACCTACTACTATTCCACTTTCATATATTAAAAAATAACAAGAGCACTGACCTGAGTATGCCGTTGTGCGCGGGCGCGGGCGGCGGCGGCGGCGGTGGAGGTGCGTCGTCGGCGTCGGCGGCGGCGAGGGCTGCGGAGGGCGGCGGCGAGTCGCCGAAGATGTCGTGGTAGTGCTCGAGAAGCGTCTCGACGAGCACGTTGTAGAACTTGAGCTCGAGGATGGAGGCGACGGTCTCGCGCTCGGCGCGCAGCAGCGTCGGCCCGAAGCACACGGCCAGGTTCGAGATCGTCATCAGGTTCTTGTCGCTCTTGGCCGCCACGCTGCACCGCGCGCACACACATATACACACACCGGTCACAACCCACGCACGCACGCACACACGCACGAACGCACGCGCACGCGCACTCATACGCTCTCCACGTTCACAAGAGCAAGAAAATTTACCAAGTTGGGTGTAAACGCAGATTGTTACAATAGTGACTCGTCATAATAAGCAGATGTTAACAAACTACAGACGTATACTAAGAGCGGCGGTTATGGCCGGGTGGATAAATTTTCTTGCTGGTGATCTAACGTGTATGTGATTATAGGCATGTGCGGCGTGCAACGTGTAATCCAACTTGATAGTAATTCCATTTTCAATTCCGATTTTTAACGTGTTCACAGACACGGCGCTCGCAACGATATGCGTGTCGTTTATATACGAAATAAAATACATTTAAATATCATGGACAAATTAAACCTCACAACGGCAGTATATTAACATTAGAAATAGCACTGACATATGGCACTGGAATTATGTGGTATGGTACGGAGATACAACATCTAGGTCTTCAGGAACGACAACGCACAAGGAGTGCTATGGGCATCTATGTTTATAGCCGATGGTTATTTCATCTAGCATTGGGGGCGATCAGCTCGTTTAACGCATTAAATATCATAGAGAAGTAGATAGATTTTCAATCGGCGTCGAGGTGTTTCGTTGGTATTGCCGACCTAGTGACGGTACCGCGGTTACGGTACCGTGCCGGGTGTACGTACTTGCGCAGGTGGGCGAGCACGAGCCGCAGCATGTCGTGGTTGAGCGGCGGCAGCGCGCGCACGAGCCGCTGCACGGCGGCGACGCGGTCGGCGCGGCTCTCGCACTTGGCGGCGGCGATGAACTGCGCGTGCAGGGCGCGCGTGAGCAGCGGGTCGGGCAGCGCGCGCAGGTAGGCCTTGAGCGCGGAGGTGAGCGTGGCGGTGTCCCAGGCCAGCGGGTCGCGCAGCGCGGCGGGCGGCCGGCGCGGCGCGTGCGCCAGCAGCCGCGCCACGCGCGACGCCACGCCGGCCACGCGGTACAGCCCCGGCTCGGCCAGCCCGCGCGCCTCCACGGCGGCGGCCAGCGCGCGCACGAACGCGAAGCCGGCGGCGTCGAGCGCGCAGCCGGGCGGCGGCGCGCCGGCCAGCGCGGCCGCGGCCGGCGCGCCGCCCTCCACCGCGCGCAGCCACGCGCCGCGCTCGCGCTCGCTCGGCGCCTGCAGCGTCAGCGCCGCGCGCTCGCGCTCCGCCGGCAGCGCCTGGCGAAACTACACGTTCATACGGCCCCGTTTCTCCCACGAGTACCGCCGACCACGCATATGTATATACTACGTCGACGTCAAAGCAACTTGTAAACAAACGTAAGGTCACGCGCGGCCGAGTGCGCGGGCGCAGCGGCGCGGCCGTACCTCCCAGCAGAAGCGGCGCTCGACGGCGCCGTCGCTGCACTCGCGCGCGCCGCACACGCACAGCGTCTCGCTCGGGCCCACCTGCACCGTGAGGAGCTTGTGAAGTGGACAACGACACCGAGCCGCATATGCGAAGAGCGACGAGTGCAAATTTAATTCAATGTTAATATCAGCAGTCTTTTAAAAAGCTAAATTAAGTCAGTACTAAATCAAACCATGCAGCCGCTCGCTTCCAAACACAAACAAATTCAAATAAATATATAGCTGCTACCAACAAATTTGTGTACCTGCTTTTGTTTTGAGGAAGCAAAAAGTGTCTATTAGGACATTGCGCAGATCAATTTTACTATAAATTTTCTTCTCTTCCAATGTATTTAATACGAGCTGACAATACACACCTTTTGCAAAGCCTTAAAACACTACACATGCTCAATGACTCATTAAAGAACGCGTTTCTATTTAAATCTTATCTCTGGCTTCACTAAACTCGCTGCAGGATAGCCATGTCCAAATTAAATATAATATTAAATCATAAGTACCGGATCACGTTGTATGTTGTATAATATAAAGGATATATTCTGTTTAATGTAAAATATTTTCATATAATATACAATGCTAGGGGCATGTTCTCAGTATCTGCATGCATGGTGTGACACATTCCTCCTTGTTATTCCATCATCAAATTAAGAAGTAACACCACCACCGTACTGTTAAGGAACAGTGCGTTTCGTTCCACACACGCCGCACTACTGTGGGACACGTACGCAGGAGACATATGTTTTATGCAAGTAATAAGAGGGCGCAGGTACCGTTTTGACGTTGATCTGGTTGTAGGGCGTGAGCGACAGCAACCGCGAGTCCTTCTCGTACGTGCAGTACTGCTTGCTCCAGGTGGTCGTGCCGAACGCCTCTGGGCGAGCGGACAGCCATCGCCGGCGAACACACAAACGAGCGAAACACATGTTAATTTATATACACACCAATATATTATATAAAAAAAAAGAAAGATCGCCTTCAATCGTGGCAAGACCAGTAATTTTGATTTAAAAACTAAACTCGGAGAGGGAGACTGTACAAAAGTAGTCTGCATGGATAAGTACCTCTGTCTCATTCGTATTTCTGTCGCGAAGTAGTTGTGTTTGTATGGTTGTATTTCTGTTTGAATGGTCCACCCTTATGGCAATGAAATTACAGGATACATCATATACACCATAATCCTCAGGAATGGCAACACATGAAGGGTAGTATCATGGGCAACACAGTATGATCTTTTGTCTATAGGCAACCATTACCATTTTACATGAGGTTGACTGTCAGGGTGTTTGTCATTCTAAGTACTACTACACGATTATGATAAAAATTTCATGGTACTAATCTGAAAGTAACCAGCAGAAAGCAAAGAAAAGCAGTTGTGTTTGCATGGCTGTGCTTAGGTTCGAAGGGTGGGATATGGAAATGAATTTACAAAGTACAGAGGAATAACACCTAAGTCCTCCGGAATGGTAACACATGGTCCATGGTACTGCTCATGTCTATAGGCGACGGTTACTACTTTTTGTCAGGTGGACCGTCAGCTTGTTTACCATTCTAAGTTGTAAAAAAAAATGAAGCTGTGATCAACGTGCGGCTCCTGCGATTGGTCGTTGCAGCAGTAGACCAGATAATGCAGCGCCGACGGTGGCGGCGGCACTGCTCTGAATGTGAGCGGGTAAAAACAGATGTATACTCGGTATGCACAACATTTAAAGAAAATGTAAATAAACTAATAATTGACTCGAGCGGTCATCTAATGACCAGTAAATCGCAAATCATAAATAGTTTAAATAAATATTTCCATTTGTGAATAATTTAATTTGGAATGTGTTCCTGTGGTTATTTCAACAAAGCTTGTGGTTTACGGCGACAGTGACTGTGTGAATGGTACTCACTCTTCTCCATGAGAAACAGGTAGCCGGCGCGCGAGACGCCGCCGCCTTCGTCTCCGGCTTCCTCCTCTTTGTTCTATACGACACGACACGACACGATTACTCTCAGTAGTAATAATCGGGCATATTGCATTATGTTATATTTATTTATTTATTTTATTTAGAAGCATATTCAGCAATGTTAATATTCAGTTATCAAAGAATGATGGGTATACTGTCTAAATACATAATTTAAAAAAATATCAATATTAATGTGTGTGGGAAGGCAACCGGCAGTGTGTTGGACGTGCGACGAAATATAAGAGTGACGCTCACCTGTCGCGCCTCCATCATCTTCTTCATGAGCGACTCGGTCTGCTTGCTGGTCTCCTCGAAGTTGGTCCGCGTCTGCAACCGACCGCGCGCGTCACCGACACAGCTGCAGCACGCGGCACTCACACACGCACACGCACACACACGCACACTCACTCAGGGGCCGCATTCACACCATGCATGCCGTCTCGTTAGGACTCCGCAGAAACAGTGTTATCGTCACACATTCACACTATGCATTAGGAATGTATGTTACCAAAACAAAACAAACATGGTGTACGAGTATGGATACGGAATGTTTTAATTGCAGCCAAAACTAAACAATTCCAAGTTAATGGTTTAGGCAAAAATCCTATGTTTAAAACTACAAGCGGTGATCTCGGGTCTATCGTCCTAGTGAGTGGCTAAGTATAACAGAATCGGAAAGATGCATCAAAGTCGAACCTACATATAAAAATTGGGAATAAAAATGTATTACTTGTAGACAATTCAGTTACTTTGGCATCCAGAAGCGAAAAAAACGTTAAGTATAAGGAGCAAAGAACCCAACATGATTATATCGTAAGCGACAGAGACCTACGGGTGGCGAGCTCCATCTCGTCGGCAGTGGCCGCCGCGCCGCGCCCCCTGGCGGACCACACGTACGGTGTTAACTTCACATTTTCCAACAGGAACTCATTATGATCGATGGTTACTATAATATATCGTACATTATTTACAGTATTCACTCAGCGGTCTGCTGCTATTTTCACCATGTCGTCGGTTAATCCCATATTAGAATGTCAACCCAGAACCTTCAAGACGTATTAAAAAATTCTTAATTTATCTATTTTGTATTAGCAGTACGTAATACACTATGATTTTCATACATAAAAAATCTTGACATGACATGTTGCACAAATTAGTCATTTAAAAGTAAGACGAACAACACAATTCTTTTTATTGTAGCGATTTCATTTTATGTTATGCCATGTCATTTCAATGGACTGTCATGTCAAGACTGTTAACCACTATAACTGTATGTGTGTGCGTGTGTGTGCGCAGGTGTCGTTACCCGCTGTATGCGCAGCTGCAGGTCGCGCACGCGCGGCTCTGCGTCGGCGTGCACGTCGTGCGCGGTGTGGTGGAAGGTCCACCAGCCGAACACGAAGCCGAGCAGCGTCTCCACCAGCTCGAACTTCTTGCGCTCCTGCACCGCCTGCAGCTGGAACACGTACTCGAGGGACGCGCGGCAGAAGTCGCGCTCCGCCATGTCCATGGCCGCGTCCGCCTGCACCGCACCACGCCGCACCGCCGCGCACCGCCGCGTGACAACCAATGTAATATTTTATAACTGTACAACTTTATATTCATTGTATGTCAAACAATTAAATCACGTGTAATTGGTAAACGATCACCAAATGAAGGAGACTCTCAATTCTCTTTCAAATTGCCAATATGTTTACGTGATTACATCACCAATTCTGGTCCGATTTTGACATTTCGTAATCGTATGCGTATCTAATAATATAGATTAGTATAGATAAAAAAATATTAGAGGAAAATAAATCTATGCCTTTAACTAGGATCGTTCTTGCGAAAATATCAACCTTAAAAAAACAAATTCAATTATGCGGTCCAGTTTACAACCCAAATAATGGCCGAAAATAAAAAATTACGAATTACAGTATCAATAATAACAACTACTAGATGCCTATTTCGTACAAGAAATGCAAGGTAATTTTATTTCATCATCTCCACGGAACCCTCGGCGAGTGAGTCAAACTCACACTTGACCGGTTGTTTTTTTTCTTATCGGAATAGAAAGTATCCTGTCTCTGGCGCGAGTCTACAATACTCTAATAATAGAAAAACAAGAGTGATTTGTTATGCCTGACGATTAATTTGCCTCAAATAATATACTGACCTCTTGGAAGACATTCTCTTGTTTCTTAGTGGAGAGAGACAGTGTCCGCTCCTGGCTCTGACAAAACTTGGCCGTCTTCTTGTCGAACTTCTTCTTGCCCTCCTGCGGACAACAAGGTGCCGTGTTAGTCTGTGCGGCGCGGCGTACGCATCAACGCACCTGTGTACGCGTGTAATGTCATTCATAATATTATCTTATCAGTGCAGCAGCTCAATAGCGGCAATTTATTGACACGAAGTACGCACGGACAGTCGTCCGTAGCAAAATGATTAATATCACATTACAATTTACAATCGTATTGCAGATAAATGAATGAGATTGTTTCAAGATCTAGTACCAACGTTATATAAGTTGCCTTCATTTGATCCGTTATCACATTACGACAGATTCAGATCTTATCCAGACCCTCAATAGAAAGACGAGTTCCCCTAATAATACAGATGTGCAGAAACGAACGTAAAGCTTGATAACTCTCTCTCTCTCTGTCTTCCAGTAATAGAATCTTTGTATATTCATTATGTATATAAAAGTATGATTACATAATTATACGTCCTGTTTAATCTTAATATATATATATATATTTATATATATATATATATTGCTTAAACCGTGAGTAACAAGGACGAACGGTGACGGCCGTGTCAGACTGAAGCACGTCTCACCAGACTAGACCAGCCAACCAAAGGTCAGGCGTTAGTCAACATTTCGTGTGGTGAATGAGTACAAATAAATTGCGTTATTGTTATAACAATATAGCTACGCCGAGCGACACAGTTTGTCGACCCATTTTAATGTTCATAATTGAATAAAGTTGGAACTATGTACAGAACTTGTTCTCTCTCTATCACATCTTGAAGGACACCAAGGCAAAAAAAAAAAATACACTGCACAATTTGAATGAAGCCAAATATGTGAAACTTTGTTATATGCCGAGATAGTGCGAAAAAAGGCACATCAACCAAAAGTTGGAATCTAATTTTAATTTTCATACCATAACTGGTACCACGGCTGGCGATTCGTGTAAAATTTTGAACCTTTAAAAATGATAGAATGTATGGTTAAGTGAAGATACAATCGAGCCCTAGAGATCTTCTCAAGCAATATGCGACTTTGTGACTCACCCACTAAAAACTAAAACCTCCTACGAACGTATTTTAACTATTACACTGTTTTGTCACTTTCTTTCAAACTAAGAATTTAGTACAAAAGAAAAAGACAAAACCGTTCAATAGTTAAAATAGACTTATGAGATTTTTTGAACGTTGACAATGGAATTGTGGCCCCGCCTGCGCTAACGGTATACGCTGGCGGGGCACCAGTGAGGGACGACAGGTGAGATTGAAAAGGCAGGTCAATCAGCCCATCGTGATAAATACACCTGGAATTCAGCACCACGACCTGGTTGGGAATATTTGACGTTTTCGCCTTAAAATAGGTTTATAGAGCATCTACATGTGACGTCTCTATTGAACAATTATTGCACAATTACAGTGCATTTATGAATAAAGATTTTTATAATCACGTCATTTCCTTGTTATAGAGGGCTTATAAAATGTTGACAATTTTTATGAATAACACGGTACAAATAGATACAGAACAGATAGAATGCTCTCGTAGTTCGCTCCAAATCGACTCTTTCGGCTACCATTTTCCATCAGGTGGGCCGTCTATTTGCTCTCCATTCTAAATTGCATAAAAAATAGTGAGTATATCGATTGCTTCGATGCAACAACACGTTTGACGCGTTGCAACGGCGGAGTGGGAACAGTCGGTGCATCGAGCTATCAAAAAGCTACTCGACTGCCACGACTGAAGTTGCAGTGCGTGCGGGAAGTCAATCCAATCGCCACCCGCCGATATTAAAAGTTAACATGTTCGCTAATCTGTTTATTTGTACCAAGCTCGGTGTTCCAGATATTTACAATATATGGTGTCATTGACAAGTAGTAGCATGATTGTTGGTTCTTTGAGCTATGTGACCAGCCCATTACCACTTCAGCTTGCTTATCCTTCAGGATATATCGGTTATTTTGGTTTGAGGATATCCTAAATTCGGATTCTATCACGCAAAGAGACTCCGAGCGTGGCCCTCTCCATAGCCCGCTGAGTAACTTGAACTTTTGCATACGGGCAATCATGTAGGAGCATGTTTCGGTTCCATAAGTCATCACTGGCAACACGCACTGGTTATGATTAATTTATGTTCGAGGGATGGGCAGCTGCGTCCCTCTTAAAATATCTTAAAAGACCCAACAGCGGTTGCCAACCCGCATATCAAACGTGGCAACTACTGGCAAAACCCCCCAATGATAAACATATTAATGTACTGACGTGTGAATAATATTATCGCAACGAACATCGCCGCGAATGTTCGCTACGAGTACCGAGCGACGCGACGTCAATGACGTTCAATACTTATTTAACTCAGCAGCGTACGTATCACGGAACAATAGATAATGTAAAGACAAGGTCTCGTCAAATTTTATATTGACTTGTAAGTATAATTCACGTTGTGCATAAGCGACCTACTCTTATAGTTAGTGATCAAAATATTATTTTGATTCAAAAGCGGCCAAACCAGGGGATCTAAGCAAACAATTTCTGGAATATATATATATTTTTTTATCCATAATTACGGGTCCGTCGTGAAGATTTAAAAAAGAACCTTTCTTATACTATATAACCAAACACAAATGCTATCGACTTAAAACATGACTTAAATAATTAAAATATATATAATTATTAAAGAGTATAAAACGGAAAAATTAAGTTTAAATAAATAGGTATAAAGTGTTATTAAAAACTTTAACCGATTGTAACAACTAAATGGCCATAAGATAAAATTTAATACTGTGATAACTAAATGATATGATATAATAAATAAATGCATGTGTTTTTTAATACTCTTGATTTGATTAATTATAATGTAGGTAACATTTATCTGTCAAATTCTGCCGACATAATCTTTTACAATAAAACAACATAAATTGACATTTCAAAAAATTAAATCTATGCATATATTAATTAGAGACGTTTGATCCGGCTCGCACTGACCGGTTCTTATTTTATAATCGTACAGTTTTGATGATAGCGAAAGTGTAATTAACTGTGTTACGTGATCGAGGCGGGCGACGCGGGCGCGGCGGGCGACGCGGGCGCACCGGTTTGTTTGTTTGTATACCTACAGCGGGCGCGGCGTCGTGCGGTCGCAGTGCGGAGTCCACTCGCCTCCACTGCAGCCGTAGCGAGCGCGCGCACTGTTCATAGCGACGCACTACAGCGTTGAACCAGTACGTGAGCACAGTAACACAGTAGTACCTATTATTATTTTTAATATATATAACACTGTTCGCTGCACTGCTTATGAATTGTCCGCCTCTGACACAGGATTCCAACGTGCCCGCTGAAATGTGCGGATATCCAATCTGATCATCACCACAACCGTAATTGACGTCAAATGCCTCTAACTTTGCTAATAATGTACCCTAACAGGTTAACCTCCACGTGGATCCCCCTGAAAACCATCGTGGTTAATTCTTGTTAAAATCATTACAATGGGCCAACGGACCTGCCTTCATCCTCACCCCCCATCCATCACTGGTGCCGCGTCAGCGTATACCGACAGCGCAAACGGTGTTACCATTCCATTATCACCCAGTAAAAATGTAAAGTCACAAACATTTATCTCTTTTCACTGCGCATGTCTATCTACGTCTGTTGTTATTTGTGTACCGTAAGTAATGCGAATAAATTACACATCTATCTATCTAACGTGAATTCTTAGCCATATTTTTAATAAATCTTTAAAATTTCTATTATATTTTTTCCACCGATGAAGAGAACGCACCGAGGACTACACAAGACTAAAAATTTGATTGGCATTACTGTTTTAGTAAAAAGATAATAAATTCAGTACAAATACTCATTGACTTATGTACAGCAGGTTAATGTGCTAAATAGTTGTTGAATTAGCGACACCGTCGCTCGGTGTTGGTGCTTTGTTCCGCGTCATCGTACTGAGCGTGTAATGTAGCAGGCCGCTACCGTACTGGGACGTACCTTAACTGCGCCGATGTGCTCTTTCCGAAAGCGCTCCAGCGGCTGGATGATCTGCTCGTGAGCGCGCCCCAACTGTAACACAACGACGGCGACACTGACATTAGCTGTTATGTACTGACATATGATAGCATGGCACGACATTGCAGCCAGATTTTAGTAGTAAAAAATCTAGAAATATGGTTATCGTAGGTTAGACATGGATAAAACTCTACTGCGGCGCGTAATTGCAACAACCCACCTCCCTGTGCTGGATGTGTCGACTCACTTCTTCAAAATGACTTGGTGCACAGCGCAGTGTTGTGGAAAGTGAAATAAGCTTGAGGGAATTAGAGTAATTTTTTGGACTCGTGGGTTGACTTGTGGGGACTCTTTTAATAGTATATAAATGCGCTAAAATGAATTAATGAGTTTAAGGAAAAGCAAAGTAGAATTAAAGCAACGGAGGACTTTTTTGACATTTATTTTTGGCGCATTTAAGAAAATATAGTACATCGATAGAATTTACTAATTTTAAGGAAATTCTGTTTTATTTTTCATTGCTTAGTTTTAGCACATGTCAAAAATAAACTATACATGTAATCATATTTTGAGTAATGAGTCGGCGCAGTGAAGTGCGCTTGAGTTACTGAGTTAACTAGGCAAAAAAATCGTTGAGTTACCCACGTCTAGAACAAGTAAAAACACCAACTTAGTTATATACCAGTTGGCTTGCTTCAGAACTGGAAAGCTAGAGTCGCCACTCCAGACAAGACATGGGACGGACCGTTAAGTCGAGGAAAGTAGAAAGTACTCGTGTAAAACTGATGTTTATTGGTTATTTACAACCTGAAGTGGGTGGATCCGCATGGATGGGACACATGTTATTACACAGAAGGTGCAACACACAGTGTACACGTACAAAACAAAGATAAAGCGTTGAGTCACAGCGGCCAGACGATAGCTCATTACAACATATTTTAATATAGGTACAATGAAATGTAATAACCAATACTAAAACGGTACAAACATTCTGTTTAAAATTGGTACAAGTTGTATTGACTGGATTGGAAGAAGTAAAATTTGACATTTACACGAGTAATTCACCATGTGTGTGTGAACACGGGCGGGCCCGCTCGCCGTACAATACCAACATTTGTATTCATGATTATATTTGTCTGTGTGCTTTTTATGTATAATAGGTATGAAAAACAAAAATGTCAAAATATTTAAATATGTCGCTCAGATTGCCCACTGAACGCCCATAGTGCAAGCTCTACCTAGTTTGGGACTAGATAACGCTGAGTGATGTGTCCATTAGTATTTATTTGATGCCGCTCTCCCGCGGGATAACTAATGAACGAGGTTCCTGCAGAACTACTCGTAGTTACACCGTTATATTATATTATATTATATTATACGCTAGTGCAGAGAATTACATAGTTTACAATACACTGATTGCCGGCAGTAGTGCATTATTATTTAATTATCTATTGTATTAACAGCGACAATGCGATTTCCAAAATATATGTACATACAGTCATATTTTGGCTTTATATTGCCTCACCGGCGCACAGCCACAATGGCTGCATGCAAATTATATTCGTTTTTGCTCGGTGTCATGATAAACTGGTTAACAGCTTAATCATAATTGAGTTAACTCCACTACACAATTGGTCGCTACTCATCGTATTAAGTTGTGCAGGTACTTGCGTATTACTCAGACTAACAAACAACGGAGCGTTGTTAGACATCCATAAGAATTAGTCCCTACCAACACTGGAAGCGAATGTTTGTTTGTTTCTTTACTCTTGGCGCTTTAACGATTCAACCAATTGTTGTAAAATTTGGCACACCTAGAGAGGTACTTAGGCATGCCTTTTCTCTTCGTCTCGTAAATGAAGTGGCGGGAACAGCTAGTGGAATGATAATTTGAATGTACACATGTATTGCGACTGACCGGTACTTGCGTGTACTGCAAACATGGTTATCGTAACCACTGCAAATAGAACACAGACAGCTCATAACTCATACCCTATGTCCTGCTTGTGGGATCGATTCTGATAAATGATAAGTAAAGTTTCGTATGCATGCTCTTGGTGTGTACAAACAATAGCTGATAAATAACCGTATGTATGGTACGAGTACATTACATACATGCCAACTGTCGCCGCCCAATGACACGCGCTCTTTCATTCAAGTCGAACCATTTCAAGGCGCGTTCCAAACAGACACGGCGCTCCATCGCCAGTTACGTGTGTCAGGCAACTCAATCCGTCATAATTAATTAGCATTCGTGAGGCGGCGACCCGAGATGCATACCAGCTCGTGCGCGCGACGTGCGCCGCACAAGTAAAAGTGGTCACTCAGTGGTGGCCGGCCGGCCGGTGGCCAGGTCGATCGATACGATGCGAGAAAGTGGTTGTGAAGGTCGCGAATGTAACATAACTAAACGGCCATTGTCGTAAGGACGCCGCGCCGCGTCGGTGACTAACGTCACATTATATGTATACCTACCTGCTTTGTGTTGTACTCGTGCCGGAAGAACAGGGTGTGCGTACCTACGTAAACAAACCGGCCCTGAGCAAGTCTGGCACGCATTGGAAGAGTTGCGTAGCCACGTTTTAACTATGACGTATGGTACCCAATACCGAATATGGTACCCAAAATGTTTTATATATCGTTTACTAAAAACTAACATATCATTCGAAAAAGGAAAAAATCGTCTTTTTTTATTTCATCACTTACTGTACAGGCAGAATACCAAATACCAAAGGCTTTTATCCTTATCCACATCCACACGTCCTCACTTATTTATATCTGTATCATACAGTACATATATAATCCTGATAACTCGATCTCGGCCTCCTCCGACGCATGCACTCCTCAATATATGCTTGCTAACATGTAACAGCGTGGAAACAACTATGCAGCTTCTTGACCCAAATTAATATCTAGCTAAAAAATTCTTCTGCATAATAACGCAATTCATTCTATTCCAGCCATTCTTCATTCTATACATTCAATGAATGCCTAGTATGTCAGCTCGCTACGAAACGCATATGGACATCTCGCGCACGCACGCTCTGCTCTGCTATCCTAAACATGCACTGCATGGCGCGTGACAAAGTATCAGTGTTTCAGTATCCCCAAAGAACGTCCCGAAGTCTGTACTACTCTGCCACTTTCCCCACAAGACATACAATCATCAAGTTGTTCACCAGAACAGTGGGTTGCTTTTCTACGATATTATGATTGCAACAACGCTTTGTCTTATTCCTTGATCTATGTCTTCTCCCTATGTCTGCCTGTACATTATTATTAAAAATTAAGGCTTAGACAATTAAGAATGTAGTTCTTATTATGTTTGTCGTGTCCGATGACTTGCCTTATAAGTTAGCTGCTAAGCTAATCAAACTAGATGACCTTGTTATTAGTGCAATGAATTTGCTGATTATTTTTCCTTTATCTATGATAATATATACGTCATATGGCACCAATAAATACGATAAAGTACTTATGTGTAATATTCTTTTAGATTGACAGAGTTTAAATTTTCCTTCTTGCTGAAGTGACCATAATCACGCCATATAATTATATCAACAAAATAATATAAGCTCTGAACACTATAATTTCAAGCTTAAACACCGGACATTGAATGTATTTATTTTACTTAAGCTGACACTTAATAACTGAGACTGTATACAAAACTAACCGGAATCTTCTCGTCTTCCAAACGAGGGGAAACTTAGGGAGCTTCAACAGAAATTAGAGTGGTGAAGTCCCCATGTGAGTAACTAATAGTGAGTAAACACATACATGCGAACAAATTGCTGCAAATGACAACAAAGAAGTTCAACTTGAATACGGCTTCCATTCAAACCGTTGTATCATTTCTATTCAAAGTGGAGACCATTGTAAGAGTATGTATTGAACAAGAGCGGTGAGTAACGGAGGGAGGACAAGAGAGCGCTGCGGTTGTGGCTACTCGTAGTTGTCAATGAGTGTACACACACGTACACGGCGGCGCGCGGACATTGAATACATAATAGCACCTCCACGTATTACCTAGTATGTATGTATACATACGACATGTGTGCCGTAAGTAAACGCCGCGAAGCTCACGGATCGACGCGCGACGCCGTGATTGCACAGTCGCGGCAGACAGCCAACGGGCTCGCAGGCGGGGAAGTAGCATCAGAAGCAGGAGAACACCTCTTCGTTACGTGTTGCATGCACACGATGCACTATCCCTCTTGCATGTTGTTCAAAACTATTTTTCGACCTACTTTTTAAAAGATTCTCAATTCGGATGTATTTTTAATTCCTCAGAACTCCGTCACTTATAAACCGATTTGCAAAGTCTCTTTTTTGTCTGAAACTTTTAGATTGATTCCATAGAAATTTCATCAAAGTCAATTCAGTAAACTGCTTATTAAATCAAAATAACCGATGTGATGATTATATAATATTGTTAAAAAGCACATCGTACTCCATAACGTAATTCTGCATAAATCTAGGGGCTGTGGAGTAAACTTAAATATGTGACGTCCTCCATAATGCAAGGGGAAACGCGGACGGACGGCCTTGACTGTCCGCACGTATATGTGACTGTATACGTGTAGTAAATTATATGACTGACCATGCGATCCCTCTCGTCCTCGATGGTGCGTATGAGATGCGCGAAGTGGTGCAGCGAGTTGGAGATGACCCGTTCGTCCTCGGTCATGGAGGCGCCGATGCAGGCGAACTCGAACTGCTCCATACTCGTCGCCAGCGCCAGCTGCGCCGCGCCCAGCCCTGCGCGCACACACCCACATATCAGCTCAACACAATAAAACCCTACGCTACATATCACATCGCCGTCGATGTATGGAGCCTTCCAAGGACGCGGTTGCCCATCGCGCACGCCTCACACGCCTTGTTCAGGCTCGCACTCAAACATCCCTCTGTACTCCCATTTTGTGTCCTAACTATTTTAATAAACTATAGAATTGTGTAATGGCAGAAGAATAAAATTTGCGATATAATAGATAAATTTCAAATAGGTAACACAGCTCGATCTCCATTCATTAATCAATATTCTGTATCAATATTATAAGTGAGTAGACAGCGACAACTGGGTCAAAGCTAATCTATGCTAATATTATGAAGAGGGAAGATTTGATTGTTTGTTTGTAACGGACAAATTCAAAAACTATTCAACCGATTTTAAAAATTCTTTCGCCTATAAAAAAAAACTACATAATTAACAAGAAACAAAAGGTAATTAATATTAAAGGTTAATTTATTTCCTGTGATCACGTGACTGCATTTATTTCACAAGCCATACGTCCTACACCTGTAGCCATATTAAATCAATAGTCGAGCAGCAGTGTCACCGTGTCATGCAGTGTAGGCGAGGCGGTTCCGCAGTACTGTTAACAGCAAGCTAATGAACACAGCCTCTTTTGTTATTGGCCACCGTCAGCTTCACACCCGTTACGGAAGTCGTGACTCAAACTTATCTCACAAGTGAGCCACATACATTCAAACATTCACATGTATATGCAAAGCAACTGTAGCGATACACCTACAAATACCAACTGCCAATAAGTGATACTGGACCATGTAATAAGTAGATAACCAATACAAAATAACTATTTACAATACCGACACACAGGTGTGTTAGTGCTCAGGGTTGTGAGCGTCGCCAGTGTGCCAGTGTTGCATGTGCACTAATTAAGAAAGTCATTGACACACATACCAATTGCAGTGATGCATTTAGAAATTGCATGTACAATCAATATTATTGTGAGTTTAGGCAACAACTACCTAAACATTTCCTAATGTTTGTGTAGTTATCTAAATGCTAATGTTATTAGTCCTATTAGCATTTGTCAATACAAGTGTATTATGTACAAGTACGAGTACATGCACTCAGATAACAAACAACATATTATTCATATGATCATTAATGACACCTAATAATTCATTTGTGCTAAGATAGATATAAATGTAACATTCCATTCAAAGAGTGATAATACCCTAATGCAGTGTTTTTCAAAGTGTGGGTCGCAGCCACCTAGGGGGTCCCCAAACCTCTACAAGGGGGTCGTAAAAGGTCATAGTGTGCATATTTTTTCTTTTTTAATAAAAACTGTCTTTATTGAATATAAATTACATTTAGTTAGATGTATTAGCCACCAAACTAAGCCGAACCTGTATCCCAATGGATAGTTGAATAACTTCCTTTGTCTTAAATATTTATAAAAGATGTTACGATATTGAATATAAACATACTCAAATTCGCAATGTCCAAGATATTTTTGATACAACATAGTTAAATTTGCTGTTTAATTCTACAATTGTCATATTGATTTTCCACAGGGGCGTTTCAGATGTAATCAATAGGTGTTTTAGGTGCTTCATTATGTATTATTTCATTGTATTTAATGGATGCCTGACTATGAAAAAAAGAAATAAAATGTTTTAATATTTGGGATATAATAAAATACATACAAGATAGGAACTGGGGAGGGTAAGGGGTTGCAAAATATTGTCACATACTGAGGGGGTCGCATGATGAAAACTTTGAGAAACACTGCCCTAATGCAACACAATATAAGAATGACATATTAAGATGACCAATAGTCGATGACACTTTTGATGGCATGCCACAACATCTGTCATCACTCTTTACCTCTTTTAGTAAGGAAAGGGGGACAACTTTTTAAGAAGGTTGGCTTGGACAAAATCAACTTTTTTTTGGTTACCAGAGGGAGACTTTGTACAAAAGTCATCTACATGTGTACCTTTAACTCTCTCATGTCTTTACTGTGAAATGAATACGACACTGGAATTGTGGGGTATGGAGGTACAACACCATAGTCCTCAGAAATAGCAATGCATGAGGGGTACCATGGCATCACAATATGTGGTGCTATCCATGTCTATAGATGACAGTTACCACTTTCCATCAGGTGGACTGTCAGATTGGTAGCTATTTTGAGTATCATAAAAAAAATCTATGAAGTTAAATAACTCTACATAGTTAAAATCCTTTTCCTATCTAAATTGAAGCAATATTGGATAGTTGATTCCAAATGGAAACAAGTTAAAGCATTAAAAAGGTAACAATCCATGGTCATTAGTCTTTGTTAATGATTTAGGATATATAACTAAATAAGTATATATATGTACTTAAGTACTAATTTAAGTACAACAGGTGAATATAAATAAATAGTATCTATGATGAATTCAAAATTTATGTAATGGTTATTTCCACACACAAAATAATTCATAACCTGTAATTCATTTTGCATTCTACTGATTAGAAAACAGTGTTATAAAATGTATGTAAATTAGCATGTTAAAATAGCTGGAATAATACTTTCATTTGACAATATTGTTCTATGACCCATATATGAGAATAAATATAGATCTATTCTCATATGATGTTACATATGTATATTCATGCCAACATGATTTACTAACTTTAACTTATAAGAAATAAATTATGGACCCACCATAGAACTGACCGGTACCCACCCAAAGATGTAAATGAAGCTTTGCAAACACATTTCTGACTACATATGCACCTTCTTTAAAGGGCCACACCCTCTGTGAAAAATAATCTTAAACATGTTCATATCTAAAGTTCTTTAATGCTTTTTGAAGTAAATATTTACTAATTATAACTCTCATTGATTGTTTATTAAAATAATTCTTTAAGAGGGTGCTCTAAAAATAATTTAAATTGATTGTTTTTAAAAAATATGTAATGTAAATATTGGCAGTTTTTCAAATGCACCTACTTAAATGATTAGAACTTCTCTTTCCATTGTAAAACTTGATATGACCGATATATTCTCATAACATACTTAGTACCTATTGTAATTCCCAAATTCCCTTTATCAATGGATAGACCCCAATTTGCTCAGGTTCAAAATATTTGTTTTTATAAAATATACATCAACACCATCTAGTTATATTACCATTCAATTAATACAGATGTGAAAAGTTTACATAAGATTGAAGATAAACTCAATGGATTAGATAAGTATATTAATGCTAAAGATTAATATAAAAACCAGTAAAATACAGTTTTCGAGCAGTGAACTCACGTTTGGCCGCCTGTACGACATCCTTAACTTCCTTAATGAGCCTCTTGATCTGTTGGCTGGTGCGTTCGAGCTCCTTCTCGTGGCGCTGCAAGTTCTCTCGGAACTGCGGGCTGTCCGCAAGGCACTCGGTAAACTCGAGCGGTTGCAGGCCCACGCCCATCGTCACCCACTCGCTCACTCTGTTCTATTCTATCACGGTCACAACTCCACCGACTTTCACTGCCCCTGTCCGCCCTTCAAGCGACGCATCATTACGCACCACACTATCACAGAACAGATTCAATTATGTGCTCAAACAAAATGTACGCTTACTCTACCATATTAACGAAACATTAATAAAAAGTACAATATTTTCGTTTCAGTCAAATTGATATGTATTTAGATAGATATGTAGGTACTAATTGTTAAATAGTTACGTATCTGTCAATTGATCTTAATGTTGCTAACAATTAATACAAAATGCTACTATAATTATACCGTTTCCATTGTTTTATTGATTTTGTTTTTGATAGTTAAATTCTAAAGCTGCATATACATATAATATGAAGTGTTATGGTAATTTCCGTCATAGAATTTCTGCAACTTTTATTTTATTATGGATATAATTTTTATTATTTATATTAGCAGTTACCTGATAATAACTGACCCCTAAAGATAAACTATTAATTTAACCATCGTTCATTTTTCAAGGCATTTACTTTCACATTCAACCACGCTTTGGATTCAACTTCCAGCAGTAGTATTTTCTTCATCATAACCTTCAAGAAAAGAGCATATTAATTTTTAAAAGACCGGCATCACACCTGCAACGCCTTTGGTGTTGCGGGTGATTATGAGCGGCGACAGTTACTTACCATCAGGTGAGTTGGATGCTCATTTGCCCCTTATGTTATAAAAAAGAAATTTAGCTTTATAAGGAAAACCAAATACAATCCTTAATCATTAGCATGGTATTCTGCATTCACGCATATTATTTCTGATTATAGTAATATGGGTTCAATGAGAAAACCCGTAGTAAGCCCCTCATCATTTTTTGTACTGAAACATGACGCGAATACAGCCACAAGCTCAATTTTTTTATACTATCAAGAATATTTTTTATCTCGCAAAAGGTTAATAACTAAACATATTAATAAAATAAAAATGATAATATGTTTGTTTGTTGTTAATTGACTTCTTAACAACTCAACCAGTCCTCATATAATTTTAAAATGTATTTGTGTAAAATATTACATTCCTAATAAGGAATGGGGAAGGACATGGGCTACTTTTTATTTTAGTCCCTTAATATACCATATTTCGGTGATATGGACGAAGTCGAAGATAAATACTACTATCAAATATTCTTCATTATTATTTTAAAATTAGATACTTAAAGTTAATATTTCTCGTAGAGTAAAAAGGATTGTTAGTAATGGAAATTTGTGAGCATATTGCTATCAATAGGGTTTTTATATTGGTAGTTATAGGATTTTTAGATAGATGAAGATTTTTCCATGCACTATGGTTAATTTCTTATGTATTCATCACAGTGAATTGACTAATCTGGTTTCGTCCTCGTCTTTTCAATGTAAACTGATTGCGCAAACGGATTAGTTTTTATGTTAATTTGTCTCGTAAAGATTACCTCTTTCTCATAGAAAAATCTCAAAAATATAAAGAGTATCATTTATTATTAAGTGGTTAAATAATTAACAATTTATCACTGTATTTACTGGGTAAATGTATTGTCCCATCATTTCTGTCTTAATTTCCTTCTTTGGTATTTATTACTTGTAATAACATTTATCTTGTACTATTAGTCTGTTGCGATTTAGGTTGCGAATCAGTTGCAAGTTACTAATAAATCATTTCAAATATATATCACTATCAATTTAGTCGTATCAATTCATCTCGCAACAGATACTACAAAGATTTTGGAATATAATGTTCCTAGAGTTATTATAAAACTACTAGCAAGAAACAATAATTTTGTAATATAATTATCACATTTAATAATATTTCTACTAACACCAACTTTATAATATCTATTACACATGGCAACATTAATAAACCAAAAGCCGAGTATCCAGGGCCTTTAAATCCATTATCAGTGACAGGTTAAAAACGGGCGGGAATCTTAAAGTTTGGTGTTCTAATATTTTCTGTTATTTTTTTATATTATAATATGATTAAATAAATTTCAAATAGAATTTATTGTTATTATATTTTAGTATATATTAGACTTGAGTAATATAGTACTGGAGCCTGTGTTAGGTCTCATTTTGTACAATGTATATGCACATGATACGAAAAATTCAATAGATAACGGTTTTAAACAGTTTACAATAATATGCTGATGACCTTCTTTTTTATGCCATTATGTTTAGTTAAATAATAGATCTTACAGCAGAACTGGAATGTTTAGGAATTTGGTTATCAAAATAGATTGGAGTTGTCCGTAACAAAAAGCACCATAGTTCATTTTTCTAGAATGCAAGTACACCCGCCGATTACAATGAACTATATAACAAATTGATTTTAGAAGGACCACACTGTCTTGTTAGGATTAAAACTAAATTTAAAACTTATAGGACTTCCACATTTTCAACAAGTTGCTCTAAAATGTGGGAAATTGCTAAATATATTAAGATGTTTATTTGGTGTCTGGTGGGGTCCCTGCCAATACTCCTTGCAACTTGGCTATAATGCTATCAAATTATTTTAGATTATTACACTTTTTTTCTTAGAACCGTGTAATGCGGCTGGATTAATGAAATTAGATATAGTAATAAATGTCCTACAAGTTTAAAGCTGTGATACTACTTTAAAACTGAAACGTCAATTTCATTCAGATAATTATTTATTTTATATCTCTCAACACTTTAAACATTAACTTTTCACTAAATTACAAAAGTTAGCTGAATATTGTGGAAACATGGATTATTTGCAGTTATAAATCGACTTCCTGTCTGATAAAAAGTTTTCAAAAATTTACCTTCATTCTCCCCTTCATAGTTATGTTCCCGTTATTCTGTGCAATAACTATGAAGCATTAACTTTTTCACCAGATGTTAAATTAAATATGAACAAGAGGTGTAGAGGTGATCACAATGCAAGTATCTTTTTTAACTCTTATACTGAGGGGGGAAAAGGGATTGTACGTAATGGAGACTAAGAACCCCATTGCTAGCAATATATCCAACCAGGTCGACCTCCTCGCGGTTCCCCCTGGAAACTGTCATGATTAATTCCTGATGAATTCATCATGATGGGGTAACTGGCCTGTTTTCATCCTCATTAATCAACCTTCACTGGTGCCCCGCCAGCGTATCCCATTAGCACAGGCGGGGTTACCACTCCATTTTCATCCAATAAAAAAAAAACTCATATTGATTTTTTTATGCAACTTAGAATGGCAAACAAAGGCCACTATCATATATTTCGCTATGCTCGCTGATGAGGCTATTGGGTGTGGTGACATCTTTACTCATAGAGTCTACAGGTATAACTTTGCGGCTTTGCCCGACTCCTTCCCCCCTAATACTTGTCCCTTACCTACTTTGAAAATTTAGAAGAATTTAATTTGATTTGCTCCTTTATTAATAATATTAAGTTGTAAATTTTCTAAGTTTATTTACTTATATATATACAACTCAATATTATTAATAATAATAAAAGAGGACGAGCTCGGCAACATTTCCAAAATTTTTATAATTCTTGTGACTCTGCTTTGTCATCGGCCTGCGAAAGCACTATCAAAATTGATAAAGCACTTTCATAGATTAGTTAAACAGACAATCTGAACATTAGAATTTTGTTTCCTGTAAGTGATCACATGACCAGAAAATGAAAATATTACAACGTCATATAGATAGATACTGTAATTTCATTTATTTCTTTAGTTTGTGTTGAAAAATAGTTTTGTTACATGAAGCACTAAGATATACATAAATATAGCAGTAGAAGTGAACGCTACTGCTGCATGCGTGTTTGTCGGGCTAGGCCGGTGACTCGTCCCCGTCCTCGGGCTCCGTGTCCTCCTCCGAGTCGTCGTCCGAATCATCCTCCGTCTCCGAGTACGACGAATCGCCTGCCGTTCCATAGTGCTCTATAAGTAAAAATATATTGTTTCATTAAGTATATGCCGAGGCTCTACCTGCGTGAATCAGTACATAAAGTATTCTATGTGCTAAGTTAGAATATAACTTTAGCTGCATAACAAATATCTTTCCAACCCGTTTAGTAATTTGTGAATGCAAGAATAATACGCATCCCTCCACCTATCCATCTTTACAAATTTGCATGTTTATTATATTAATAAAATTATCCCCGTAATTATGTATTTCCCAGGTACAACTTTTAAAAGTCGCATCATATTATCTAAAAAGAAAAACAGCAATCTCTGACTGTCATTCTGTTCACATACGTTTTGCAATACGTGTTTCGCCTCTAAACTGGCAGCTTCGGATAAATCTTATAATTATCTGGTAGTAATAGTGGTAATCAATATTCGAGTGTTGGCAGTTACACACATACTAATGGTAGCAGATTTAAACAAAATAATTCTAACCAAATAACCAGTGATATGGGGTTCTACAAGTAATAAACTATTTCAACAATAGATACATATGGCGAGCGAGACTCGCGCCCAGTAAACTGCTGTGTGAAGTGGCGACGTGTATATGTATGAAGAGATAACTATTGCATAATATGTCATAATGAATACGTGACAATACGTACCGGCGTGGGAGGAGGGCGCGTAGTCGTCGTAGTCGTCGCCATCGGCTGCGGGCGTGGTGCCCTGCCGGCCGTAGCGGTGCGAGCGGGCTGCGGAAATAACACGCACACACATTACACACACATTTCAGTAATGACGTAAAAATAATGACTGCATGTTTTTACCATGGGCGGTTCAATAAAAAAAAAAAGATTATTTATAAATGCTTGTTGAATAAGAAATAACAATACAACATCCCTATGTTAATACCCACCTATCTCTTTATTTAACAATAAAGAGAATTGATTAATGGTTTTGAATATAACACATGGGGATATGTATGATTGTATGTGATATATGGTAGTAATCAGTACATATAGCACCAGGGAGGTGAGGAAGAAAACAGATCAATTAGCCCATCATTCCAATTTCAAGTTATCACTACAGTTCCCTGGGCGAGGCAGCGAGCTACTCACTGGACATGCTGAGGTCGGCGGTGAGCTGCGTGGGGTAGGCGCAGCGCGGGCAGGGCGGCGGCGCGCCGCGGCCGCCGGCGGCGCCGCCGCGCACGCCGCGCCGCCGCACGTGCTCCTCGCAGAAGCACGTCTTGCACCGCAGGCACGAGTACTGCCCGAGTCGATTGCATGACTGACCTGAAAACGTATAGTCTGCTTTATAAAATTAACTTTTTAATAACATATGCCTAGGAATATAATTTAATCAGCTATGCATGTCACTATGTCAATACAATAATGAAAACAATAGAAAATAGAAAAGTTAAAATGCTGGGCCAACTTATTTGAAATGACGATTTTTAAAAGCATAGTAGAAGAAAAAAAGAAGGCAAAAGAGGAAGGGGAAGACCGAGGAACTATTTGGGACAGATAAAAGAAACATTAGATGTCATGTCGTATAGGAAGGTCAAAGATGTGGCATGGAATGGAGCTAGCTGGAGGACCAGTTTACCAGAGGGAGACTTTGTACAAAAGTCGATTGTTTGGGTACCTCTGTCCCATTCATGTTTCAACCGTGAAGCAGTTGTGTTTGCATGGCTGTGTTTCGGTTTGAAGGGTGGGATATGGCGTGAATTTACTGGGTACAGAGGAATAACACCTGAGTCCTCAGGAATGGCAATGCATGGGGGGTATCATGGGAGAAACAGTATACTCTGTTAGGTCCATGGTACTGCTCATGTCTATAGGCGACAATTACCACTTTCCATCAGGTGGGCCGTCAGATTGTTTGCCATTCTAAGTTGTATAAAAAAAAAATGCATGAATTAGTTGCATCGACAAGACGAAACTCTTAGATGAAAAATGAGAGAAGCATGTCGTTTTTACAAACGTTACATGACATATCAGTAACTCACATTTGTAATTCTCTGATTCAAGAACTTGGCAGGAAGCCTGATGTTCAAACTGGTCATCTTCACAGAGAAAACCGCGACAGAAGCAGCACTGGAACACCCGCCCGCCATGTTCCCAGACACCTGTATCATGAATTTCATAGTAAATACACCATAATTTTAAATTTTTTATTACACAGAATTTTAATTTAAAACATTAAATTTGTAACCTCGTTCACATTCAAGGCAGACTGCATCTATCAGGGGACAGCTACATGCATGGGCAGTCAGGCACTTGCGCCCATGGCACACCCATGCCTCACAAAAGTCACAAATTGCACCCTAAAACAAATTACTGATGTTATCAAATCATTTAAATAAATGAAAAAGCCATGTTCTTTAAGTTGTTAGAAACTTATAATAGCTGAATGTACATACCACCATGCCCAAGCCTGTAGTGTAGACACCGGGATGCCTGATGACACAGTCTCCAGCTTTTAGCATACATTTAATTTTGCCACAGTGTGCACATGCAGGCAATCTCTGCAGGGCCTGGCAGAAGTAGCAGAATGCTCGGTTCTTCTGCTTCCTTTTACAAAAATGAAATATGTAATTATTAATAAATGGATTCTAAATATCAAAATTAATCAAAGACATTGAAAAAGCTGTTAAATTTTTTCAAGATCCAATTCATTACAATTTAGTTTTTTAGGTTTTTCAATAATACCCCTATTCACACACCCCAGTGCCAACCACTACCCCTAAGGAGATTCACTGATCCCAATATGTGAATACTGCTGGCTCTTCGATTGTGCCAATATTTTGATGTATGCCTAGAAATCGCAGTAAAGCAAACAGCAATCAGTTGGCTGGGCACAGTTAGTCCCTAGTAACATCTATCTTTCACAATTTTGTGGGTATTCCATTTTCACTTGAGTGATTACACTAATGCCAAATAATTTATTAAAAAGACTTACACAACATTATATTTATAGTTTCATAAAAGGCAATGCTTTAAATTTAATCAAATCATATTTATCAAACAGGATTTAAAGGGTAGAAGTAAATACAGTTATATCTAATGGGTCATGTGTGTGAATGGCTGTACCTCAAGGGCTATTCTGATGCCATTACTTTTTTAGTTATATAAATGATCTTGCTTTTGCCATGCAGGATAGATATGGCATAGTATTGCTTGCAAATGATACTTCTTTGTTTTTTAAAGTTGACAGATTGACCAAATATTATGACGATGTAAATAATACTCTCTTGCATTGGTTTACAAACAATAATCTAATGTTGAATGCAAAAAAAACTATGTGCATAAATTTTTCACTTTCTAAAAATTATAATTCCAATGATGCTGTAAAATTAAATAATGAACCTCTTGATTTTATAGATTGTACTGTCTTCCTTGAAATCACTCTTGATAATATTTTGTATTGCTATGGCACACTCACAAACCAAAGTTGCATTTGGTTTTATGTATTTTTTTGCCATTTATGTTATCTCGTTTTTTTTTGTGTATGTATGTTGTAATTTGTGTGCTGTAAGTAATGCAAATAAAATTATCTATCTATCTAATAAAACCCAATGGAGTCCTCAAATCCAAAACCTTACAACTAAATTAAGTTCTGTAGTGTATGCTGTACACAGGGTTAAACAGTGTAGTAATATTGAGACTGCCAGGTTAGTTTATTTTAATTACTTTCATAATATATTGTCCTATGGGATATTACTAGGTAAAGGTTAAAAGGTAAACCAGCCAACATCTGAACCATATTTGTATTATAAAAACATGCTATTCACATGATTATGGGAATTTGTGCATCCCTATAAGTAAAAAACAAGCAAATATTCTTACCATAGCACACATTCTGACAATACATATAGATAGATACTCTTTATTGTTTCCTCCAAAAGATAACATTTTGTATATATGTAGGAATTTTCAACTGTTTCTTAAAAACAGTGATCTTAATAATCTTAACACTAGATACAAATATAAACTTGTTGTTCCAAAATATCATTTATAAAAAGTTAATAAATCTTTTGTGGGGATAAATGTTATGAGATACTGAAGGAAATTTTGGATCTATATTTTAATAAATTTATTAAAAAAACTAATTGAACAAAGCCACATGTACATGGTGTTAGTTCATGAATGGCCTTTTAATGACCATGTTATTTTAGACATTTAAACAAATACGCATAATATTAACAGAGATTTAAAAAGGTAACTGTTAAATTTTCTGCGGGTCCTTCTCAACAGATAACAACTTCCTGAACTCTGCAGTCGATTAAAAAAAATTACGATTTAAGTATTTGTAAAAAAAGTCTAAATGAATAAAGATGATTTGAATTTGAAAGATCAATTGTTTTATTTAGGTATTAAGGAACTGACCGAGCAGCTGTTGTACTCACTTCTGACACTTGTCGCAGTCCATGGGCAAATTACAAGGGTGCTGTGCTAGGTCCACGTTGTCACGAGCATTACGGATCTCTTTTTGCCGCTGTCTTTGTTTTTCCGCTTTTTTCCGTTGGCCAGTCTTCTTTTTTGGCATTTTTAATAGGAAACTAAAACGACTATCTGGTAAACAAATTATTTTTGCTTTTGCAACTAACCGTTGAACATAATTAGATATTAAAGAGAATACTAAATAATATAATAACCAAAGGAAAAGGCATCACACTTCATACAAGTCACATAAAACAACTTGGTCAGGAACATCTAACCAATTCACACAAAAAAAATCCCCTTTTCTCCTTATATTGGCCAGTCTGATGTTAAAATAGAGAGAAATAGGGTTATAATTAAAATATAGGTTAATAGTAGAAAAGCGAATCATTTGATAAAAGGAATATATAAATTTTATGTCGGAAAAAGCGCGGGAAACGTTTAAAAAAGCGGGAGTGTTTTTTGATCTTCTTTAAATTAATTTTATTTTTAATTATATAAGGATTAGTTTTATTTATATATTGTGTATTAGATTGTATATATAATTGTATATTTTGTAGTAATAGTGTTTGTTGCTGTAAATATTGGTAAGTAAATTACCTATATTAATTAGACATTATGGATCCACCTATAGACCCTGGGGGGACAACCCCCCAGGTGTCTGCAAATATAACTATCCCATTTAATAATAGTTTTGATATATTGGGTGAATCTAGTATGGACACAGATGGTTCTAGCGTTGCAAGTTCTAAACGTAAGCGAGTACGTGGCGAACGTCGCATTTGCAAACATTGCAATAAAAAACGAAGGAGGCACACCAAAGGTCTCGAATCTAAAATTAAAGATAGTGATTGTCAATGTATTGAGGATGAGAATCAAACTCTAGTATCAATACCAGTTGTAAATAATACCGAGTCTGTTAAACCTGCTTCTCCACCCAGTACTTTAAGCAGAACTTTGTACAATGCCGAGGATGTAGCTCCTTATGTCGTTCATGTACAAAAAAATGAAACACATCCTAATGATAACACTACATTACATCCTATTGCATTTGGTCGCTTTTTACACACTAATAAGATAAATAATATAGTGAATGGTAGCCTCAAAAGAATAGGAAGAAACCGTTTATCGCTTTCTTTCTCAAATTTTGAAAATGCAAATGCATTTTTAAATAATAGTCACTTAGAAGCACATAATTTTAAGGCATTTATACCTTCTTTCCATGTAACCCGTATGGGAATTGTGAGGGGTATTCCTAAAGATTGGACAGAAGAGGAAGTAATCCAAAATATATCAGTACCTATAGGTTGTGGGAGAATTCTAAAAACCAGAAGAATTAAGAAAAAGACCATTAATGAAGGACAACCAAGTTTTATTAATACTGAAACCATTGTTATTACTTTTGATGGACAAATATTACCAAAAAGAGTATTTATGTTTTACACATCATTAACTGTAGATTTGTACATTTACCCCACTATCCAATGCTATAACTGCTGTAGGTTCGGACATGTCAAGATGCAGTGTCGTTCAAATCCTCGGTGTTATAAATGCAGGCAAAATCATACAGGTGATAAATGTGAAGTAGATGAGGAAAATGTTTCTTGTATCTTGTGTAATGGTTCTCATTCAGCAATTAGTAAGAAATGTCCTGAATATGCACGTCAGAAAGCCATTAAAGAAACAATGGCCCACAGTTGTGTTTCTTATGCTGAAGCATCAAAATTTCATCCTCCCACTTCTAAACTATATTCAGATGTATTAACATCATCATCTCCGTCCAATAAATCTCATTTTCAATCTTCTTTCCTCAAAGAGAAATCATCATTACCACATATTCAATCATCACATAAAAAAACAGTTACACTTAAACCACGCTCTCCTCAAAAAGCACAACAAGGATATGATCGTTCTGCCCATGAAGCCATAGTTAAGGAATATAATATTCCTGCTCCCTCTAATGGTTGTGCATTATCATCAAATAATATTGACAATAATCAATCCATCTTTGATATTATTCTCATGCTTATTAAAGTGTTATCGCAATCGAAAATGATACAAACAACTTTACCACCGTCCAACGATGCCATTTACAATGTATTTTCTCAATTATTAACTTCTCACAATGGATTACAAAGTCCTAATAATTCAGTGGAACTGTCGTAGCATAACAAACAAGAAATCAGACTTATTTTATTTGATTAATAAATATAATCCTTTTATAATAGCTCTCCAAGAGACTTGGTTAAAGCCAGGATATCCTTTTAGGATTTCAGGCTTTACAAGTCTCCGTGATGATAGAGCTGACGGATATGGCGGTGTTGCCATATTGGTCAAAAACTCCCTTCCTTTTTCTTCTTTTTCGCTTCCTGTATATAGCGGCATTAATGCAGCTGCTATAATTATAAATGGTATCTGTTTTGTTACTTTATATATTCCTGATCCTACATGCCAAATATATTCACAACTAGAACAATTATTTTCAATTTTACCTAAACCTTTTCTCGTAATGGGCGATTTTAATGCTCAACACCAATCGTGGGGCAGTTCTACTTCTAATTTTTATGGTGGAAAACTCCTGACGATAATTGACACTTACAACTTATGTATTATTAACTCAGATGTACCAACACGTAGAACTGCACCGAATGAAGGGTTTAGTGCTCCTGACATTTCAATATGTTCTTCTGATTTAGCTTCTTCACTGTCGTGGTATCCTCATTCCTCTACTTTCGGAAGCGATCACTTTCCCCTCATTCTTTCTTTTCCAATTTCCATTCCCTCAAGTCGAAAGAGTGGTCCTCGGCTTAAATATAATTTATCAAATGTAGACTGGAATATTTACAAACAATATTTAGATAATAAAATATCGGAGTTACCTATTGTTTACCATGGAAATGAACATCAATGTTGTAATGACTTGATGATAAATATGAAGGAGGTTGCTGATTTATTATTTCCTGTTAAAAATAGTGCTTCAGGGAAAATTCCCTCGCCACCTTGGTGGGACAAAGATTGTACGGAAGCAATTAAAAATCGTAAAGAGGCTGAAAAAAATTATAATAATTACATGACACCAGAAAATTTTGAAATTTACACCGCAGTTTCACGTTCTACTCGAAAACTACTGAAAAAAAAGAAATTAGAAGGCTGGAGAAGATTTTGTTCTTCTATCTGTCCAGAAGTTAATTCATCAGTCGTTTGGAATAATATTAAAAGATTCAGATCTGCCTTTAGTGATCATACATCACGTTCTGCACTCGATTTAACTTTAGCGAATAAATTTTTAGATCGCCTTGCTCCTAGTTATGTGCCGGAATGCCTTTACAATATTTCTCTATCCGTCTCTGACGAATTATCCGAACTTGAGTCTCCTTTTACTCTTGTAGAACTTAAAGGTGTTCTAGCTTGTATTAAAGACTCTGCACCGGGAGAAGACGGTATACCGTATTCCTTTTTTAAAAATGCTAGCGATGCGACATTAATTTACTTTTTAAATATAATTAATTCCATAATTATTTCGGGAAATATACCTACTTCATGGAAGTCTCAGATTATTATACCATTTCTAAAGCCTCATAAACCACCTTCTGAACCATCTTCATACCGTCCTGTTGCACTTTCCTCTGTCTTACTAAAGCTAGCTGAACATTTAGTGAAGAACCGTCTAGAATGGTTTTTAGAAAGTAATAACTTACTATCCCCGAACCAGTTTGGTTTTAGGAAAGGTAAGAGCACCTTAGATAATGTGAGCATTCTTATTTCAGATATTCATATAGCTTTCTCACAAAATTTGTCAATCCTCTCAGCCTTTTTAGATATAAATTCTGCCTATGATAATGTAATAATTTCTATTTTAAAAACTAAATTACAAGCTTTAAATGTACCGGTAATGCTTTCTAATTTCATTTTTAATATTTTATCAGAAAGAACAATACATATGGATCTAGATGAACATACCAAATTATCTAGAACAGTATGGAAAGGCCTTCCACAAGGATCTGTTCTCAGTCCAATTTTATTCAACATATACACATACGATCTAGAATCATTCCTTGATAAATCCGTCAAAATTTTACAATATGCTGATGATCTCTTATTATATTTTATTGCGAAGTCCATAGAATCTGCTTCTGCCAAATTATCTGATTCATTAGATTTGTTAAAAACGTGGTTAGATGAAAATGGTCTTAATCTTTCTGTAACCAAGAGTAGTGTAGTTTTGTTTTCAAGAATGAGATCACCGCAACAAATTAAGGTGCTTTATGATAACTCATACATTCCTATAAAGACTGAAATTAAATTTTTAGGTATCGTGCTAGATAATAAATTAACAGGTCTGTCCCACTGTAATTATATTTCCACGAAATGTGAGCGTAACCTCAACATTCTTAGGTGCCTTGCTGGAGTTTGGTGGGGAGCACATCCCGTTTCACTAAAACTTGCTTATAATGGTCTTATAAGGAGTGTCATTGATTATGGAACTTTTTTGTTAGCTCCAGGAAGTTCATTTGCTTTTAAGAAATTGGATTTAATTCAATCAAAGGCCTTGAGGATTATCTCTGGAGCAATGAAATCAAGTCCAATCAATGCTTTACAGCTCGAAGTCGGTGATCCACCTTTGGTTTTAAGAAGGCAATATTTATCTGATCGCTTCTTTTTTCGTTGTTTACAATTATCTGATCATCCGCTTATTCAAAAGTTATCTCAGCTATATATCTTTATTTCGTCTTCATCTTATTGGAAACATAAAAAACCTCCATGTTTAATACAAAGTTATGAAAAATATAAATCCATAGAATCTCCCACTTTTACATCGTCCTGTTTTCCCATTTATAAATGCTCATATCAATCTTTAGTTTTATCTCCTAATATTAAATATGATTTTGGGTTATCAAAAAATGATTCAGAATTGAATGCCAAATTTATGTTTATAACTGACATTGAATGGAATGAATGGCACTACATCTTTACTGATGCATCAAAACCAGACAATAGCGGTTGTGTAGGTGTGGGTGTGTTTCATTCACAATTTAATATCGTTCAAAAAATGAAACTTCCACCGGAATCTTCAGTTTTTACCGGGGAATGCTATGGTATTTTAAAAGCTGTAGAATATATACTTTTAATGAAATTACATAAGGCAATAGTTTTCACTGACTCTATGAGCTCTTTGCAAGCTCTAGCCAAATATCCGTTTAAATCAAAACCAGTTTATCCCATTATTTGTGACATAAGACAAAGTCTTTATCTTTGCATGTTGAGAGGGTATTCCGTTTCTTTTGCCTGGTTACCAGGACACAGTGGTATTAGCGGCAATGACAAAGCTGACCTTATTGCAAGAGAGGCTGTAACTTGTGGTGATATGTATCCGTATCATAATTACTGTAGTGACCTAGCTTGTCTCCCAAAAATATATTTAAGGTATGCCTGGAAGGAATATTGGGAAAAAACAAGTACAATAAAAGGAAGATTTTATCGCCTTATACAACCCGATATTCCTTTCAAACCATGGTTTTGTAAATTAAAGCTTGGAAAGACCGCAACAACTATTATAACTCGTATGCGTCTAGGTCACGTATGCACACCTTCTCATTTATACAAGCTTGGTATTGTACAAAGTTCGTCGTGTAATTGCGGTGCTGAAGTGGCGGACTTGAATCATATATTCTTCTCATGTTCTAAATTTGACCACACCTCCCTTTTTAATCATCTCCGATCCATCCGTGTTCCATTCCCAACTTCTATTCTTACTCTACTTTCTTCCAATGATCCTATTATCTATAAAATACTATCTTCATATATATATGATAACAATATTAAGATTTAGTTATATTACATGAATACATTTATAGTTGCATCAATTGCTTTTCCTATATATTTATAAGTATATTCTCATATGTACAAGTATATGTTTCATATCCTATAAATATCCTAGACCTAATCCTTATCCTTTCTAAATTCGTTTGTGTTAGGTATTTTTATTACTATTATCGTTTCCCCGTTTTGTTCTTGGCAAAATACCCTAATATCGGGGTGAACGCCACAAAAAAAGAAAAAAAAAAAAAAAAAAAATTTTATGTCAAGTTGCATGTTCCGATGAATATTTTTTTTAGCAAAAATGAAACAAAAGATAACATTCTTAAATATATTTATTAGGTTTAGTTAATAATACTAAAATTGATAATGATACTAATAAAATTATATAAGAATATGCACAACTAAATTAAACTGCATTAAATTAAATTGCATTAAATTATATACAATAATATCTTGAGATATCAATTTCGTAGTATTATTGATAGTTAACACAAGTTTTCAACACTTCCAGTATATTTGGTCACTCTCTCTATTGAATTTATTACGAGTAGACCTCGTAATATTAAACATTTATAGTCGTAATTTCTACATCAAAATAAAAAGAAATATGGAATATAAATGTAAAATTGTTCTAAATATAATTTAGTTAGAATTAAAGTAGTCATTTACATCACATTCGACAGTATTTTTGTTAATTAAGTTGGCACTATTATGATTTGAACATTTTACTAAACATTGGCATTATGTCTTCTGACCAAAACTATGTATTAAAAGCTAGTATAGAGGTTATGTAAGACTGGAGAGATTGTATTTATTTGACTATAATGACAGCTGACTTTGGCAGTTTTTATCCCGAATAGTGCAGAGTATACTATCTCTAAAACACATATATACTGTAAAAAATATAGATATACCATACACAGTATCGTCTTTTCGTTTGTGGATATACCGTAGACTTAGTATAAAGTATACTTTATAATCTAAGAGATATATTGTCTCTCTCATTATCTTTCTAATCTAGCCTTTCTGTCATTCTTTAGTTTAGATATCACAGACTTAATATAATGTATTATCTAAATTAAACAAAGTCTCTCTAAACTTAATTGTTATTTACGCCTGTCATCAATAATCGTCGATTTTGGTGAAGCGAATGAAAATAATCCTGTTATCTTTACAATCTTAAATCTAGTTTAAACAAGTAAACAGCTTCTATATATCTCTACGCATTATTTGATAGTTGTTTATCTGATCTCATGTTCCAAACTTTGAGGTTAATGTGCGCAGTTTGAAGTAGTATATATTGTTCTGTGATTGTCTGGTTTGCGTAGTCGGCAATTAGCGTGTCTACGGCTTATTGAAGATTTATAAAACTTCTTAAACCACGATCAAAAAATGATTTCTCCAGCTGATCTGGTTAGTTTCATTTATTGTTATAAATTAACAATAAAAGTACTCTTTATACGTATAATTGAAGTTTATGCTTTTTTTAATTGACTTAAACAAGAGGTTATCAATTCGGTTGTATTTTTTATGTTTGTTACCTAATAATTGAGTCGGTTCTAAACCGATTTGAATTATTATTTTTTTTTTATCTGAAAGGATATACTTACTTTCCATTGGTCCCATAGGCGTTTTAATAAAAACCGTCAGTAGTTTAGTTTTTAGATCAAATTAACTGATTTCATCATAATTGAAGTCTGCTTTATTTTTTGTGGTACACAATCTTGATTTGTTATTAAATTATTGGTAATGATTCATATAGAGTATGTTTTTGTTTTATATAGCAAGTTCATTCACAGTGATACCAGCTGTTTTTCAATAAATTATGTTGATACTATAATACAATGACTTAAACTTTAGTATTTGCTTACATTATAACTAGTTTATTATTCTTTGGCCAATAGTGGCCTACACTTAGTTAACTGAGTAACATTAGTTTATATTTCCATTGCTTCAAATAATCATATTTTACAATATAATTGACATTTGCTAGTTTGCAACACTTCATTGTATTATAAAATTATAAATTAACAGGGAACAGATTTCTTAAGTGTTTATAATCACAATTGTCTGTTAATTTTTAATAAACAATCGTGGCCTTTTTATTCTTTCTGATCAATTATTTAAAAAGTGCTCTGCTAGCATAACTAAATCATCAGTCATAGAATATGTTACATGTGAGTCTACCACTAAGAACTTTGCATCTATTGCATATTTTGTTTTATTATATTGGAATTTTTCAAACACATTATTGCTATCACCTACTACATTTTCTACAATATTATTGTATGATTAATGTTTTAGTTTGTAAGCAGAGAACTTTTTAAATAATCAGTTAAAAACATTAAAAATTGTTGTATTTGAAAATTAATAGAGGTTTAACGTAGGTCTAAGGTAAAGGTGTTCCTCACAAACTGATATAATAAACCTGATATATATATATATATATATATATATATATATATATATATATATATATATATATATATATATATATATATATATATATATATATATATATATAAGGACCCGGCTTCACATGAGTAGACAGAATTTTATAAAATTATTACATAAGTACAATAAAAAAAGTTTCAACCAATTCAACTGATCAGTTATTTTATAGCATTTTATATGTGATTCTTTAGATTGATGTAACTTATTTATTTATGAATCGGTTGAAATAAAACAAATGCTAAATATTAAGTGAAGCACATTATAAAGCTAGTGAAAACTACATTAAAATTGGTTAAGCCATTTCTGAGTTTAGCGTGCACAAACTAATAAAAAATATTTCCAATTTTATTGTTAAAAGTTTCATAAGCACATATTATATTTTAATGTAATAATTGCCGATTTAACTTACTTGTAATTAGATTGAGACAGCTCAACTTGTTTTAAGACCCTTAATCATGAGCGGCTGTGATGCAAGCGCAAGGCTGATTGCGTGCCTCGGCCCGCTGCCCGCAAGCTGTAGGCATTTGCGGCACTGTCCCAGATAAGAAAGATAGAGCCCAGCCATTCATACTCAAAGATTTCCAAACACTGTCTTTCTTATCTGTCTTGTATAAAAAAATAAAGATAATTGCGACATTGCCTACATAGGTGAGCTAAAATTATGAACACTTAAGAATTGGTAAAATAGGCAATAGACAGACTTGTATCAACTTTACTTAATTTATTTATTAATCTTGTTCCCTGCCCATACACAGGCATTACGCAATTTAATTAACATTGGTAAAAGAATTTAAAAGAATAAATAATCTAAGAGAAGTGAATCATATTCAAATATTTATATTACAACATTTAGAAATTATAATACATAAAATTCTTTCCTCTGGCATATAAGAGTAATTAAAAATATATCAAGTGGCAACATTATTGAATAAAAAATATGTAATAATAATACAACTGCATTGTTTATTGCACTCATTATAGTAACTCGGTCATCATCATCATCATCACCCTACTCTTATTCCAATTATTATTTGTGGTCGGTGTAATATGTTTTTTATTCATATTACAAAAATATTTGGCTTATACTTTTACAACCCAGGCGGCCGATCACCTGACGTCAACCCTCTTTGGAAATTATAGTAACTCAATAATATTTTTTAGTGGATGAAAATGGAGTGGTAACCCCGCCTGTGCTAATGGGATATGCTGGCGGGATACCAGTGAAGGGTGATCGATGAGGATGTAAACAGGCCAGTTAGCCCATCATGATGAATTCATCAGGAATTAACCATGATAGTTTCCAGGGGGAACCACGAGGAGGTCGACCTGGTTGGGTATATTGCTAGCAATGGGATTTTCAGTCTCCATTACTAACAATCTCTTTTGCCCCCACTCAATAATATTCACAAATAATTGCACTGCAGAAGTTGCATGGCCTATATTAGATTTAAATTTCAAGGTGTATTTTTTATATGATTTGTAATGTGTAAAAATATTTAAGATATGTAAGATGGCATCAGTGGCATATAGCCATGGCATTAATGTCATCTTACACGTATCTTGTGTTGAGCTGTTGGAGATAGCAACCCAAACACAGTGCCCGTGTATTGGGTTGCTACGAGCTGCTGGAGACAGCAGCTCGTAACGCGTAAAGGCGGACATCGTCAATGTTCATATGCGACAAATGTTTTCTCCACATTTGTATGATAAGTGTGAATATTAAGGATACAAAGTTTTTTTTTTAAGAAAATATTTAACTACTTTTTAATTTCCTAGACTCATTTTGAAAATTGTCTATCTTAGTATTTGTAAAAAATTATAGAATTACATGAGAATTATTCTTGTGTAATTGTTTTTAGGTTGTTAGTTTCTCGGTTTGTATTATATTAGTAACTAGTAACCCGTCCCGGCGTCGCACAGGTGGACATTTTTACATTTTAAAAAGTGGCCATTAAGGCTGCACATGTGACGGAAGCTTAAAAATGGAGTAACTTCTCCCGTTTTCCCAACATTTCCCTTCACTGCTCTGCTCCTATTGATAGGTTATAGTATACTTTTCACCTGCCCAGGAGTATGTAGAATAATTGTATCAAGTTTCGTTAAAATCCGTCGAGTAGTTTTTGTTTCTATAACGAACATACAGATAGACAGACAAAAATTTAACTGATTGCATTTTTGACATCAGTATCGATCACTAATCACCTCCTGATAGTTATTTTGGAAATATATTTCATGTACGGAATTGACCTCTCTACAGATTTATTATAAGTATAGATATTTGTTATCCTGCAAATACATGCTATATCCCTTAAGTTATCGGTACTTTTTAACTTATTTATTTTCATTTTTTTAAGATAATTTGGAAAAATATTTTATTATCGACAAGGATATATTTACAGATTGTTCTGATAGTAATTTTATCTAAATCAGTTCAGTATATATGTTTTTTTTTTTATCAAAATATGTATCTGGTTTTGTCACAATTGTAGTCGGCTTTAACAATAGCAACTGTGGCGCGTGCACAGATGAAGCGCGTGGGCGTGGGCGGGCGGCTGGTGCCGTTCTTCAAGTCGGTGTGCGTGTACTTCGTGGCCGGCTGCGGCGCCACGCCCTCCGCCACCGCCGTCGCAGCCAAGTGCGCGCCCATACTCTGTCTTCTCCTGGTCGTTCTGCTACATCACGGCTCGGCCATAACGCCGCAGTGAGTACCGCAGCACCTTTCGTGGTTTTTTAATGGATGATAATGGAATAATAACCCCGCCTGCGCTAACGGTATACGCTGATAGAGCACCAATTCAACGATAAATTAGTCGCGACGGTTTCCAGGAGGAACCGCATCGAGGTCGACCTGACAAGATATATTGATAGCAGTGGGGACTAACAATCCCTTGCCCCGGCACCTTCCGTATTACCGGACTGCGACCGAAGCCATCGCTGAGTATATTTGGCCGCAGGGGCCGGTACGCGCGGCGCGTGGCGTGCGGGCTGGCGCTGTCGGCGCTGGGCGACGCGCTGCTGGTGTGGCCGCAGCACTTCGTGGCGGGCATGGCGGCGTTCGCGGCCGCGCACGTGGCCTACATCGCCGCGTTCGAGCTGCGCGCCGACGCGGCGGCGCTGGCGGCGCTGTGCTACCTGCCCACGGCGCACTACCTGACGCTGCTGCGGCCGGCGGGCGCGCTGCGGCTGCTGGTGCCGCTGTACGCCGCGCTGCTCGCCACCATGGCGTGGCGCGCCACCGCCGCCGCCGCCGCCGCCGCGCGCGCGCCGGCCTCGCGCCGCCGGCGCGCCGCCGCCGCCGCCGCCGGCGCCGTCCTGTTCCTGCTGTCCGACGCGCTGCTCGGCTACAGCCTCTTCGCGGGGCCCGTGCCGTACAAACAGGTCAGCGGCAGGTTTCAACTTAGTATGCGTATACTATACATTATATAGATAGAGCTTTGAGCCTCAAAAATGGGTCAACTTTTAGTCAGCTAATTGTCAAAATATCTTACCGTATCTATATTTTTAATTACTAATTAATTATAATCAGTTCTTGCGCACCAAATTCACCGCATAATAAATTTATATAAGGATTTAAAAAATAGCATTAAGAAATTAATTTTAAGATAAAATACAATTATTTTTTACATTTATTCAACTTAATTACAATTAATTAACTCATATTTTCCATTTCCATACGTAGATATTTCCAAAAACTCGCATAAAATAAAAATGGATCCCACTTCGATTATTACTAACATCAACAATACACGTTCTAAATATACAAAGATATTCGTATTCAAAGAAATCGGTTCAGTACAATGTATATTACACGGCCGATACTTTTAGCGACATTATACGTTCATATTTATACTATACATGGATCTACAAATACTGATTTTCAACCTTCAATTAAAAATTTTACACTTTTAAAGTAATATGAAAAAATTATGAAATTCCATCTATGGCATTTTTATTCTTTATCTACGCATCATTTGTAATAAATACATAATTAAAATATAAATAAAGTTAAACATTATAAAGGATTATTTACTTGTAATAACATTTTAAGTTACAACCTTCACCTATTTACCTTAATCTAAATAATAATTTCTTATCTGGTAACACTTTCGCGTACACAATTGTATGAAAATGTTGACTCTTTTTTTTTAAGTATTTCTATGGAGACACTGTATCTATATAATGTAAGGTGTATAAATAGACACCGAAGTGTTCTGCTAATCGGTAACGCTCACCAGGTGCTGGTGATGTCCACGTACTACCTGGGCCAGCTGGGTATCGCGCTGAGTGTGCTGGAGACGCCGGCGGCGGCGACGGCGGCGGCCGGCCGCTAGCGGCCGCGCTGCCTGCGTGTCGTCCCCGCCAGCGATGTCTTCCCGGGCGGCCCGGCGCTGAGCCACCGCCGCCGATCCCGAACACTGTTCCTCTCATCTGGATATGAATGTGTATTTGTAGGCGTACCTTTAGTTTAAGCTTTATTGTTATATAAATCTTCCTTTTGTAGAATCGTACGAATTATGTATAGATAGATCGTGACTCTCTATCTTAAATTGTTATTCCGTTGTCAGTAGGCGGGTGTAGACGTTGTTTCGGTATAGACGGTTGTTATGAGGGAGTTGGCCTCCGTGCTCCGTATGTATGTCGGGGGCGGGACAGAGGTCTGCACAAATATTCAACTATGTTGGATGCGATCAGTCTGTGATATGTGCTCGGTTACCGTGTCTTCTAATTAGGTATTTTAAAAATGCTTTAACACCATATTCCATAAATAATAAACGGAGATATGATTACAATTGCGCACGTGCCAAATATGTGCAAGGTGACGAGTGTCCCCTCTGGCTCTACATCGGCTCCAAAATGCGGACTGGACATGATTGTAGGGCTGTCTCCACTACTCACTACTCAACATATGAACGATAGATGCCAGCGTGTGTGTAGATGTGGCCGCTGCATACAAGTCCTCGTAAAGATCTGTTTGTCATTATTCAGAGTAATTGCATATGGAATACATTTGTGCAATATGCTATATTATGGAAAATCATTAGGGCTCCAAATTGTATTGTCATGTATGTATGTACATAAGGACGAGCGGCGATGACCGAGGCGGCTATGTTTATAGCCGTCGCGGCTCGCTGACCGCGCCGAACCAATTCGTAACGCAGACCAACTGAAGTGTTCCTCATCGTGTGACACACAAGACTGAAACACTATATTTTTATACTGGCTTTGTTTACTCGTCAGACAGAAGGTCGCTAATCACAATTGAATACGTGTGCACTGTGGCTGCATGTCGTCTACACGGTAGACATACCCACAGAGATACGTACATGTTCGGTTGCACGGCCGTTGACCGGCGGCCGTGTACAGCTGTTCCGATTCACTTTGCCGCTTACGTATACAACTAACCGAAGCGTAAACAATATTTTGATATTTTAACGGGCTCGTAATTGTTATAACTCGTGCGTCAGACGGTTGTATTTATGTGACGTCCGAGTCGTTGCCAACATTGGATGCATTGGACGCAGCAAGTCGAGTCTTACGACGCATGGGCCCAACGGTCTTTATTCTCAATATTCTGTGATTAGATTATATAGATAGAGCAGCGAACATCAAAGACGGGTCAAACATTTTGTTATTTTTTTTTTGTCAGTATTCTACATACTTACGCATAAAATGTATCTTTACGTAATATTTTATAAATAAAATGAGTGTTTACGCATTAAAAAAGATGCAGAATTTATAAGACAAAATAAATATAGAAGTTATAAAGGAATAGAAATTGAATATTAAAAAGGAACTCATGACTATTTATCACGCAAAATTGTATGAAAAAGTTGTCCCGTTTATCTCGAAGCATTTCTATGGAGATAGAGACTATCAGACACTATCTATATAATATAAGATTTTATGATTATAACTTTTATTCTTTAATTATACAAGTTACTTGCCGCGTCATCGTCCACTCTAGAGCCACTTACTCTTGTGCATTCCCGAAGTGTTCAGTCCGTCAAATTGTCCTCAATGGAATTAGGCCTCCCTCATAAATTGGGGGGTTTTGCCAATATTTACCGCAGTTACACTATGATGGTGTTTTGGGAGGAACGTTGCTGCCCATCCCTCGCTCTCCCTCAGTGGCCTCTTACGACACCCAAGAGATAGGAAGGGGTGGCTTATTCTATGTCAGGACCACACCGAAATGGCTATGGATAAATTACTCGAAATTTTGAATTCCTAATCCCAATGGTTTTGCTTCGATAGCTCAGTCAGCGAGCCAATTAATGAGGACATATTTTTTTACACGTGTCGAGTGTACGGCGGCGTCCATTACAGATGTATACACTGGCGGTCAAGTGGATCGGAACGGCCGCCTTGTAGTTCGTGAAGCGCTATATTACTCGACACTCGCGTCGCATCACGATATGCTGCAATATTTTTTATGGCAATTTACAGTAGGTGCAACTATCTCGTCTTTTGATGGAATCTCCACACGTGTAGCGTAGTGTTTTACCAAATATATTTTGTAATAGATAAAGCGGACAAACATATCTCGTGACCCTATCATTGTAGCTAAGTAGGTAGTTTATTGGCACCGTGGACTATTTGTTTTGTGTAGCCGTAGGTTGACCCTAGTGGTTAATTCCGTAGCACGTCACGTCGACAGCTATTGAAGATGTAAATTATAAATCGTTTAAGCAGAATATCTACTTAAATACGTTCATAGCGCGCTAATGCAAGGGTTTTCAAAGTGAGAGTGCGCACAAAAGAGCGCAGCGACCAGCAAAAGGGACGCGGGCCATCTTTATGAGGATATAGGCCAAATATTAGAACTTTAAATTTGATCGAAACCTGCGTCGGGAGCGCTAAATAATATAAAAGGAGAATCTCGCGTGGCTTTGAGAACCTCTGCTCTAATGTATTCTTCCGTTTATTGTAAATGTAAAAGGGTTGCTGTCAAATAAGATCATACGTCACGTTGCATTGATTTTTTTGAGTCAAGCCAATGTGCGTCGGCGCCGCGCACGTGAGCCAATATTCGTCAGCCGAGCGCTGCCGAGCGCTGCCGAGCGCTGCCGAGCGCCGCCGAGCGCCGCCGAGCGGCAGCCGACAGCGATCCCTGTTGCAGAACTTGGGACTAGTTATATAGGTGATTTGTATTTTAGAAGTGATTATTACATGTTGTTTTATGTATAAAATATATACTATTTTATTAAATGTTTATATATACTACTATAATGTAGAATTATACATGTGCTGTGTAATAAATCATGGGAAATCATTTCTGGCGTTTCTTTTTATACTTACTAAATATTGAACAATATGGAGGCGGACCAGTGTACGAGTACAGACGTCTGCCAATGGCAGTATGAGGGTGTTGGGAAAATATTTAATTGGCTTTGTAATCTTGTTGATATTTTCTCTCATTTTTACATTTATATAATTTATTTTAAAGTGGTGAAACAAAATATACAACTTATTATAAAAATATTTATTTAAATATACTTATTATCTTATTATAATCTTAAATACAATAACAATGACCACTGAACGCCTGCGCAGTCGACGGACACTTCTCATGGAATTTTTATCCGTCAAAATAGAACACTTAAAATTGCGTGGCAAAGACAGTAAAAAGTGCACAAAATAAACCATGTAAGGCGTGCGTCGACCGCGCAGGCCCGCGTGGTGTATAAATTCGAGGTGCGACATGGCGGCTCCATGCCTGAGGTGCACCTTCTACACATAAGCTGCAAGAATATTGTTGCAAGGAGAACGGGCGGCGCCACGTGTTGCTGGCGCCGGCCGCTTGGTGCGGGTCGTGTATAAATATACATAATAATTATATTATCTATAGCTATTTACAATGTACAATTCAACTCTGGAGTCGCGAGCTACACTAGCCTTAACAACCTTGTTACCAAATATCATTTCAGTCATTCGATGAGCGATGGGGACGCGTTTATTTATAGTGCCACGACGCGGGACATTCGCAGAGGACTGTACGTCGCGTGGCCGGGGGCGGAGCAGGCTTCCCCTTGCCTCGGATTAAGATGTGTAACTCGAGTGTCAAATGGAAGTCGACTATACTGGCTGGCCAGTGGCGCGGCAGCCGTCAACATAAACTGCAAACAGTACAAGTACTGACGTAACTCGCATCAAAAGTAAACAGTGCCGCTTTCTCTAATGTATCGCACCTTCAAATTAGGATACACAGACAAATAGACAATTCCAAAGATTCATACACAATTTACTTAAAAAAATAATAATTTGGTCAAGACAAACCGGCTCTCGTTAATACGCGTGACCACTGCACTATGGAGGCAGGTCAACATGTTTTTGTTTTTGTAAAAAAGTCATACGAACACCAATTTATGTGTACAATTAGTATACAACATTATCCGTGACCGGTTTGTCTGTGATGTTGAAGTTATTAAATGATATATTTTGCCTTACAGATACAAAATGACGTCCAATTGTATTGGTATTGTATCTGTAAGATAATAATCCACAATAATAAATAGAAGAGATTACGACTTTATTATTATTCACCAATTGAATGATTCATATTTGTAATCGATACCTAGTCCTTATTGTCATTTAAGAAGATTATCGTTTTTTACAAATAGAAAAACATTTTACACAACTAATCAAACTGATTAGGAAACTTACAGACGAAGTATGCTTATTCTTAAAAAAAAAAAATAACATTCAACAATGTTACAGTGGAAAGTAACTAATATATGGGGCGGCAACGAGCGACTCATTTAGATTACATTTGTGGCAGTAGACACTGACACCACGCCTCATGTCTGTAACTTGGACCACACCTCAATGTCATACCGGGCGTCTGCTCAGCGCATCCATTCGTCGTCGCCTTCACATCCCACGATCTCTCCATCTCTGTATATATCCATCCCAGTTCATATAAACACAAACACATTCTTGATATTCATTTTTTTATCTTTTCCCTTTTTCTTGCTCGAGTCGTGTCTTTTATACCAATTTATTTTCTGTTCTAATTCTCTTCAAATTTTCTTATTTCTAATGTGTAAAGTTGAATATCTTTTCGGGTGGAAAGAATTCATTCCAACCTATATCCAACCTGCAGCCACATGCAAACTGCACCAGAGGCCGAAACACGAGCTTCATCGCCCATCCTACGATCATCATGCGAAGAATCCAGACCAAACGCAGGACCCGGGCTCCTGAATCCGGGACAGCTACACATACAGCTAACCCAGCTGCAGTGGAAGAAACCGAGGCGACTCCCTGTCATACTCAGACAGACAAACAGGCAAGGACTGCTACCAGGAAGCAGTGTATCCTCTGCGGATATATTGAGGCTGGCTACAATATCAACCGCCAGTACCGGCGCAATCACCCATCCTACAGAAGAGGCAATTTAGGTGAAATGCACATGACCGCGGCTCGCACTATGAAGAATATCGTCCTTCGTTGACGAAAACTCACTCGTCTGCTTAGCCCTTATAATGTTAGTATTTTAAAGTAATTTTAAAAAGGGTTAATAATTCGCCAGTACTTGCCCATATCAGTATTTTTAGTTTATCTATTAGGTGTAATATTGGAATAAAGCAGATGCGACTCCACGAGGAGGTCGGGATGCGAGCACGCCCACAATGTTTTTTAACAACGACGAGCGGTTGCCGTGGCCGACGCCCGGAGGACCGTTCAGTCGGTGGTGACGGCGCGGCTACTCGCGGCGCAGGTTGTCGAGGCGCGACTGCAGCTCGGCGTCGGCGTCCAGCGCCGCGCCGCCGCCGCCGCTCGAGCCGCCCGCCACCGCCACCGGCGTCTTCGCTGCAACCATACCAACTATATGTATCATTGTCTCTCTATTTGTCTTTTTCATATTCACAGAATTTACTTTCGCGTATGTAACTATAAAGTTCCGAATTTGTAATTTATTTGTATTACATTTCGTAATTAATATTGCCGTGTAGTTCCGGCATAGAGTAGGCCACACCTTCCTTTCCCTTGGGTGTTGTAAGAATCATCTAAAGGAGGGCGAAGGATGGGCAGCAGTGTCCCTCTTAAAACATCTCTAAAGTCTAACTGCGGTTGCCAACCCGCATGCCAAACGTGGCAACTACTGGCAAAACCTCCCAAGGGGGAGACTTATGTTCAGCAGTGTACAGTTAAAAGCTGATATGATAATGATTACAATATTGTATGATTGGTGAAGAATGTTATGGTACCTACATACCACAATAAATATTATCTTTACGATTATATGAAACATGAATAAAAAATGTGCAATCGCTGACAAAAAGGTACATTTGAATCCTTAGGATTAACAAAACAAGAGGCACATCTTAGGTGTCCGAGTTACAGTTTTCTTTAAAGTGAGCGCTCACCTTTTCCAATCAGATGTTTTGTTTGCCATTCTAAGTAGTTTTAAAAAACTACATACAAAAATAAAAAATAAAATAAGAAAAATTACCTGAAATAGAGAGAGATCCAGTGGCTTGTGGCAGCCCAGACAATTGATCGTTGAGCTGCAGTCCTAACTCGTCCAAGATTTGCGACACTACCGCGTCACTGCAACCACAGGACAGTGTGGGTCGTAAATTTTAAATATTATTTAGGAAAAACAACATCACTTGAATCAGCGACAGTTATTATTTTCCATCAGATGGGCCGTCAGCTTATTCGCAATTCTAAGTTGCATAAAAAAAAACTGGGTCTGGCCCCTTCAAGAAACACATGTTTTTGCTCACAGCTGGAAACTTCACACCTGATCGTGGGTTAGGAACGAGACAATCCATGGGTGCGTCCAGCTCCATTGCCCCCTCCTCCCGTATTTACCCCTATGGTCACATGAGAATTCCCAAAATTTCATGCTACTCTACCTATACCATACCCTACCTTCTTTGAAGGCATATATTCACTAAAACTTACTACATCAGCAAATGAGATACAATCTGCTATACAAACCTTTCTTCTTCATCATCATCACCTTCCATCGCTTCATCAATGGAGTCATTCATCATTTCTTCCTTCATGTCCATTATCTCAGACTGCTTTTCAAATTCCTGTAATAGAGTTTGAAACAGCATTTTATTTGACATAATTAATCTGGACAGAAGCAAAGGTATTGTTAGAAAGCGGTAGGGTATACTCCATTGCTAGCAATATACTATGTTAAATCGACATTTATATGTATAGTCCTCTCTGGAAATTCCTAGTGAATTTGAATGATGGACTGAATGATTATCTCAAATGTATTATCATCCAGCGCCACCACACCACTGTATAGCATTAGCATACGGTGTTCTATGTATATATGGTAATTTTCTGTATTTTCTGATAAGAATGAGTTAGTTTATTCCTCTTTCAATAGAAAGAGATATAGAGATGGTAATTATTTTATTTAAATAAATGACACGGTTACAGATAAATAGTACATAGGTACTCTGAAATCAGATATGTAGATATGTTACTTCAGAATGTCGGCAAAGAAAACAACGTGAAAGTGTAAAATACAAACCTGTAATATCTTCTGTATCTGCGGCATGTTGAGCTGCCTGTTCATGGTGGCCATGGCGCGCGTGACACCGCGCATCGCCTGTGCCATCGTGCTCTGCGATTTGAGCGTTTGTATTTTCAGCGACACAGCTTGAATGTTGGCCTTCATCAGCATGAACTTGCGTACGTAGCGCCGCGTGCGGACCAGATCCTTCGCCATTATTTTCACTGCATCCTAATTAATAGAATAAAAAGAAAATTTATTTAATATAGCTTAATTGAGACAGGGGGGAAAGTGATTGTTAGTAAAGGGGACCTAACACCTCCATTGCTAGCAATATACTTTATCAGGTTGATTTCCAAGTGGTTTCCCCTGGAAACCAACTTAGTTAATAATTGTGGATTTTGTTATGATGGGCAACAACTGAACTGCTTTCATCCTCACCGGTGCACCACCAACATATACCAATAACGCAGATGGGGTTACCTTTCCACTATCAAGCATTAAAAGCCTTGTAAGTGATTGTTTTTTGCACATACTTACTAAATTTATAAAAATATTTAATTATGCTTATGAGTTTTGTTTGGAAGTAATGGTATTAGGTTACAGAGATATTTCATTTATGAAATTATCATTTACTTTAAATATACATTTAACATAATAAAGGCCATGTAACAGAACAATTGGCATCTGTTTCATAAGAAACATGAATAAGAGAAATATTCATGTAAACTTTTATACAGGCTCCATTTTGGTGAAGAGAGATGTGAAAAACAAATATTTCCAAACAACAATATTTTATTATAATTTTGTAATATAGTTGTATTATTAGGTGCCAAGTTGCCTGGTTCAAAAAATAATAATAGTAAGGCTTACTTGATGTATTAAATAAAAATATGTTTATGTAGATTCTAATTATTTATCATCACAGACCATTTGGCCCTCCTTGGCAAGTTTTTTGATGTCGGCAATGACTTTCTTCTCTTGCTGCTCCATCTTCATGCGTTCACGGTCCAGGTCACGCATTGCCTTGTTCAGGGCGCGCTGATTTTTGCGCAACATCTCATCTGGCGTCATACGGTGTCCAAATAGCCACTCCATTGCGTATTATAATCTAGTCCTGAAGAATTATTAGAAAATTAGGGTATTTAAGATTTTTCTGTTTTCCAAAACCTAGTTTTTTAAGATAGTATATAACAAATATAAAAATAATAAATGGTTAATAATTTCAATATATTTAACTAGTTACTTCGTTCAGAAGTAGGTGAACTAATTAATTAGACCACTACTAGATGGTGTATAGATAAAACACACACACAGATTTTAAATTGGACCTTCAAGAAGACAACTGTGAAAACCTGTAGCAGTATTTACAACAGACAAATAATCAAAATTTCTAGAAATTATTCTTTTGGCATCTATTAGTCTTATTAAAACGTTTCATATTAAATTTTCTTAAGTGTCTCCCATGTACAGTTATCATTAAGTCATAATTGTTATATGTTAGTCATAATTTTATTGTATTACTAAAATAATAAAATTAAAATTTTTAATAATGAAATAATCACTTATTTGTTTTAATTCCTCATATACAGTTGAAATTGCCTTTATTTGTAATCGACCTTTTTTGAGTGATGATTCACACTAGTTTGAATTTATTCAACACGTTATTAAAAATAAATTATTAACACCAGCAAAGACTACAAACTAATATTAGATAAGTGAAATAGTGAATGAAGCATAATATAATTATATTATTTTAGAGAAATTTATAATAAGTAATATTGTTTCAAGGAAAAATGTTTACAATAGTGATGGTAAAGTAGCAGGGTGGGGAGGGCAAGGAAATTAGTCCACAGAGAACAGAATCAGTAGTTTGTTGTCATGATGACATTGACATTTATTTTATTTTTATAAATATACAAGAGATACATAGATAATGCCTAAGTACAAGGAATTACATAGAAGGAATGATAAAAACTATAAATCAAATGGTTGCCTCCTTTCATCTTATGCAAATATAATTAGTAAAAAGAGGACAAAAGATACACCATCAGTTACTATTTTTTTGAATTCATAGTAGGCTAGTGTATAGAAAATACTAAGAACAAGGAATTACATAGGTATGATAAAATAAAAACTAAATCATATGGTTGCCTCGTTTTTTCCTTTGTAAATATAATAGATAAAAAGAGGACAAAAAATATACCATCAGTTGCTATTTGTCTCAATTAGCAGGCTAGTGTTTAGAAAATGTTATACGGTCGTATAACCCTACCAAATTCAGATACAACCTGCTGCTTGCATACTTTCTACATAAACTGTGTCGAATATATAATCATATAATGTAGTAATGTAAAATTTGTTTTTGACAAATAATTGACAAATTGCTTAAATTGACATATTGAACAAAAATTTTATATACACATTTCTGTACATGTAACAACTGTTGAATCGATTTAATGGATAAGATGTCATTGACATTTATTTGCAAATTCTAAAGAATTAAAGTTAAAATTTGTAGATAGAATATATTCACGTATTTGTTATTATTCTAAATTCGAATACTTGACCCTTTAGAGTATTAATGAATTAAAATGTGATATTTTTTTTCTATCGATTCATATACAAAATATTTGTTATAGTTCTAAATATTATATATAAATAAGTGAAATATTTCAAGCATACCTATATACACGTAAAACATAAAATTGTGTTTTCTCTGTTATTAATATTACATTCAAGTAAAGCATATTTAATTCTAAGTAATTACATTCACTTAAAACTAATTTCACTTCAAAATGTAAAAATAATTAAAAATTATTTTGTTCATACTCCCGCTAAAACAGCTTCGAGCCTATGTTGTGCAAATTATTGTCCTATTACCCGCCCTACCACAACATACTGGTTCATAATCTAAAATAATGCATGATGAATGAAAAAGAGGAAAAAATCCGCTGTATATTTTTAAATTCTTTGCTGTTCATTGAATATAAAAATGGTACCGCTGTTAAAGCATGTTAGTCATAAAATGACAGTTGACAGATTATGACATTTATCATTTTTTGTTAATAGGTCTGTATAGTATAGATAATGAGGTAAATTTTTTCGTTTTGTTTTCCCGCGTATGTTAATATTTTGAATTTATTTATTTTTAACAAAAACTAGAATAGAAAACATAAATAATAATATTTTTTTCACAACAAACCTTCCACTGTTAATTGTTTTTATAAAATGAGCGACGAAATTATAACTATTATGGAAGTTGATGACAGTGAAACAACACAAACAAAGTCTAACAAAAGTTCTAAAAGCACCACTCACCTACCTTGGATTGAAAAGTACCGTCCACAAGTGTTTACGGATATTGTTGGAAATGAAGACACAGTATCGCGGTTGGCCTTTTTTGCGCGGGCAGGGAATGCGCCTAATATTATAATAGCTGGACCGCCCGGCGTTGGGAAGACGACTACAATTCTGTGTCTAGCACGCGCACTACTCGGTACTTCATTCAAGGATGCCGTACTCGAGCTCAATGCATCTAACGACCGTGGCATAGATGTCGTACGCAACAAGATCAAAATGTTCGCGCAACAAAAGGTTTGTTGTCGTTAGTTTGTAGACAACCCAGTGGAGAAAACAGTAGGTTTTCTACGCTTTTTAATGTGTGTATAGTAGCTGTTTAAAAAAAAAAACAAACTTGCAGGTAACATTGCCACCAGGGCGACACAAGATAGTAATTCTAGATGAGGCAGACAGTATGACGGAGGGAGCCCAGCAGGCGCTCCGGCGCACTATGGAGCTGTACTCGAGTACCACAAGGTTTGCCCTCGCCGCCAACAACAGTGAGAAGATCATTGAACCCATACAATCACGATGTGCAGTACTGAGATACTCACGACTCACTGATGCACAGATCCTCGCTAAGGTAATAGTCATTAGTCATTTATAAAAAAAACAATGTACTTTGTGTCTGAAATATAGGATAATCATACAAAAAAGCATTAAATTGAATATTACAACTATTGAATAACAATAATAAATATATTTTACGATCAACAATGTCAACTTTATCTGTAATACACATATATATACTAAATTTATTTTAATTTTGGTATTTACATTAATTAACAGTACAAAAGTCATTAAAAAACATTGTAATTTTAAAATAATCGAGATTTTGTATAATTTTCAACTGGACAGGTAATTTATTAAATAACACTACTGCATGATGTACTTACTAAAGTAAATATATACTATAGTTATAATGTAATTTCTTTTTTATTACGTTCAATGATTTAGACCTTATCCTATGGAGTTACAAAGATACCAATATTTTTTCAGGTTCTAGAAGTGTGCCAAAAAGAGAACCTCTCATATACAGAGGAAGGTATTAGTGCAGTGGTGTTCACAGCGCAGGGTGACCTGCGTTCCGCCCTCAACAACTTGCAGTCCACAGCACAGGGCTTCGGCCACATCAGTCCTGATAATGTGTTCAAGGTGTGTGACGAACCACACCCACTTCTTGTCAAGAACATGCTGGAGGCTTGCACTAAGCAGGATATACATGCTGCTTACAAGGTATGTTTGACACTATTATTAAATGGTACAATAATTATCGAAATTGTCACATCATTTAATAATTAAGATAAGGGTAGGATGATGATGATGATGATGATGATGCTATGACAACTGTCACAAATATAGTATTCAAATCTAGAATATTACTATTAAAGTTATCTGTTTATTTTTATTATACGACATGTAGGTAATAGCCAACCTGTGCAAGCTGGGCTATGCTGCGGAGGATATAGTGAGCAATATATTCCGAGTGTGCAAAACGCTGGACATATCAGAAGACCTGAAGCTGGCTTTCATCCGCGAGGTGGGTCTGACGCACATGCGCGTGGCGGACGGGCTGGCGTCGCCGCTGCAGCTCGCCGCACTGCTGGCACGCATGTGCCGCGTTGCCGCCGGGCACGAGCCGCACTGGTAACAGACGACTGGGGACGAGCGACCGGCCCACCCTACACTAGGATCCACAAACTCCTATAATTTAAATATGGGACATCTGTGTAACTATTTATCGGCATAAAATTCACTGTGATATAACTTATGTATGTTATACTTCCATTCTCTTCATCCTTATTCATCCCAGATCGACAATGCAATCATAAAAATGAGGCAAGAAAATAGTTGCAAAGTACATGTGCAGGTCTGAACTTATGAAATTAAATTTGCACAAAAAATAATTGTTATTTTTATTGCCTTGTAACTCTTGATAACTTTGTTTGAATAAATAACTTGTTTCCTACCAATTTTTGTCAAAATGTTACTGGTGGTTTTATAATATTGCATATAAAGAGATAAAGGTCAAAAATGTAATTACATGAAAAATGTGCAATTTCCCTAATTTACCTAAAAGTTAAATATGTTGTACCTAGGGACAGCAGCTTTAACTTTAACCAAATACATTCATTTAAAACTAATTATTCTTCAAAATTTAAAAATAATAATAATTTTATTTCGTCCATACTCCTGCCAAATCAGATCAGATCAAGATTTAATTTTTATAAAAGATTGGTACAGTATTTGTCATACATATTATGTATTATGTCTAGTGTTATATTTTCTAAATACCAACAGAATTAAATGTACATATAAAATAATATTATTATTATTATAGCTTTTTTTATCCACTTCCGTGGTCCCCAAGGGTAAAAGCCTCCTCCATCTTTTTCCACTTCTCCTTATCTATAGCAATACCCGTCCAGTTCTTTCCTGCTATCTTTATTATGTCATCTTCCCATCTCTTTCTTTGTCTTCCAACATTTCTTTTTCCTGCTGGACCTCGCCATTTTGTTGTTTGGAGAGTCCACCTTTTATCTTTGTACCTCACTATATGACCTGCCCATCTCCACTTCTGTTTCATACTATGCTGAAGAGCATCTTTTATTTTGGTTTTCTTCCTAATATCAGTGTTTCTTATTTTCTGTATTTTTCTTAACTTTAAGATACTTCTTTCCATCGCATGCTGACATGATAGGATTTTGTTCTTTATTTTTTCTGTATAGGTCCATGTTTGGCATGCATATGTTAGGCTTGGAAGGATGCAGGAATCCATAATTATCTTTTTTAAGTTGAGACTGTAGTTCCCTTTAAGGATTTCTTTTTGAGCCCAATATTTCTTCCATGTTATGTTTATTCTTCTATCGACTTCATTTTCTCCACTGTTCGTTTCGAAAGAGACCATTTTACCTAGGTACACATAACTATCCACATAATCTATAGGGTTCTCTTCTATTGTGATAATTTTTTTGCTGTGGTTTGTCATGATCTTTGTTTTGGTTGCATTCATATTTAGGCCAATTTTCTTACTTTCCAAATCTAGTTCTTGTATCATTTTTTCTAGGTTGCTAGCCGATTCGCTAAAAAGTACTATATCATCTGCGAAACATAAGTGTGTTAGTCTTTTGTTCAGTATCCATATACCCTCATGGCTCCAATCGATACTTTTAAAGATGTTGTTAAGTACTGCTATGAAAAGTTTTGGAGAAAGTGGATCTCCCTGTCTTACGCCTCTTCCAATTGTGAACTTTTCACCCTGCCTCTCCAGTTTGACTCTGCTTATACTATTAGAGTAAATATTTTTTATAATATTTATGTAGGTGCTGTTTATGTTATTGTCAGCCAAAGCATGCCATATGGATGAATGTGTAATGCTATCGAAGGCCTTGGAGTAGTCCACAAATGCTATGTAAAGTGATTTATTAAATTCTTTGTACTTTTCTATTATCTGTTCTATTGTGTGGATGTGATCGATTGTAGAGTAATGTGGTCTGAATCCAGCCTGCTCTATTGGTTGATATTTGTCAATTTCTGTTGCTATTCTGCTCAAAATAATGGATGAAAAGAGTTTGTAAACTGTGGATAGTAAGCTGATAGGTCTGTAGTTGCCAATATCAAGCGGGTTGCCTTTCTTGTACAGCAGTATAATGTCAGATTCACACCATTGCTTTGGTACCACTTGCTTCTCCAAAACTAGGTTAAAAATTTTCACTATATATGTGATTAAAATAGGCACTCCAATTTTTATGGCTTCATTCGTAATGTTGTCTGAACCTGGGCTTTTTTCAGGTTTTAATTTTTTAATAAGTTTTATGACCTCGTACTCTGTAATCTGGTTCGGTGCTGCTTCTGAATTGCTTTCCTTACACACAATGTCTTCATCTTTATATGTTTCTTTTTCTAAAGGTTTTTTATACAGGTCGGTGTAGAATGCCGTTGCACTTCTGACTATGTCATCTCTTTCCCTGATTTCGCCTTTACCATTATTTAGAGATTGTATCCATTTTTTATGTGTTGTAAGTTCTTTGAACGCTCTTTTTGAACTTCGGAACTTTGTCATGTTTCTTTCAATAACTGCTCTTCTGTAATTATCATGGTCTTTCCTAATTGCTCTATTAGTTTCCTTAAATAACTTCTTTATTTTTTCTCTAGTTTCTTTGGTTTTGTGCTTCTCAGTCACTAGTTCAGTTCTTCTAGAGATTAGACTCAGTGTTTCACTGCTTAGGATTTTATGTTGGCCAGCTTTTCTTTTCTTATCAAATCTTAAACTTTCTAATATTATTTCTTCCAGTTTGTTGCTCAAGGCCTGTACATCTTCTAAATTAATCAGTGAGTCATGTGATTGTGCTAGATTCTTTTTCAGATTTCGTATATAGCTGTTTCTTTTCTCAGTGGAGTTCAGTTGATTTGGAGAAGTGTTAAAAGCTCTTCTACTTATTTTTGACTTTTTGGTTTTAAGAGTGCATCTCACTAATCTATGATCAGACGGAAAGCTTGTTTTGTTTAACACCTCTATATTACTTACAGAATTTGGATTAGAGCTCAGAATGAAGTCGATTTCATTTTTTGTTTTATGGTCTGGTGATATCCATGTCCATTTTCTAGATTCTTTTTTCTTAAAAAATGTATTCATGATCGACAACTTATTCTCGTAAGCATATTGTATCAGACGTTCACCTCTTTCATTCCGTGTTCCATATCCAAATTTTCCCATTATGATGTTTTCATGTGGTTTCGGGTGTCCAATTTTTCCATTGAAATCTCCAATGACAAGCACGTTTTTGTCAGCTAAGTTTTGTGCTTTTGTTAAGTCGTTATAGAATTTTGTTAGTTCCTCTTCACTTGAGCTCACAGTTGGGGAATAAACTTGTATAATCGATATTGGTCCATCCCTCAGATTCATTCTTAGTAATGCGACTCTTTCCGATATTCCCACAAAACTTGAAATATTGTTCTTTAATGACTTCTTAATAATGAAACCCACTCCATGTAGGCCCACTGTTTCGCCTATGTAACAGAGTGTATATTTGTCATGTTCTTCTATAGCGCTTCCCATTTTTTTTGTTTCTGCAAGTCCCATAATGTCCCAATTAATTTTTTCTATTGCTTGGTTTAGTTCTATCATTCTTTCTTTAGTTGCGAGTGATCTTACATTGTATGTGCATATTTTTAGGTATTGATCTATTTTTAATTTTGTTTTTTCTTTTGTATTGCTTAAGTTAATTTTATTGCTACTTACATTTTTGTTTTTGGTATTTGTTATTTTATTTGATATTTTATTTGATGAAGGGTAAAATAAAATAATATACATTATTATAAATAAATGAGCTACAAATAATGAGAATTTATAAGTTTTTTTAAAAAATGAGAAAACGTCAGGATACAATAAAGTTTAAGTGTTGATTGGTTAATAATTATTAAAACACATTTTTTACAAAAAGTTATTATTATTCCAAAATATACAATATTTTTTTTACAATATTCTCTTAATAATAAAAATTAAAGTAATTTTAAACCATAATTGTTTGATAATGAATCTATAGAATGTGTTGTGACTCATCGTGTGATCTCGAGCAATTTGTTGTGCTCCACCATTAGACTCTGTAACATAATGCACAATTTATTAATTAAAACAAATGTTGCAAGCTATTGCAGGCCATGGTAACCACATACCATCAAGTGGACCATATATTTCTGTGCCACCTGAGTCATTACATATTTATACAATATGTTTCTATAATAAAGATCTAATCGCTAAAGCCTAATTTAGAAAAACTTGCGTTGAAACTAATTTCAAGACATAGGTAAGTATTGTGCTCTACGCAAACTTGGGTCCGATGTGTACATTTCTAATGATTTACTTAGTTGATATTGACCGGCATTTAATGTACCATCATATCCACATAAGCCAGTGTTGAAATGAATATGATTTATTTATTAAAATATAAAGTGTAGAAGGGCAAACATTACTGTATGAGTATAAACAATCGACTATAATACTAGAGTGGAGCAGAGCAGAGTGTACGTACAGAGCGAGCGGCCGACACCGGCTGCCGGGGTTAAGGTGAAGGTCGGGGTCAGTGTACGAGGCGCTGCTCGTCAACGGGCCGGTCGGCGATCATCTTCTGGTGTTCCTCGCTCAGCGCCTGCCGTACACCCAGGCTTACATGTATCCACTACGCTATACTATACACAATGGCATGGACACTAAGCACCTCTTGTACCATGAGTGCCTTTCCACATGTTCCGGATGCCGGGTACATGGCGGCGAGGCCTGTGCCCATGTGACAGTGGTGGAAAGGTACTTTACCGCCCGCTCGGAACGTGTAAATAGGCATTAACCGATAAAGAAAGTGTCTACAATTGTTCCAGTACTCTGATAACAGCAAGGACATGAGTGTATGATGCGATTTCCACTAAACGCTTACATTAGATGCAATTTTTTTTAAGCAGGGAAGGTCGGGGAGTACGTAAGTAACTGGGCGATTAACATTCTCGAATTCATATTGAAGCGGAGGTAGGAATGTTAGCTATAATTATACCTAATGTATCAAACCAAAATACCATGGATTATATGTAATATGGTGAAATTTGAGTGTACTTCACGTATTCTTGTTTTTCACTATAGGCGTATTTAAGGGGAAGGGCCGAGTGGATCGTGCGCACCCTAGAATTGAGTGGTGCCCATCCTCAGAGTTCATTTGCGTCTTTTTTTAAGAAGCCCGTCCCACCCTAAACAATAATCCCAATTACGCCTATGTCTGTCACACTCAGGACCACTAGTCGTAATCAGATTTATTATGTAGGCTCACAATTTTATCTATTGATATATTTTCATTGTCCTTTTGAGATCCGAGCAATATTGACCAAGCATATATTTATTTATAGCCTGTTTTTATAGAATTTAATGAAAGATAACCAAGTTTTGTTGATGTCGTCACAGAAATGTTTAAATTAATAGTAACTCGAAACAGTGATTCAATTAATCATTTTTTTATTTTTGTACTACATTGAACATTAGCAGACGTGTGTTATGACCGGAACAATCACTCGTTTGTTAAAATGTACGTAAACATAAAAAAAAAATTTGGTTAATTAATTTATAGAAATAATTTATTTCTCTATTTATATTTGCTTTTACTCGAATCCCATAAAATACATCCACTCTTTTAAAATTCTTAATTTTTACTATAAAATTGCTTTTCTTTAATAACTCTTTACGTGAGGCATTTTTTGTTATATTTTTATACAACGATGGTGGCAATGTAGCATACGGTCCGTCTATATGATGGTATGCGGCCCTCGCAGCCCGTGAACATTTGCAACAAACACCAGAGACATGACATGTATTGATGATAAACAGGGCATGCAAGCAAGTAGCACGGAAACAGTGATCAGTGATATTTTAAACGTAGTCTTACTCTACCATATATAAACATTATACACACGGCTCGGTTATGTAACTCGATTACTAATAAATTTCATTCCCTTTCCCTCCTAATCACAGTATTTGTCAGTATGTTATGTTACATAATCAAGCTCCCAGATGCTACAATTGGCTTCGCACCCGTCAGTTGCAACAGTTTATTTATTTATTTATTTATTTATTAAAGGCACACACAACAGGCTACAATCAATAACATGATAGACATTATACAAAGACAATAGACCGAACCAGATTGAGACCCAGACTCGTGTATGCACAGCATGGCCAAAGCAGTCGGTATACAATGTCAAATTACAAAGCTATACAATGAAAGCACATGAAATTGGCAAAAAACAGCGAAGCACATGCAAACGATAAAAACACATAAAGAATAAGGACATGTCAAAGAGACCCGATGGCCGATTGCAAAATGCTTTTAAAGTTGTTTAGACGTGAGTTGAAGATATCAATTTGAGGACACTTAGTTGAAAATTCATTAAAAGTACGACACATACGGATAAGCGGGTTATAATACGAACGAGTTGGAAGTAGCACAGGGGGCGGAGCATGCAGACGAGTATACCTTGAAGTACTTGACAGTCTTGACGCGCAGCTCGAGTGTGGCGTCCTCGTCGCATATGAACAGCGCCTGCGGGTGCTGCTGGAACGCGGACACAGTCCACATGTGGTTCACGCCCTCCTCCACCGCCTTCGCCAGCGCCAGCGCTTTATGCACGCCCGTTATCAATATCATCACCTGTGTGCACACCGCATCGCAATATAAACGACTGTACTGTATCTAAAACTCGTCACAGACGTCGACGGCGACTATTGCCCAGGGATTTGCCGCGAACACGTGTGTGCCATTATTTTACATAAGTAGGTGCCTGTAAGGGCTTCAATGATTTTTATTAAATTTGGAATATGGGTTCTCCGGATGTAATTTCAAAAGACGAAAAAGACTAGTAAAAAAACGAATAGCATGTTAATAAATTCTTCTACATTACTGAGCCAGCGTTAATGTGAGCTGAGCATGGTAGCGGTGGTGGGGTGGTGGGCGGGCGGTACCTCCTTGGCGTCCATGACGGTGCCGACGCCGACGGTGAGCGCCTGGCGCGGCACCTTGCTCATGTCGTTGCCGAAGAAGCGCTTGTTGGCGTCGAGCGTGTCGTAGGCGAGCGTTTTGACGCGTGTGCGGGACACCAGCGACGAGCCCGGCTCGTTGAACGCGATGTGCCCGTCCGGACCGATGCCTGCCAGTTATTAGAGTTCGGCTCGTATGAGTGTGACACATATCGTAAATAAAAGTCGTCTAAAGCTAGAACATCTTATTATGCTAAACCAGACTACAAACATCAGGGAACACAACCGATATACACTTTCACACTAATAATTAATACACTTTTTTACACCACATTCACGCAATACTACACACACAAATAACACACACTTACACTGATTATTGCTGAACTTACAGTGATGCGACGTTTTAAATAAATATCTCAATAGATAACCCTACAAAAATAAGCATAATATTGTCTGGTATACAAATTGGGAATCTGTAATTATTCTAGATATAAGCTGTTGATTCCAGATGTAATATTAAAATAAAAATAAAATAAAAATATACCCAAAACCAAAAATAGGCCTGAAGAAGAATCGTATCTGTGATTTATCTTTTATACCACAAAGGTAGTCAACAAGTATACCACGCGGTGCTGTGTACGCACCTCCGATGAAGAGGTGCACGCCGCCGGCCTGCTGTATTAGGTCCTCAAAACGGCGACACTCGGCGGCCAGGTCGGGCGCGTTGCCGTCCAGCACGTGCGCGTTGTTCGGGTCGATGTCCACGTGCTTGAAGAACTCGTTCCACATGTAGTAGTGGTACGACTCGGGGTGCTCGCGCGGCAGCCCTTCAATACAATATATATATAGTAGTACAATATTATTTCTGATCACTGTCACACGACACAGTGTATTGACTCCACCTGATGGTGAGTGAGACTAAATCTTGCCACTGGAGGATTCGATCCCAAGACAGTAGAACGGAATGGAGGAACTAATGGCTTTATATGAGTTCTTGATATAGTTCGGAGAAAGCTTTCACAACTAGTAGCACCGTACGAGAGCTTCAGGGATCATACTATAATCTGTGACATTCATGACGCTGTTCATATTATAGTAGACTGTTTATTAGCTTATATATAATTTTTTGTATTTTTTTTTATGGGTGATAATGGTATGGTAACCCCGCCTGCGCTAACGGGATACACTGGCGGAGCATCAATGAAGGGTGATAGATGAGAATGAAAACAGGCCAGTTAGCCCATCATGATGAATTCATCAGGAAATAACCATGATAGTTTCCAGGGAGAACTGTGAGGAGGTCGACCTGGTTGGGTATATTGCTAGCAATAGGATTCTCAATCTCCATTATTAACAATCCCTTTCCCCCCAATTTTTTTTTTGTAATAAATACAGCGACTTTTAGTATTAGCAGTATATAAGCGGCAACAGCTCAGTTGGAAAACTCGACTGCGCTTCGGAGAGCCTAAGGTTGAAATTTCGTAATTTTTCAAATTCATATTTAAGTAGATCTTTTAAACATGATTATGAGTAACGACTCATACATATACATATCATACAATACAAATAACGATCTTTACAACGGTAAAGATCGTTATTTGTATTGATAAATAACAGACTGGATGTCACTTAATGATTACATTAATAACTGATAACTCAACAACCAGCTTACATTTTTCTATTTCTCATCAACCTTTCCAATGACAACTCCTAGTGTTGCCACCTAGCATAACAGTTGTGATCCGAGTCCGGTCCATTATCGGGCCCGCGTTTACTTACCGACGTACTCGTCCATGTTGAACGTGGTGACGTACTTGAAGGAGAGCCGCCCCTCCTTGTGGAACTGCACGAGCTTGCGGTACATGCCGAGCGGCGTGCCGCCCGTGGGCAGCCCCAGCACGAAGTGGCGGCCCGGCCCCGGCGCGAACTGCGTGATCCGCTGTAGCACAAACTGCGCCGCCCAGTCCGCCACTACGCTCGCGTCCTCCAGGATGATCAGGCGCATCTTAAAACAGTACGTGTTTTTTTTAATGGGTGATAATGGAATGATTATCCCGCCTGCGTTATCGGCCTTCACTGGGGGCGCACCAGTGAGGGATGATTAGGTGACGATGAAAGCAGGCTAATTAGCCCATCGTGACAAATTCCACTAGATTTAACCACGATGGTTTCCAGGGGGAACCGCGTGGAGGTCGATCTGATAAGGTGTATTGCTAGCAAGGAGTCAGTTATACCCTATTACTAACAATCCCTTTCCCCCCACAGTACGTGTTTAATATATGTATAACTGACAAAATAAAAATGTAATGGCATAATGTAAAGAAGACAATTATAGGTGTCTTACATATGGATAGATATCCTATTGGTGTCGTAGTGTTGAGTACAGACACGCCGGTTTTTTTTTTAATGCGTGATAATGGTATGGTAACCCCGTCTGCGCTATTGTTATACACTGGCGGGATACCAGTGAGGAATGACAGATGAAGATGAAAGTAAGTCAGTTAGCCCATCCTGACGAATTAAACTAGAATTAGTCACGATGGTTTCCAGGGGGAACCACGTGGAGGTCGACCTGACAGGGTATATTGCTAGTAATAGGGCTATTTTGATCCCATTACTAACAATCCCTTTCCCCCCAGACACGCCGGTTAGGCGGTTTAGAATAGCGTTTTTATTAAACTTTCCTTGTCTTGCTGATGACTGATGTTAGTGCTCTGTATAATAAATTTTCAATATAATAATATCTAATATTAGCTTTTAACCAATTAGACTTCGTTTGTGTTCGGTATACGTTGTTAATCTAAATCAGCCTTTCCCAAAGTAGGCGATAACGCCCCCTTGTGGGCGCTGCAGGCCTAAAGGGGAGCGGTAAGAGACCCAGAAAAAAATGGACAAAATAAGTTTGGGAACCCTTGATCTAGATCAATTAATTAGCCTATATCATTTTTCTTCTCAAATATCAAATTGTACGTGTATAATATAATATATACCAAATTTAATGACGATCGATTCAGCTGTTAAGGCATTAAGAAATAACAATCAATCTCTCTTTCACATTTATAATACTAGTACGAATGAAGGGGAGGGGGGAAGGGATTGTTAGTAATGGAGTTTGATAGCCCCATTGCTAGTAATATGCCTTATTAGGTCGACCTCCACGTGGTTCCCCCTGGAAACTATCGTGAACAATTCTTGTTGATTTCGCCACAATGGGCTAACTGACTTGCTTCATCTTCACCTACCATCCTTCACTGGTGCCCCGCCGCTGTATACCGATAGCGTGGGTGGGGTAATCATTCCATTATCACCAATTAAAAAAAAGTACGAATGAAGGGTAAGAGCGGTGATACTTCGATTCACGAAGCCTGTAGATAAATACCTACTTAGATAATGTATAGGCTCGTACTGTTTCGCAATATTACAATTACTCTCCATACATATATATAAATCAGTTATTTGTTACAGATAAAATGTCAACGTCCTCATTACTTAAGCGTGATAAAGTAAGTATTGCAGACTATTACAAATAAGAACAAGAGGATCGATAAGTCCGTTCATAACGCCCGCTAATCTATAGCGTCCAACCGATCCTTATTAATATTATAAATTTGAAAGTGAATTTGTTTGTCTGTTACCTTATTATAGTCGTTTAAAACCATTGCACAATGAATCAATCAATGAAAGAGATTTACTTTGACACAGATGGATTGACAGACAGATAGAGCGGCAAAACTTTTCTAATACATTTTAAAATCCAAAACTAGCGCCTAAATCGTTGGTGTCGTTTACTGGTTTCTTAAATTTCATTATCTTTGCGATATACATGTAGGCAGGGCCGTGCCTGACGGGCGTTCATTGCGTGCACCGCACGCAGGCGGCCGAAATTAAGAGGCGGCCAAATCGTTTACAAGTTGTTTACTGGGCCGATTTCGGTTAACCAAAAACTGATTTTTTTCCCGGTTTGATGCCCTGTGTATAATAATAAACATTAAAAATTAAAGTAGTTTTTTTTAATGTTATCCTGGGGGCGGCCATACAGACTGGCACGCAGGCGGCCATATACCCAGGCACGGCCCTGCATGTAGGCGCCTTTACATAGATACTCTTTATTGTTCACTATTACAGTAGTAAACTTATTTTAAATATTTAAAAGTTAAGGTAGTTACCACTTAACATCAGAACCGTATGCTTATTGCCACAGTCGTTGTATAAAAACTACATAGTTACCTATCATCGTATGGTTAATAGGGTGCAGTCATGGAGGAAATCATATCTTTTGTGATACAGTTTAAAAACGATAGAATTTCAAATCTTCGGTGCCACTTTCTTTAGATTTATGAATGTCAAAGTCGCGGCCGTCAACAATGAACATCTGTAGTCTGTTTCAAGATAACTTAATGATAATGTAAACAAGAATAATTGACCCAACTACAAAATAGTGGGGGGAAAGGGATTGTTAGTAATGGGATTTAACAGCCTCATTACGAGCAATTTAACCTATTTGGTCTATCTCCACGCAGTTCCCCCTGGAGACCTTAGTGGTTAATTCTTGTTCAATTGGTCACTATGGACCAACTGACCTGCCTTTATCCTTACCTGTCACCTTTCGCTTGTACCTCACCAGTGTATAGCGATAATGCAGGCGGGGTAATCATTCAATTTTCATCAATAAAAAAAAAAAAAAACTATAAAATAGTTTGCTGAAGTGCAATGTAGTATAAAATTGTTTCCAATTTTATTTAGAAACTGTTTCTGTGATAATTTTAACAAACAGTTGATTAACTTTTAATTAAATTTAATTGATACACATCTGAAATGAACTGCAATCTATTACTTGATATGGGTGATAACATAGAGTGGGTAGTTATACCTATGTATGTACGTAACTTGTTTGACATTGAAAATATACTAACAAAACAGGGCGCATGCACTATTCATTTACATATGTTTATATTATTTCCAATATGTCTATGCGGTCATTGTGGTTGCCGCTAGAGGTTGTATCAGTCAGCTGATAAAGTTCGAACATGCCCTATAATAATATTTTTTAACAACTGGACTTTTTAATATAAAACTAGTTAATAACTAATAATTAACTTTTACCTCTTAGGTAAAGAGGTAAAAGCTAAACTTAATTCAAGAGTGAATTTTTAAAAACAGCGATTATTTTATCCGTCTGCTTCTGGGAGGGTAATGACCTTTTTCAAAGGTTACTCACCTTTAAAATTGCAATAACAAAAACAGATAAAGTAACAAACACGTGATTTTTCTTTTTAAATATACTAATATTCAATTTCTAAATTCACTTTGCATATATAAATAAAAAAAAATAAGTTTAGCTTTGCTATTTATACTCGACCGGTTGTCGTGTACACAGGTCGCGCGACACTCTGTTAGTGCTGCGAATGTGCACTTCACCTTGATCGCTGTGTAGTCCTGTCTATATACAAATGAGTCATGCGGTGTTGCCGTATTCAGGAAAGTAAAGGTAATAGTAGAAATAACTTGCAAACATTCAATTCCAATAAATGAAATTTATTACTAATACATTAATACTTATGATGGAGATTATACAAAATGTCCAAGTACAACTAATACAATCATATCGATCAACATTAACCAGACAATTTATTATTTATATTACAATCTAAAGAGATTTCCGGGCGTAAAACCTAACATAGTTTAATACGAACGACCGAGGCGAGAACAGTAAGAGAGCGGGGAACGCTGCTTTACACTCCACTGGTATAAAACCTTACATATATTTGGTTAAAAGACAATATTATTCATAATGTAATGATCATGGTAATGTTTGTTTGTTTGTTTGTAAACTTTAAAATAATACGTGTCTGCCGCGCTCTCATATTTTTATCACACATACCTACATATAAAAATATTACCATAAAATATAAGCACATATATTTAATATCAACTATACTAACGCTAAAAGCGTACTGCTTCGTAAAGAAAATATCATCTATCTACCTACGTTGACTTCAACTAAGGTTTGTTTTTTATTCGTATCAAAAGGGTAATGAGAACAATATATATATATATATATATACATTGGGATCGATTCTGAGGCGCTATTTGGAGAAATTTTAATTTGATATCACAGCGACATCTTTACTGTAAAGATTAACTAATTTTCTAATACATTTAAGTCACAAATTATAATAGGGTAACATAAGTGTTGTTAGACACTGGACAGTTTGACACAGGGTTTGCAAAAATGAACGCAAAATATAGAATACTTAGAAATGTTTCTACATAAATGATTATTGGGTATTGTGATGAACTCCTTTATCAATCAATTTCGATACATCGATATAACATGACCGCAAAATAAAAAATAAAAAACTAAAGCAAATTGATAGTCATTGAACACATTCAGTAATAGGACAACAGTTGACTAGTGGTCGAACAGATCTAAGTTGCGAGTTTAAATAGCTTTAGAATATAATAAAACCAATAATACGATTAAATTTTAACTACACAATACTTTTCTTTTTATAAAACAAACTAGCGGCCCGTCCCGGCTTCGCACGGGTGGACATTTTTACAATATTTAAAAAAGTGGTTATTGTGACATAACGATAATAGTTGGACATATAGTATCGCCGAGTTTTTTGTAGTTATTGATATTTTCTTCAACATTGTAGAACATATTTTTGTTCTATCACCAATAGTTTCCGCAGCGCACTTTTTTACACCTTGAGTTATGTTACTACAGTTTTAGTAAGGATTCCTTATCTTTTCTAGCAATAAATATAGTCTATGTTACTCAGGGTGAATGTAGCTTTCTAATGGTGAAAGAATTTTTAAATCGGCAAAGTAGTTTTTAAGTTTATTTATCACAAATATATACATACACACAAAAATACAAATCTTTCCTCTCTATAATATTAGTGTAGATAATAACTTTCATATCAATGGTCTTTCGACTCTTCAGCATCCAAAACTTCGCAGTGTAAAGAGTCGTTGGCCGTTGTCTTCTACCTGACACAGGTATCAACGGCTCCATCTGGCGGTGCTGGTTTCTAAAAACTGATAATAACACCTGGAGAGTCTTCTACTAAACGAAATTCTACACCTTGAGAAATTTGAAGAGGTTGATATTAAATGTTTTACCTACTGTACCTACATGTTTAACCAGTCATTGTATGCTTAAATATATTATATAGAAGTTGGACTAGTTTAGAGCTGTCCAAAACCTAGTACTTGTAATCACTGAAACATGAGAATAACATTTCAAATTACTAGATTATAAATACATAGACCTTGGGCATATTATATACAATATAATATATTTACATGAAACATAGCTATTGGACAGCAATGATGGACTATCATTGAATTTGGACAATCAGCGGTTTCAATTACTGGACATTTCAAAATTATCTGGAAATATTGATTTACTGAAGAGAGAGAGAGAGTATAGTGTAACGTATATATTTCAGAATATATAATTATAATTTAAAAAAATATTAATTATAAAATTTATATAAAAAAAAATTAGTTTTTATTATTTTTACTATTAAATTTCACGAGCAGCGACAACCATGTGGAAATATATTATTTTTTTATTATTAATCTATTATCTATGACAATAAAATTACTGTTTCGTAACATTAGTACGTTTACAATCACAACAGTGTTACTATAAATAACTTTAACTGAACCAAAATTTAATTATTCAGAGTAAAGTGAGCACTGTCCATTTACTATGATTGTCCAATGACTTACATTTTAGTTTATGACGATTCATAAAACAGTAATATCGTGAAATTATGAAATTAAAATATTATCTCAAGCGATAAGTTTAGACGAATGGCGCCTCAGCATTCACCCCACAGACACAGTTGTACAGCCTTAAGGAATATAATAAATACAGCAGCGCTAACACGAACGGAACTAAGTGTGTGCACCTTATATGGCTGCAAATAAACTGAATTATACACATAGGCAACCACTTGGAACGCAACCATAACATCCATTATATCACAGAATACAATCAATCGATAGTCGAGCAAAACAATAGCGAATGTATACATATGACAGCACGAACTAAACAGTGCGCCAGCGACACGACACCGACACACGGCCACACGTCAATACCTAATATACATTTAATGTAATCTTGTAAAATCCTTAACACTTAACACTTAGTCATAATTTATAAATAACAAATGTACAATATTCGAGAAAAAAACTTGAACGCTCGGCATTTTATGCATGCGACAACGTTGTCGAGTATTTTTTATATTTGTAAAATACAAAATAAAGAATGTAATACACATTTTTGTTGTTACAAATGTAAAATGTAAATACTACTGGCTCACTAGACAAGTAGCAAGCGAATTCGACGATGAAATCAACATCGCTAGCGAGTCTGTGAGATAGAAAGTGATAGCAACGTCGGATGTCTCATTCCAACTCACGGAGTCGCTAACGATGCCGACTCCATCGACGAATTCGCTTGCCACTTGTCTAGCGGGCTTGGTCATTTATTACCTTTGAGAGTAGTGCCTGAAACTTTTAACGAAGATATGTATTATCCTGTACACGTATACAAGATAATTTTGGTTAAAACTTTTTTTAAATTAAGTAGCCATAACACGGTTCAGGTCAAAGTAGTAAATAAAAAAAAAAAAGATAAAAAATATGTTTTAAGTAAATAAATAATCCGAGCGTACAGGTTTTTTCAGTTTCCATTCAAATAAGTTTGAACTACATAAAAAACAAGTATGAAGACCGTTACGTGTGGATCTCCTGATCCAGCGTCTGAGTGAATGTGGACCTTCAGCGGGCGGCGCTGGGTCGCGTCACCGGCCAACAGCCAGCCGCTCGGCTGCGTCGCCAGTGCCGCGCCTCGCATCGACAGTACAGTACAATACAACCAATGGAACGACACCAAGACGACACCGCTTCGTCGTCCGCCTGTCTTTTGTTTAACATAAAGGAACTTTTCAGTTGTTATTAACTACACTGCAACACACAGTTATGTTTTTGTATTATAAAATTTGCCCTAAATTGGTACTTTTTTAATAAAAAAAAAAAAAAAATGTCTTCTAATATCTTTACTCAGGTGTAATCGAGAAAAGACGCACGTTAAGTCTTTTATTTTATAAATATCTAAATACTTATTATAACTGGAATCTATTTAAAAATAATTAATTATTCTAATAATTATTATTATATTTCTTTTGTTTATTTATGTACTTAAAGGTACAGTTAGATTTGTAGATTAGAATTACGTAGGAAACGTTTAGAAACATGATTTGTAAACTAGGGCAGCCTCTACGGCGGTCTATAAGGTAGCACTCGGAACAATTTTGTGATGACGATTGTTTCTACAGACCAAATTAAACTACGCGCTATTATTGATGTGTACCATAGTGATAAAAAAATAATGAGACTCAAAGTGGTAACAACTCTCCGAGCTCACAGACACAGGCACACCGACACGCGACGCACACACATACAACGGGGTCGCCTGTGAGGCTTCTCTAAACCTATGACAAAATTTCAATTTGTTATCACAGCGAAATCTTTATTGTAAGGACCAATATTAATTACATTACTAACAGACTGTTATAAATTTAAAAAAAAAATATAGTAATAAGCTCTCTATTGCGTATAAGAGATGTATACAGAATGTGTATATACAAGAGGCGGCCTTACCGCTGGAAGACGACCTGGCTAACATAGTAGATAGATACAGAGAGAATTGGAAGCCACTTGAGTTGATCACGGAAATCAGAGACGTGGCCATATTTGCGAAGACTAAATATAAACAGTGTACGAATATTTTGAAGTCGCTCAAGTTTGTTTCATCGATCTTCTGTAAGATTAACATAACAGGAGTCTGTGTTATTTGTGTAATTTAGTTTATGAATTAAAATATCAGATTAAAAGATAGGTTTAGAGAAGTTGCGACTTAGAATTAAGCCCACTGTCCATGTCGTCGTGTGTACGTCTCGTCGCCTCTAATGACTTCATATAAAAGTTAATTTACAATGTACTAGTTATAAATAATGTATTACAACACGCCCAGTATTTTTATTTGGTGAGTCTTTCAGACAAGTGTTACTAGCTAGAGGATCAATATGTCTCGACTGGTAGAAGGCAACTTTATGCTTCATTGAAACAAGCTCGTTTAGATATGAAATTTCTAATTACAACAATACTGATATAGTCCATCGCTTGTTTAGTACACAGAGTACAAGTGTTCAGTGTACGATGTACGGTGTACGGGTGACACTCGACTCCGACATTAACATGTCATTCCAACAGTGATGATCACGTATGATTCATATCACGCAGGATGCGATTCAATTTGCTGTCATTAAACCAAAACAATACTAATTCTATATTGTTAATCAGTGTATGAACCATATTTTTAATTAAACAATTGTTAAAATCTGTTTTCACGAATGCGCACACTAAGTGCGCATTTATTTTTCATAATTGTGTGAAGCTGTCAATTATAAGTATGCACATGTATATGTTCAAATGAATTTCTTTCTAAGAGTTACTGTTTGTGGACAAGTGAGAGTGAACCGCTGATACTGTATCGGATGGCCGAGGCCGGGTGCGAGGCGGCTGCGAGTGTCCGGCGCTCAGTCGTGGCGCGGCCGCTTGGCGGCGGGCGAGCCGTCGCCGCAGTACGCGTAGTCGGGCAGCCACTTCAGCAGCTGCGCATCGAAGAACTCCTCCAGCCGCTTCGCGTCCTTGTATATCGACGACTCCGGCTGCGCCACACACACGTAACAATCATTTATTTGACGCACTACAATATTTGAGTGATCGTTGGGAAAGTTCTCTGAGCTCTAAGCTAGAAAACCTCATACTATAGGTGTGAGAGTACTATACACTGCATTTTTTAAATTAAAACACAAATTAAAAGTAAATCATTATTTATTTACCAGAGGGAGACATTGTACAAAAGTTGTTTGCTTGGGTACCTCTGTCCCATTCGTGTTTCAACTGTAAAGCAGTTGTGTTTTGCATGGCTGTGTTTGGATTTGAAGGATGAGATACGACATGAATTTACAGTGTACAGAGGAATAACACCCGAGTCCTTAGGAATGGCAACGCATGGGAATGGGTGAAATGGTGTGCTCTACTATGTCCATGTCTATAAGCGACGGTTATCACTTTTCATCAGGTGGGCCGTCAGCTTGTTTGTCATTCTAAGCTGTATAAAAAAAACTATTTTGTAATATGAAATTAGTGTTATATTGTACACAAATGTTGATACTTATAGACAGGTTTGTTAATGTTGCGGTGTTTGCGGTACGTTACCGGGTTGTAGGCGTACGCGTTGCGGAACATGAGGCGGCAGTCGGCGACGAACTGCGCGACGTGCGTGTAGCGCAGCGCGGCGCGCGGCTGCAGCTTCAGCCGCACCAGGTCCAGGCACATCGGCCGCGAGATCTGCGCCACGACACGACACGTGCACCAACATAGCACCACCGACACACACACACACACACCACCCTCCTACACGCTACTCGCCTAACTAACTAACCATCACATTCCTTAGGCCCCTCATAGGACCTACTTGTTTTCTACGTCACTGGTATGAAAATTGATTTAAGTGGACTGTAGAAACTTAAATAAGGCTTTATCACTGCTGTAAAATACCGGCACAAGTGAACAAGTACAGACAGGACGTAGAAAGGTAAGGACTTACGGAATATTCTTGTTGTAGTCTGCCTGGAGCTGCCCACAAGTGTACGGGTTGTCGATCGTCTTAGATTCACTTTTAGCCATAAATTTGTATGAATACCAAACTGAAGCACTTTAGTTATGAATATTTTATTGTGAACGCGCGAAACGGCCGCCATCGATGCTATTTGTTTTTCTCGAATGTTGTCATTCTGGGCAGCTCTGATTGGTCGCGTTCGTTGACAAGTTGAATGGATAGAGAGGGCGCGGGAAATTTGAGTGTACTTGCTGTTATGTTCTAACAGTCACTATTACTAATTCATTTACATGCAGGGGTGGTATACTTGAAGGTTACATTCTTAATAATTATATATAATATAGACTTATATTTTATGCTATTATACAAATTCAGGAAACCAAAAATTTTTTTTTAGTTAATCTAATAATAGAGTGTTTGTATGAATTAATAAATTATATATTAACACCATCTACGCTATTGACGTACGCAGACAGAATGATGGTGACGATGAGTTCAGTTTAAAAGGGTCATCTTGATAAATTCACCAAGATGGCTTCCATCGCGGGCTGTGTGTAGGTCTAACTGGTAGTGTATTAATAAAACAGTAATGGACGCCGCCAGTAATTAACAATCTCTTGGCCTTGTCGAACTATATAAGTGATAGTGATGATGTGTTGTGTTGTGTTGTGTTGTGTTGTGTTGTGTTGTAGTGTGGTGTGCGAGCGAGACCTTAGAGTGGTAGTGCAAGTTGTCGGCGGGCACGGGCTCGCGGAAGGGCAGGCTGGCCTCGTACTGGCAGTACAGCTCCAGCGTGATGCGCTCGATGATCTTGAGCTGACGCGGCGTCAGGCCCTCCTCCTCGCCGCCGCCGCCCGCCTCCACCTCTTCGGGCGGCAGCTCCGCGAAGTTCACGCACAACAGGCACTGCCACGTCTCCGTCTCACTGATACATGACCACGAACAATTACTCTCTTGTACAGTCACTTAGTGATAGAGTATATATATATATTTACTGAACTAGGTGTTATTTGAAGGAAGTACATGTCCATAGGTTATTTGTATATTATAATTATTTTAAATAAAAAAATTGTAACATTGTTTGCAGGGCGAACTCTAGTATTCAATGGCAATGCAACGACAGTCAGGTACGATGCGTTACGCGTGGGTACACGCACATACATCCAAAAACTCTTAAATAAACAAGTTTCATCTATCTACTTATTACTGAGTTAAAATTATTAGTTTAATTTTTTTTAATACAGGAGATCAGAAGTGAGAAAGAATTAACAAAAAAATTGAAAATGCAAGTAGAAGAAGAGTAAAAGAAGTGGGGAGAGGCGGGGAGGGTAGGCGGGAGCGACTGCAACTCACTCGGGCAGCTTCTCGATGGTGGGTATGTGGCAGTACTGGTGGAAGACCTTGGGGCACTTGTCGCAGCACATGAGCTCGCCGCCGTCCATGCAGACGGCGCACCAGTCCTCGTTGGGGTCGGGCGGCGGCGGGCGCGCGCGCGGCTCGGTGGAGGAGTGCACGGCGGCGGGCGAGGGCGGCGCGGCGGACGAGGCCGGCTCGGCGGACGAGGCCGGCTCGGGTGCCGCGCCCTCGGCCACCACCTGCACGCCGTTGGAGTCCAGCTTGGCGATGGTGGCCATCAGGTCCTGCACCGACTCCGCGCACACCTTGTCCAGCTCCGACGACGCGCCGCCCTGCTCACCATCGCATCGCCACTCTCAGTGCATGCCTACCGACCTCGGACCCACTAGTTGGATCGCTCCATAATCTCTCACCTCATCAATCTATATATCTACAGTAAATTTAATTTAAATGACAAAGACAGAGGGCCTACAAGTGTGCCTTGAGGTACACCTCAATGAAGCCCCTCTAGAGATTATTTCTTTTTATCAAATACATAGATTTCCATATATTTAAACTGATTGAAATATAGTGTTAGATACATATAATAATACAAGACGAATTCTTACGTTTAAGCTGGGACTGGGCGTCTTGGGGTTGGTAGAGGTGACGATAGAGGGCGTGGTGGGCGTAGGTGTGGGCGTGTGCGGCGGGCGCGAGGTGGCGGCGGCCGCGGAGGAGGAGGAGGCGGCGGGCGGCCGCGCCAGCGTGATCTTGAAGTCGTTGAGCCCGCCGCCCGCCGCGCTGCCCTGCATCGGCATCATTTCGAATCCACCTGTCGACCACACATAGCGCATAACTGCGGTTATAGATATACAAGTCGATACTAGTCATAAGGTTCCGGACACACAAAGAATTGGTGGCAATTTCGTGCCACTGCAAATTCTCAATTTTCAGTTGTTACCCAGGAATTTGCCCATGTGCTGTGCTATACAATAATTGTAACGATTAATTTTCAAAAAAATTTCTATATCGTACTCAGGGCAGAGTGGTTTCAGTATGAATTATTTATTTATAATTAGTAGAGACAATATTAATGAAGTATGAAGTAGGAAGAGGTAGTGAGAGTACGAACCGTTGGCGAGGTTCTGCTGCGGTATGTGCCACTTGGCGGCGGGCTGCATGTGCTGCGCGTGCTGCGCGTGCTGCTGGTGCTGCAGCGCGTGCGGCGCGTGCTGCTGGTGCTGCTGGTGCTGCTGGTGCTGCTGGTGCTGCTGGTGCTGCACGTGCTGCTGGTGCGGCGGGTACAGGTGCGCGGGCGGCGCGGGCGAGGGCGTGCGCGGCTGCGCGGCGCGCCGCCCGCCGCCCGCGCCGCCCGCGCCGCCCGCGCCGCCCGCGCCGCCCGCGCCGCCCGCGCCGCCGTACGGGCCCGCCGCGTACGCGCCCATCACTGCAACCGGACCGGACACTCGGACACTCGTACGTCGCGCTCACACTGCACCGCTCGCACGGAGCGACAAGCAAACTGTAGCAAGCCTCACTCACTCTGCTGGTAGGCGTGGTGCATGGCCGACGAGGCGGGGTGCTGCAGCGGCCGCGGCGGCCGCGCCGCCTGCGCCGCCTGCGCAGCCTGCGCCTGCGCGCTCAGCAGCCCGCGCAGGTTCATCTCGTTCATGCCTGCGCCCACGCACACATCTCTCAATCATTTTACACGCCGTACTCATTCCGGGACGGAGAGTACCAAGTAAACTGACACCCGCCTCCAGATGTCCGACATGGCAACAGTCACTTATAAGCATGACCAGCACCGTGCGAGACGCCGAACACACTGTACAGTGGCCTTCACGAGATGTCGAATTGGGAACAACATGTGACTTCGTATGCTCACATACATTGTTTACCTGCATCGACTGTCGTCGCCAGCTAACTTTATATGCACTGAATTTTATTTATTGAACTCTTTTTTGCCCCAGCAATATAAAAATATACAGTAACATTTAAACAATTCAGGTGCAATACAGTAGCATAAAGTACAGAGTAAAATATGTACATAAAGATACAAAAGGCGGTCTTATCGCTAGGTCAATCTCTTACAGACAACTATTGATTAAAGAAGTACAAAAAAAAGTGCGTAAATGGCGTAAGAGTGGATTAATAATTTTACGCGCATAAAATACAAAAACCTATATTGCACAAAACTGTCAAACACATATTATTTATTAAACTACTTGGTGCTTCAGTGAAGCGACTGACCGTGCAAGTGGTGCGGGTGCGTGGTGGAAGTGACGTGCGGGTGCCGCAGCGGCGTGTGGGGGCGCGCGTGTCGCATCTGCTGCTGCAGCGGCTGCAGCGCCTGCAGCGGCTGCAGCGGGGACATGTAGCCGCCGCTCGCGCCGCCGCCGCCGCCTCCGCTGCCGCCCGACACCGATTGCACGTATGACTGTTTACAATACATTCATCCATATATATTTTTCACAATGTTTATTTATAGTTATTTTTAATTTTCTATATAGGATCTGCGCATAACACTTCGCGATATATTCTTTACTCAAACTTGTGAAAACCTATTAGTGGCTTATTTTGTTATCCTAAAACTGTATCTATTTGCTGTAGTGTAGTCCTGGTTTTCCTATGAATAAATAAATAAATAAATATTATTTTTTTAATGTTTTGGTAGTTTGTCTGTGTGGCACGTCTTAATATGTCACATACATAACACTAACTAAGATCAAAATGAAACCATCAGTAGCTATTCGTATATCATGCTACATAAATATTACTTTGTAAAACAAATAGCATGCATCACGACATTAAAATATTACTACAAAAGTTTTATATTCTCCTGTGTAAAACGTAAACATTCAATCGGGTAGAATGCGTGTCCGTAGCGACAAAATCACTGCGACGAAGGTTCGCTTCGGTAGCGCGCTATGATTGGCTATATGTGATGTTTCATCCAATTTTGTCGGTGCGGACGCGCCGTATAATAATACGGTTAAAAAGTAAAACTCCTTCGCCATGTTTTGTGTCAATAGCAATATTACTGGTCGACAGTGTTTATTATATTGCCGTCTAAGATTATATAGATAGATCCTCGAGCCTCAAAAACGGGACAACTTTTTGTCAGCTAATTGTCAAATTAGCCGACTCATTTTTTTATTAGTGTTCTGTATACTTACGCACACAACGGTCTATATTCAATTATTAAATAAATGAGTATTTGCGTACTAAAAAGGAGCAAAAATAATAAGACAAAAATAGAACTAATAAAGGAATCGCTTATAACCGGTAAATATCTTACATTTTAAGCATAAATAATCACATTTTTTTTTACAGAATTCGCGCCATTTTTAGTGTTGCAAGTGTTCGAAAAAATTCCCCACAAATGAATTAAACTTCCCGAAATAAAGTGGAATTTTTTCAATAAGAATAGTATTATTTTTAAATATTATTTGTATTTTGTGCTATTTTTACATAATATAAGTATAGTACGTATATAGGTAACTACATAGAGATATTATTGAGTATTATATAGACTTATTCAACCGATTGCTTTCAAAATAGATATCTGAAGGCCTGTATACATTTTAAATATGAATTTGGTGTTAGAATTAAAGAAAATGGCCTCTGTTTTTATTTTATATATCATGTAACCAAAAGGAATGACGATCCGTGTACACTTTAAATATAGATCCGGTGTCGGAATTACTCAAATAGGCGCCAGTTTTGTTTAAAGTGATAAAAGTATTTATTTGGATAAGGATTAACGAAATAGCATTAAGAATTTAAACTTGAGATAAAACATAATACATTACGTTTTACATTCGTGTTACAACCGTGAAGCAGTTGTGTTTGTATGGCTGTGTTTCGGTTTGAAGGGTGGGATATGGCGTGAATTTACAGAGTACAGAGGAATAACACTTGAGTCCTCAAGAATGGCAACGCATGGGGGGTATCATGGGCGAAACAGTATACTCTGTTGTGTCGATGGTACTGCTCATGTCTATAGGCGACGGTTACCACTTTCCATCAGGTGGGCCGTCAACTTGTTTGCCATTCTAAGTTGTATAAAAAAAAATTTAGCCAATTTAATTACACGTAATTACTTCAATTAATTTGAATACCGATACATGTTTTAAGACAAAGATCCTGAACTATTAGTATTCAAAGAAATCGGTTAAATTAAAATTTAAACTCAAAATGATTGTCACTTTTAGTGACATTATCTGTCCATATTTAAAATCTACATGGCGATTTTCAACCTTCACTTTAAAATATTATTAATTTTTAAAGCAATATGAGAGATTTGTGAAGTTCTCTCACATAATAATGATATAGTATATAAATAAATTTAAACATAATAAAGGATTATTAAATTCTAATAATATTTTAAGTTGCCACCTTCAATTATGTACCTTAATCTAAAGCAATAATTTCTAATCTGGTAACACTGTATGAAAAAGTTGATCCGCTTTTTTCAAAACATTTGTATGGAGATACTCTATCTATATAATCTAAGGTTGATATACAAAACTTTTTCACAACACCTTAAGCCCTAAATTGGGGTTTTTGTTTGCTTAGCCATTTAACTACACGTCAGGAAACTGTGGATCGGTTTGTACGATCCCATTGTAATAAAAATACATGAACAAATACAACTGTAATGATAACAATATGTCATGTTGTACTTAATTCTAAAACATTTATGAACATCAATAATAATTATTCACAAACTAAAGCAACTTCTACTCGGGCAGATGGAATAGACTGACCTGATACCGTGCCAGGGTCTTAGACATGGAACAATTTCGTTATATCAGAGATGGATTTGAACATCTTACTACATGTAAACGGGTGGAGAGTTAATTACTCGTAGCAACTGACAAACACTGGAGAAAGTATGTATAGATGTCTCTCTTATAAATAGCTGTCTAAATATGACATCAGCCATTTCTAAATAAAGGGGAGATTAATGGGTGAAAAGGGAATGGTAACTCCGCCCGCGCTATCGGTTTACACTGGCGAGGCCCTATCGCGAGATGATGGGTGACGATGAAAGCAGGTCAGTTAGCCCACTGTGACGATTTCCACAGAAAATAATCACGACAGTTTCCAAGGGGAACCGCGTGGAGATATAGAGTACGTTGGTAGCAATGGGGTGGTTAGATCCCGTTCCTGACAATATGTCAGTCACCTGGTGCATGGCGACGTGCTGCAGCGCGACGACGGCCGAGTGCGCGGGCGCGGCGGCGGCGGCGGCTGCAGGGCCGACGGGGGCTGCAGGGGCGGCGGCGGGGCCGGCCGGGGCGGCGGCGGCGGGCGCGGGCGGGTGGTAGGGCCCCTGTGCGCCCGCGCCGCCCGCGCCGTCCACCTTGCCGTCCACCACGATCGCGCCGATGCTCGACAGCACTGCACGTGTAAACACGTTTTTTTATACATTTACTATGAACAATGAAGTAGTCGAACGAAACAACTTGTCGAGCGCGAGGCTGCTGCGGCCGGGTGTGTAGTGTGCGAGGCGGCAGGGCGGCAGGGCGGCAGGGCGGCAGGGCGGCACTACTCACCGCGCACGAGGTCGGGCAGCTTGTCGAGCGCGAGGCTGATGCGCACGGGTATCTCGGGGTTGGGGATGTCGGCGCGGCGCGACTTGACGCGCTGCAGCTGCGCGGACACGAGGCGCTTGGAGTGCAGCAGCGCCGTGTCCGAGCCCTGGTCCAGCGCCGCGCCCACGAACTCTACGCAGTGGTCGGTCACGGCGGCCAGCTGCTCCAGCGCCTCCTTCTTCTCCGTCAGTGTGCGCTGCTTCGCGTCGCACACCTCGTTCAGCCGCAGCACCAGCTGCTTGCCGCGCGTGTTGATCGCGTTCGTCAACCTGTCACATCACCCGCCGCGTTCACAAATACATAACACCGTGTTTCACTCGAAGCTACAAAACCGTATTAAAAAAGTTGTTTGAACATGGCTGAGTGTAAAACATTCAAACATATATACAAGCTTTCATAATTAACATACTAGTAGAATTATGGTACAAATTACATTTGTAAAACAAACCAACGTCATCATCATATCAGCCATCATCTGTCCACTACTGAAAATAGGACTTCCCTCCGAGTTTGCCATAAAAACGATCCCGAGTCACTAGCGTCCGTTGACTCCCTACAATGCATCTGAAGTGACGACTTGACATGACACACGAAGTAGGACGACTCCCACTAAGAGTGATGACTCTTAGTGGGAGTCGTCCTATTTTGTGTTGCCACTGTAGAACTGAGCATATTTTGTTAATAGTCAATACAGTGTAGTACGTACTTGACGACGGTCTGCGTGATCTCGTGCACGAGCGCCTTCTTCTTGTCGGCGATGAGCTGCTGGCGGTCGCGGATGACCTTCATGGCGGAGCCGAGCAGCACGCGCTTGTAGTTCACCTCGGACAGCAGCCCCGCGATGCTGGCCCGCGCCTGCACGCACGCACGCACGCACGCACGCACGCACGCACGCGCACGCCCACAAATTATTAAACATAGTGTACCATGTGTATATATATAAATTAATATAACAGATGGAACTATTCATGAAACTTTCTTAACTTAGCTTTAGGATTTTAAAGAATAATTTATACATATTTTGGATTTAAATTTCCCGTGGAAAGTTGGTCATTTTCGTGAATACGAGTAAATTCACTGGATTCATATCACACAGGTTCCGTTAGTGTTTTCGTACACGTATTAACTTGTTTGCGACTCGACCAGTATAATTCATATCGTACGCGAATTTTCAATGACGACCACAGACACGTCTAATGACAGTACAATGAAGTCGAATCATAGCCTCGTTTCAAACGTGTTATAGTCCAGTGGATGCGTGTGTAGAGAGGCTTACACGTTGCATGTTACCATCAACCTTTCCTTATACTTGTTATAGTTGTGAGCGTACCTATTTATTATTTATATCGTCGTTACGTAGCTGTATATGTAGTACTTCTGACATTATATGTAGATTCAAACCATTTTACATCAGATCAGTATCTGCCCGTACAAACATACACAGATACATAATATACGCCCTACCTTTTTCACCCAGTACTCAAATATTTGCACCACATGCACGCTTACGATTCCCTTTTACAACGTTAATACCAATTTAACATTGTTTCATATTTAGTTCTGAATAAATAGTAAATTTTAAAAGTACCTCCTTTGATTATTCACAAGTAAAGACATGGAAATAAAAGATTTAAACGGATGTTAATACACAGTAATGTCAGTCGACGATAGATCAGAACATTAGTGTATGGCGGACTACGGACACGGGGGCGTCGGTGTACATAGTCCTAACTATATAAACATGTGAGTAAAACCCGTTTAAATGTTTTATTTCTATATGTAAATGATGCTCTCGCCGATACTACTGTATATTCTAAACTGTCGAGGATTTTATATGCCTATGTTTTATAAAAATTATAAGTGAAAATGTTAATAATTTAACATTCTTTGTTATTTCATTGTCAGTCTTACACATTTTTACGTTTGTTTTTCACAATTGTCAAAGCAAGTCTTGCATATATTAATAATGTCAATTTCGCATGTCTGTAAATTGTTTATATTTGTAAGAAAAAAAAAAAAATGGATAATCAAGAATATGTAATATAATAGAAATAATTGCAATAGTTTCTACAATTATTATCTATCTGTCTTATATATGTTTTTCTTTTATTTATTTATTTCTTTCTTTTTTATGGAAATAGAATAATAATAATCTTAATTCAAACAGTCTTGTATACAAGCTCTTTCAAATCGTCAATGTTTTTGACTGTACTGCTGGATTCAGGATCTTGTTATCCACTGAGTAGAACCCGCAAGAAACACAACAGTGATTATAGTTGGTATTAAGTATTATTGCCCCGCTTACACTGTAGGGTGCGAGTTAGGGACAGGATGAAGTGAGGCGAGTGAGAGCGTGGATACGTACCTGCGCGGCCATCTCGGTGCTGAACTGGTACTTGTGATCGCGGTGGTGTTGCAGCTGGCAGTCGCGGCACGTCAGCCGGTCGCACGTCTCGCAGAACAGCGACAGCCGCTCCTGAACATATCGCATCACGTCAGCTCACAGCATTACAGTAATACAAGGATTAAATGTACAAAACAAGTTACTAAGTGGGTAGTAAGAGAAGATTCTCATCATTGTCACCATTTTATATTAGTGCACTATGGGCAAGATGTACTCAAACATCATGCAACTCTAAGAATTCATACAATGTAATAATGCATTCCGGGTGTATCGGGGCTGCCTCGATTTTGCAGTAATGCGTGTGGATTGTTTCCACTCTATTATTCGTAAGTGATCTGCATCCCTGTCCTGCAGAGTGCAGGCAATTTCTAATAGCATCCAGGGCATGTTAGCAGGTAGGCTGGATTCTTCTGCATGAATCATTGTGTTGCGTTGCATGTCGAAAGAACTCGGTCAAAAATTGGATTGTAAACTTAGATCATAACAAAATTATAATAATACCGTAACTATAATAATCTGTATAAAACTAGTATGGTTGCTGGTGATTGATTGTAGTATCTACCTGCGGGTGGTCGCGGCAGTAGATGTGGTGGGCGGCCCGCGGCGGCGGCGCGGCGCCCTGCTCGGCCGCCGCCTCGTCCTTCGACTTGATCGTGTGCTCCTTCGTGATCTTCAGCCTGCAACGCCACAACGTAATCTGTGTACGTCCTTCGACCAATGTCACAATATACACATACATTTATTTACCAGAATATTGGTTATATATGTCTTATTCGTATGAATGGTCGGAAAGGATCGTCAGGACGACCACCACGTGGTCCCCTCTGGAAACCGTCGTGCTGAATTCCAGGTGTATTTATCACGATAGGCTAACTGACCTGCTCTTTAATTTTCACTTATCATCCCACATCCCTGATGCTTCGCTAGTGTATACCATTAGCGCAGGCGAGGTTACCATTCCATTATCATCCATTAAAAAAAACACCATCTGTAGCAGATTTTTGACTCACGCTACCTAGTTGTTCACTGGAAATAAGTATGTATTCTTCGACCGAGTGGTATCTACCATGGTGTTGTGAACAAATTAGTAAGAAGGATGCACGCTCATGTGTCTGTGTCCAGGCGCCGCTGTAAGAACAACAATATCAACGCTGACCGGCTATGGTGTTCCTTTTACCCACCCTGCCTCGCTGCTCGCTACCGCGGCTTGCATTTGCTAAACACATACTGCGACCCGGGTTTACTATCACATATACTATTTGATCGTGTTTATTTTTTAGTTTTTGGTTCTAAGATTTGTGAATGCTTTTCTTTGTATACATTATTGTTTAGCATGTTAGTAAGTGCCTATTAATTAATATTTAACACATATTATTTTTCAATTTACACTATTATTATATTACTTACTAATTGCTTGTATTGTAAGGAGTAATATTATTGAAATTGTAGTATTATTTTAGTAATTTTGAAATTAATAAAAATTCTATATTTTTTTATTTATTTATAAGGTAAGGTGGTAACAAACCTGTTACAATAGAAACCCTAGATTAATGATATAGCCAAAAGTGGATTGACATATCATTAAATGTCAATATTTAAAAGATACAGTCAGTTTTTACTGGCTATATCATGACAGTGTCGGCCACCTCATGAAGTGATCTAAGATGTGGTCATGGCACATATGGTACATGTTACCTATGCATATAAATATTATTACTCGCCTATTCATGTGATAAATATATTTGTAATACTATAAACAGTTTAAATAATGCACATTAATAAATGGAGGGCTGGTGATCATGTTTATATTGGGCATCGTAACACCGTCGGCTGGGCACAGAGCGGTACTAACTAGCATGCGGTGTGTAGTGTGCAGTGTGTAGTGTGCAGGTACCTCTGGTGCGCGTGCACGCAGTTGTCGCAGATGAACTCGGCGCAGTCGACGCAGTAGCTGGTGGCCGGCTCCGTGTCCTCGCAGCTGTTGCACTGCTGCTCGCCGCTCGTCGCGCCTGCGCACACACACACAACAACTCGCTACTCACTCGCAACAACTGACACTGCATAAACCTATTGCAATACTGTATCATTTCATTTTTAAATTGAAAATTTAGGCCAATAAGAAAGTCAAAACATTGATAGTTATATATATATATATATATATTTATTAGTTACACATTTCTTGTAGATAGACTAATTTACATTTTGCATGGCTGTTGTCACGCGTGAAGTAGTTTATTACTAAATGTAAAATATTTACCATTGTTCCCAGTTTGTTCAAGTGCCATTTTTTCCAAGACAAATCTCTGGTCAATCATGTTGGCGGGTTGACATTGCAGCCGGCACGCAGGACACGTTATTGTGATTCTTTCTGCACCTGTAACATTATATTTAATATTTAAAAGTTAATAATAAATTTTACTATTATTATAACAAATCGTCCAACATTGAAGTCTGACTTTTGATTTCACTTGTTGCGGAAAATACTCATACTGGCGCGACAGGTAGGGTAGGGCCAAACATTTCAACTGATTAACAATTTGCTTACAATTAATACAAGATAAATATTAATGAATATAATAAAGCCACATTAATCCAGTATGCGCAATGCTAAATTGGCAATTAATAAACTTCTTAATAAACAAACTATTTTATTGTGTGTGTAACACATTAACATAGATATGGTTCCATGCTTGTTAATGTATGTACATAAACATACCTAAAAAGTCACGAGAGCTGGCGGTCCTCTCCTCGATCTTGGCGGCTATGCAGGGCTCGCAGGCGGAGTGCAGGCACTCCATAAGCTTGGGCGTGCCGTCGGTGAGCGCCAGCGCCGTCTGGCACAGCACGCAGCGCGCCGCAGCCAACGGCGGCCGCGCCGCGCTCGGCGACGCCAGCGAGTCCGCGCCCGCCTCGGGCTCCGAGCTCGGCGCCGCGCCGCCGCCGCCGCCGCCGCCGCCGCCGCCGCCGCCGCCTCCCGCCGCGCTGCCCGCCGCCGCGCTCACTGCACTCGACCCAGTGCTCTCTGCCACTCCACCAACCTGTTCATGTTTTATTTGTTGTTTTAATAGTGATCTTCATAAAAAATAACATTTACACACCAGTTATTGAAGTCGCTGACAGAAGACCAAAAAAAAAAAAACAATTTTATAAATATAACTAAATTTAATTGTAAAATTAATTATTACAATATCAAGTGTCTTCAGATCGATGTGTGATCCGTAAGTGAAGTCATATAAAATCAAACATAAAGGAAATGGGTATTTTTGCTACGGGAATTGAAATGCTGACTCAACACAGGTGTCTTTCTCGGTAGCACACCTTCTTGCGTCATGCTAGGTGGTCCGATCGGATCGCCGTTGAGGGTGTGTCGTAATACTTGATAGGTATCTACTATAACACACCTTTGTAATGATAAATATTGTTGATTAATTGTAGTTAATTTTAAGATCTGCTACTGGCAATCACTAATATTTAGTAAATAAAAAATTCATTTATTCAGAGGTAAAATAATCATATCTCCTGAGAGAAAGAGTCCTAGAAAGTTGTCCTTGTATTCAAGAAATGTTTTAATATTATAGTATATTGTTGTTATTAAATTGTTTAAAAATTATATATATATAAAAAATAGTTCAGCTAGTTTCTGGTATTAATATCTTTAAGCATATTCACTGATCAAAGTCTATGATAATGTATGAATGGATGTTTGTTTCCCTTTTACACAAAAGCTACTAAATAGATTTAAATAAAGTTTAGTGTATAATGGATAGATTATTCAGTAACCACAATATAAGTAATAGTACTCAAGTATAGTATGGACGCTCCCTGCTACCCGCTGCGACCAGACCTCACTCCGTTCCAGACACACTTCAACACCCAAACTCTATTTTCTCACACTAATCATAACTATGAGTAAAATATAACATGTACAGATGTTACTTGTTTCAATAGCTGTGACAAGCACAGATTGCGGCAATTTTGTATATGTCTGGAGTGTGCCGTAACTTTGAAGATATGATACATTATATACTGATTCACATTGTGAAGCTGCAGGATACAACATAACCTGTCGTACAACTCAAAACCTGTTGCTAGTATTACTATAAGTTTGGCTTGGAACAGATAATATGTTCGGCCTCATGTCCAATACCAACTATTGAACTGAATAAATAAGAATAAATAAATAAAATGCTAACTACTCTTAGCAGGGTCAAGTTCCTTTAATAATATAATATTGTAATAAATTCTTTCCAAATACATCAAAACACAGTCCTTTGGTAAATCCCATTTCCAGGAAGACAAGTCCTATGCTGAATATTTATTTCTTAAAATAGAAGAATTTAAACATCAATGTAAGCAATAATAGAATACCATGTTTTTCATATACACTGATAATTTTAAGTACATTATTAATTTTAAAAATTGTCAATCACATATTGTCTATAGAATTTTTGGACTTCCCTGATATAATTTTAAAATTGCACCTAATGGCATTCATTATAAAGCAAAGCCAAATGAATAATTATTTATTGTCAGCTCTATGTTAGAATGTAAAGAAAAGTTACATGCCTGAGACATTGACATTTCTCTGATGAGTTGATGTATCAGTAATTTAAGTGATTAAATTATAGAGTAATTGTTCACTATGAATATCAATACTTCTTATCATAATATTTAAGAAAATTTTAAATGATTTAATATTATAATATTTTTTTTTATTATTAAATTAGTGCTCTGTAAAAAAATCTTTAGGGCATTTTGTGACATACTGACATAATATTACAATTTTAGTCACTATTTTTTTTTTTATTTTTTACTAATTTTTTGAGCAGTTGTGTAAAAGTGATTTTGTTTATAGACATTTTAATCATTACTTTAAGTACTTAATGGAAAATAAAAAAAAATACTTTAATAGATTACAATTTATAAAAATATATATTTCATATATCATAAACTAAGAGGATAGTACTAATTCCTTTTATAGATAAAAAAAATATTCATCAATAACTTCCCATACATAATTTCTTAATTTTATCAAAAATAGCAGTGGAACAACAAGTTTTCAGTTTGTAGAGAAATGCTCATACATCAACACATTAGTATTCAGCTGAATAGTAAGTAGATATTCAGTTAAATAGGATAGAGTGAATACTGAATATTTGTTGTAAGTCACAACAAATGTAAATAAGCTCGTAGCTAATCTGATAGGAAGTTTATATGAGTACTTATACACATGAATAATAATTATATTTTAATATCCATGATACTCTTAATGCATTTCCTCTACTGATGACAAGGTTTGCAGGGGTTACACTTTGAAACAAGACATGGTGTACATCAGGGGACTCAAACAATCCTGCCAACATCTTTAACATCTTATGAGGGGTACAGTATACTAAAATTGTACCATGTAATATTCACATAATACAGGAGTCATATTCTTTAGAAAGTTACGATTTCACCGGGCGTTGACAAACTTTCTACCAAGCACAGTTGGTATGAAGCGATTAACTTACGCTAAGGGTGGAGGGCGGGCCGGCAGTGGCGTCCGGCAGCTCATCCTGCACCTCCTCCTTGATGGCAACTCCAAGCAGCGGGCCGAGATCCATTAGTGCCCGCTCAATCTCCTCGCCGCTAGGCTGATAGTTTACGTTTTCCATCAAAACTGCACTTTACACTCTATTATATATTTCTATATCTACACATTTTTTTTGAGATCATGAAAGATTTAACATGAAACTTTCACTCGCCACTTTGAAGGCTTTGGCACGTAGACATGGCTAATTAGGCACTTATCGCGATCGAGATGGACAAACCGACTTCTAAGGAAGGATTAAATCCCTCTAAATTACAAAAGCACTATACTATAAAGACTAAATATAATTATTACATTCCTAGTCATTTTTCCGGTGCGAAGCGTATTTATATTATTTTGAAATTCATGAAAAATATTTAAAAAAATAACATGCGTCCCTTCAGATTAGAAAGACAACCATCTATGCCGGTCATAGACAAAAGTATTTTTTTTTTAATCCTCTTTTGACAAGTTAATAATCGATTTCGCATAAAACAAATTTTAGAAATAGATATCTACGGCATCATCATCATAGTAGATCAGTGGGAAAATCTGAAAAAATAGGGTACTATAAGCATTTATTGAAATTTTTGGAACTAGTACTTTTCAGGGTAATTCAACCCTGCTGAATAAAATTCTGCCCAGTGCCATACTCTTTGCCCCTTTACCTTGCATCCTTGCCTCCTGTTACCATTAAACATATCACTAACTGCGGATTTTTTTTAAGAACACCGAAATCTTTGGTTTTTTATTATTTCTGTAAAATCTATCGGAAACTGTCAAAGACGAATATAATTTCATTAAATTCTCATATTTAAATATAGACTATTTTAATAGGACTAATTATGAAATATGGCTCCCCGAAAATTCTTTTTTTGCAAATATTTTGTTTTTATTTTTTATTTTTAGGATAACGGTTGTTACTGTGATAAACCATTCAAGCAATGAGTTAATATAGACGCATTTAACTATAAAAAAAACCGGATTTATTATCGTATGATATTTATTTCATGATATACAAGCTTGCAGCGTGGACGCCATTGCAAGATCTAAAAATATTTGACATATGGTAAAATTACTTATCTAATAATTCCATTATAGAAACGTGATGTAAGAAATATGAAAATCTTATTTTATCTATATAGTAAAATAAAATACTAAAATGAGTGAAAAATATTTAGTTCTAAGAAATTTTAAGTAATAACCAATGATGAAGAATAGTTTTCAAGTGTGCGACCCCATACAGATAGACGCGTGTCTGAATATACATACATACATCCGTCAAGATACAGCCTGTAGGATGACCATTATTAGAGGGAACAACGACCTTAAACGCATTGCATGAGGTCAATGAAAACAAAATAATTAACGGCTAGAATAATGATGAGCCAAGAAGGATTTTTCAAAATTTGGAATAGAACGTAGGAGTTATTTAAATTTTTTTATGTGAAGTACTCTAGCCTACCTACAGTATTGATAACATATCATGCTTATGTTGCATCGGCATTAAGATACGGCGTATATTGGGTATGACCTAAAAATATATAATAAATTACTGCATACTATTGCATACACATTGACAAGGCATGTGATATATTATTCAGCAATTTCTAGACAATAAAATAGAGCTATTTATTTACTTATTTATTTATTTTTGTGTGCGATTTATTTATCTTTTTAATGTTATTGTGATATATTATATAATTATATACAATCCACGCGATAAATAAATTTCACACACAGTAATGTATGAAAAACAATTTTTTTTATATAATAATGATTGGATTGCACCGAAAATATACGGCATATATTTTTATTATTTCTTCATTGTAAATAAAAATATTCTATTTATTGTGTCATCATAATAACCTGTATTTCTTGTATATAAAGAATTTGGTTGATTCGATTTGATTATAAATAAATGTCTAACTTAACAAAACGCTATAATTAACGTTAGCAGTAGACAACTTGGTTTGAAGATTAAATTTCATCTCTGATAGTGAAATTACAAACTAACCCATTTGTTTATTTCCCCATTGTTGTAAGACTGGTTTGTTTTTTTATAAATTTTTACCATTGACCCATCATTGGAAATAATAAATTGAAGGTATCACATTTATCTATAGATTAATTGTTTTTTACAATAATAAAAATTTTGTTAAAAAAGTATTTAAGTATAAAAAAAAATAAATTTGGATAATTTGCTTAACAGTAGAGTATACTGTCTCTGGTACTTATTTACAGAGTGCAAGCGTTGTTTTCTATGATATTCGTTATGATGTTGTATAGGTGACGTTAATCACTTTTCATTAAATAGGCCGCGAGCTTATTTGCCATTCTAAGTAATATTTTTTTTACAACACAGGAGGCAAAAGAGCATGGAAAATGTTCTAAATGATAACAAAGGAATAACAACGATTGTGTATCGAACATGCTATTATTGCTTTTAATATGCGATTTTTAATCTGCAAATTTGTATATAGGAAAATATATGTCATATAATAATAATAAATAAGATCTTAATTTATAGATAAATGCATTTATATTAAGTCGTTGCTTAGATAATTTATCAGAACAATGAACATTTCTTCAAAAAATTTATAGCCAATGCAAAATACATATAAAAAAGTATTATCATGTTTGCATGCAAATTATTAGTCCTATTAAAATAATCTATATGTAAATATTGTAGAGAATTTAATGAAGATAATATTTCTTCTTACCAGTTTTCTATTATAACAGTAGTTAAGGATATGTTTAGAATAAAAGGAAGAATGAGGGGAGGAGGGCATAGGAAGGATATGCCCTTCAGTACCACATATTGGGCAGAATCGTATTCAGCAGGATCGAATTATCCTAAAAATTACGATTGCCAAAAAGTTTCATAAAATGCCATATGATGTAAAATGGAGTATGAATTCAAGATTTTTTTTTCTACAAAACAATGATAATTCAATAATAATTCAATTTCTAATGTAATTAACATAGACTTAGTACAGCGTACTACATAATCTAAGGTAGTTAATACACGATTCCAAAAACGTAAAATTTTCAACTATGAAGGTACAAATAATTTTAAAAACTAAATGACATTTAAAGTTTGACAAGACATTTACGTGACAACACGTCGAAAATGGCTGATACGGCCCCTACTAAAAGTGATATTGAAGCAATATTTCAAAGATTACGTAGTATTCCGGCCAATAAAGTTAGTATTTCTAATTTAATTATATTCACAGAAGTAATATTTCAGTGAATATTGCAACGATATTCTTCGGTGCAGGTATGTTTCGACTGCAACGCCAAGAACCCTACGTGGTCATCGGTGACGTACGGAGTGTTCATATGCCTGGACTGCTCAGCTGTGCACCGCAGCCTCGGCGTACACCTCACATTCGTGCGTTCTACACAATTGGACACAAACTGGACATGGAAGCAACTAAGGAATATGCAGTTGGGCGGGAACGTCAATGCAGTATGTTGCTTTTGTAACTTTATTGTTGTATATAAATATATTTTTCATTCCTTATGATGTGCCTAGCAACGTTTGCCTTTGTTTTAGACACAATTTTTCCGCACACACGGTCTAGTGACGGATGACGCTCGACAGAAGTACAATTCTCGTATAGCACAGATGTACCGTGACAAATTGAGTGCTGCCTCCGAACAGGCGATGAAGACATATGGAACTAGAGTGAGTGATGAATTTGTAGATATATACTTTTATATTTCTGTTTTAGATTTAGTGTTCTGTATGGTTTTGTATTTTTCTTACATATTTATTTTTCATTGGTACTTTTAATTTTATAATAAGTGAACCTAAACTAATTACATATGCTTTAACAGTTGCATTTGGATCCAGCACCAACAGAAGTCAAGGAGAATAAGCCTGAGGTAGACTGGTTTGCAGAGCATGGAGATACGGGTGACACTAATACTAACGAGCTTGTCTCACCTGCACAGGTAACACACACTGCCTGCTTGCCCAACTGTCTATACTGACACGGCTATCATAAACACTACCCATTTGTGGACCTACATTAGAGGGTATTGAATCCCTCCCTGTATAGACTTTCATTATAAGAGTTTATGAATAATAATTAGTAACTTTTCACTTTCACTTGCCTTGAAAGACATTCAGTGAATATTTTTGAGTAAAAAAATACAATAATATAGACAACCTTGTGAAGCACCCACTTTTGATGCTATGTTGATAAACTGTGAGGCTATTCTTTGTAGCCAAAAAAGTATATAGAAGTGTTTTAGTTGGAGATGGTTGTGTATTTCATAAATCTTTAAAAATTATTACAGATCTCAAAGTTATTTTCAAGTTCATACAAACTAAAAAAATTTACATACTTATTATAGACTGTATAAAAATCATTAGATTTAATATTAGCAACTGTCTGTGCACTAAGCTTGCACACATCTGTGTGTGCTTTATATATAATTTTACATTTTCTTTGAATTTCTTTTATTGCAAGAGATATATGTAGGTGTTGTTTTTTATTTTTTGTAGATAGATGAAAATAGATTAATTATGTTAAAACTAAATCTCATGGCATTTTGGTAAGTGTGTTGTATTACAAAGGCAACCTGTTAACAATTATTGTAATGTCTTATAAGGTAGTTGAAGGATTTCTCTATGATGGCTATATGTGGCACTTGGTATACCGTTTTGTTGATCTTATAAGGATTCAATTGTTGACAGAGGCTGTCTGCTGCTGCCATTGAAAATAACTTATAGTTAAAAGTTTAATAGAAAATTTAGTTTGAGATGATTGCTGTAAATTCTATAATTTTAAATTAGAACATTCAATCCTACAATTTTGCATAATCTATACATGCCGCTACAAATGAAATACTTAAAAGGCTGGCAACACACAAGCAACATTAGGTGAACTGTTTGCTAGTTTGCCTCCCCAAAAATAAAAAGAAAAAGTTCATTTGATAAAAATGTACTGTATGTATATATTGGAATTTAGACTTTTTCCAATTCAAAATTTGCCCTTTATTCCCAAATTATTCTGCTTTTGTTGACTGATTGCTGACTTTTGTATTCAAAATGAAAACAAACTGTGAGATTTACATCTAACATTAGTGATCAATAAGTGTGTGAGTGAGTAGCTTAGTACTTAACTGATATGGAACATAAGTGGGAACATTATGTGCTAAAACTGATATGATGTGATGATGATGATGAAAATATTTTTATAATTTGTGTGAAATTAACTAAGATATGTTTTAATATGATGTATTATTGCTAGTTTTTGTTTAGATTTACAACAAACAATATATATCTACACTATATAATTATATTATTTTACATTGACAATGTTTTTGTGGATAGTAAACAATATAAAATATATGATGCGAGAATAAAGGGATGTAGGTGTATTGAGATTGAACTAAGTGGATGAAGCTTAGAGGTCTTTGATATTATGTTTTATTTGATAGGTATTATAATTATCTCTGGTAACAACAGACTGCCAGTATCATTATTAACTAATCATCACCTAATCTATTGTGACGAATTTATGAGAAAAGAGTTAATTTCTGGTGACTTCGTCCTTGTCTCGCCTTAACCTTATATGAGTACTCCGTTAGCTAAAACCAACCGTGTAACTGACCTCTTAAAAACTTCATCTCGTATGGCAATAGGTAAAATAGCTGTATGGTTAGGTTAGGTTAGGATAATGCAAAGAGAAATAATAACAAAAAATAAATAACAACTGAACAGATATCAGCACCCAAGCAGGAGCCCCTGAGCTCGGAGGCTCGTCTGTGGGACTCAGGTGTCAGCAGTGGCGGCGATGCACCGCGGCCGTCTTCCATCGGAGCGAGGAAACCTGCCGCTAAACGTAGTGGTGTAAGTGCATGTTCACTTGTTTATGTCTCTTGTAGTGTTTAACAAATAAAATTGATAGAATTGTTATTCCAAGTGAATCCATGAGACTGAACGATGTGGGGATATCTAGCGGTTTGTACTTTTTCATGCGACCTGCGACATGCAATTTTAGTTTATGACTGTAATATGATGCAGATGTTCGCCTATTTTAACAACTGTCAGGTGATTGAATTGCCGTATGTTTCTTGTAGATTGGCGCCCGAAAGGGCGGTTTAGGCGCAACCAAGGTGGCTGCCAACTTCGAAGACATAGAACGCGAAGCTATTATGGCGGAGAAACTGAAAATGGAGGTATGTGAATTGGTAGTGATTGTGCATAGTGAGTGCAATGTAATGGATGGTAAGTACTTTTGATGAACCATGTTCTAATAACATAGAATAGGTAGAAAGGAATACACAAAGTTTTTCATGTATTATGTTGTAAAAACAAAGTTTTTAGTGATATGACGGAAATGAAAGAGATGTGGCATGATCATATTTATACGTCTTATCTTTTACGCTTACCTTAAATTATTTTTAATGGGTGAAAATGAAACGGTAACCCTGCCTGCGCTATACATTAGTGTGTTGTTAGTGTGTGAGCATTGGTGAGGTAGAAAACTAGGGTATATTGTATGCAGTGGGACAGATAGATCCTATTACTAACAATCCTTTTACCTCCCTGTCTTCCATTACGGTATGTAGAAGCAAACAGGCCTTCTCCTTCGCTTCCTTCACACTCATCAGTCTCTTCATACACGCTCGCCGGTTACGGGTACTATGAATTTAGCTCTCCTTTGGAGCGTCGCCTATTTGAACACGTGTGGTGCCGCAGGCGGCGGCGGGCGGCGGCGGCGGCGGCGGCGGCGGCGGCGGCGGCGCGACGCTGGAGAGCGTGGAGCAGGAGGTGGCGGCGCTGCGGCTGGCGCGCGGGGCGCCGCCCGCCGCGGCCGAGCGGCTCGGCATCGCCGGCGCCACCAGAGTTACTCGCGCGTGAGACATACATCTAGTTCTATTATGTTATATATACAATCGTTATGATTCTAAATCATAGTTATTATATTTATAAAATAATTTTTCCCCTCTGAAAGGGGCTCCACCCGGGCGATAAAAGCCTGACTCCTATGCATGACTATTGTTTAATTGAGTATTGTGTGTATGTTCATATATGTCAATGTCATTATTGAAACCAGAGACTGCTTCTGTATCTGTGCAACTACTTGTTTTACTATAATAATGAAGTGCAAGTGGTATCAAAAGAAGTTATAAATGTTGGAACATTTGGTTGATAATTTTCTTTTCTTAATCTAGCATATTAAACAGTTTTCTCATTATTGACTCTTTCAACATTCTGGAGATGGCAAGGATTGTTCCTACGTCATCACACTCAGAAGGTGGAAGTTTATTGCCTTGCAATGTAAATAAGACACCTGTAGGCAACTGCTAACGTGTGTTATATGTGTGGTCAGGGGCGTGTCGCACTCGGCCACGTCGGATATGACGAGCATCCAGCAGGAAGGCGCGCCGCCGCCGCCGCGCGACCACCTCGACGACATCGACGACTTCAACTCCGTCTTCACCATGATCAGGTGTGCAAATTGACTACATTTTTTTTTAATTGTGATGAAACTCCTTGTCTGTATTATTGTCTCATATTAGTATCTGTAGGAATGGTGAAATATTAAAAAAGTAGATAGTAAACTTTTTGATATCCAATTTGTTAACAGAAATGAACCATACAGCAGCAGTAGAGGACTGGACTCGATGTTGGGTGACAGTAGCCGCAAGAATCTGAGCTCGTCGTGGGAGAACATCGAGCCGGAGCCGCAGCGCACGGTGCATACCATGTTCTCGCCGGACAAGCCCGCGGCCGCCGCCGCCCCGGCGCCGGCCCGGTCGCGGCCGCGGCGGCCGGAGCCCGTGGAGGACGAGTCGGCCGTGAAGAAGTTCGGCTCGGCGAAGGCGATCAGCTCGGCGCAGTTCTTCGGCGAGCAGGAGTCGCGGTGGGAGCGCGACTCGAACCTGTCGCGGTTCCAGGGCAGCACCAGCATCTCGTCGGCCGACTACTTCGGCGACCGGCCGCAGCGGCCGCCCGCCTCCTTTACGGTCTCCGCACCCGATCTGGACGAGGTCTGTACAACTTTAGTTTTTCACTTGGATTCTCACTAACATTTTTTAACTAAATAAGTTGATTTAGAAAAAATAAATAGAACTGTTTCATAGTGTACTTAGCGGCTGTGGGCTGCTAACTAATATATCCTAAAATATATGTTACCGTGTGTCGTTTGGTCCCGGCAAAGGACGGGTCACTTCCTTTCCCGTGGGTGTCGTAAGAGGCGACTAAGGGAGCTTAATTGTTGAAGGATAGACAACAGTGCTCCTCATAAAATATCAAAGGCTAACTGCGGTTGTCAACCCATCCGCCAAGCGTGGCAACTACTGGAAATGCTCTCCAGGGCTAAGAGGCTTATGTTGAGCAGTGGAGCGTTAGCGGTTGATATGATGAGTGCGGAATGGTGCAGGTGCGCGAGTCGGTCCGCGCGGGCGTGTCGCGGGTGGCGGGGCGCCTGTCGTCGCTGGCCAACGGCGTCGTGTCCTCGCTGCAGGAGCGCTACGGCTACTGATGCACCGCGCCCGGACACCTGCCTGCCTGTATACATACAACATCCAGCCTCCAGAATGGGTCAAGTTTTTGTCGTTTTTTATCAATGTTCTATACGAGGTTTGTCCGGAAAGTACGTATAAAAGTTTTTTAAAAATTTTATTTTACAATTATTCAGGTAAATCAATTTTATCCCCTTCAAAGTACTCCCCCTGTGACATAATGCACTTGTGCCAACGCCGTTTCCACTGTGAGAAGGCTCCTTGAAAGTCCTCTGGTTGTAGGTTTCTCAGCTGCCCCGTCGTAGCTTTTTTTATCTCATTTATGTCCCCCAAATGCCGCCCCCGAAGTACCAATTTGGTTTTTGGGAACAAGAAGAAGTCACACGGGGCCAAATCCGGCGAATAGGGGGGTGTTCGGTCACCGTAATGGAATTTTTACTCAAAAACTCACGGAACGATCTTGGCGCAAATTTTTTTCATTTGAAGTTCGTTTCTTAGAATTTCGTGGACCACGGTTTTGCCCAAATTAAGCTCTTCAGCCACCTGTCTGACCGTTAAACGACGGTCCCCATTAACACAAGTTCGAATTCTTTCCACGTTTTCGTCGGAATGTGAAGTGGAAGGACGTCCTGAACGTGGGTCATCTTGAACGCTTTCTCGGCCCTCTCTGAATCTTTTTAGCCACTTGTGGACGGTTGGTTCCTTCACAGCATCATCCCCATAAACTGTTCTGAGATCGGCAAAAATTTCACGGCCATTCTTGCCGAGTTTCGAGAGAAACTTGATTACGACGCGCTGCTCTTCAACGGAAGCGGGCTCCATGCCGACGGGGTTTCGTTAAGAGGTAACTTCACAGATGGCGTGACAAGCCAGTTCGCACCGCACGGCGGTCAGACCAGAACTGAAGCATTGTTAGGGACATAAGGAAGGGGTCCTGCGCTTACCTGGCCTCCCCACTCCTCTTTCTCGCATTCCAGAACACTTTTATACGAACTTTCCGGACAGACCTCGTATACTTACGCATAAAATCTATCTTGACATATTATTTAATAAATAAAATAAAAGTTTACGCATTAAAAAGATGCAGAAATTATAAGGCAAAATAAATATACAAGTTATAAAGGAATCACTTATTTATCACGCAAAATTGTATGAAATAGTTGACCCGTTTTTTTCGAAGCATTTCTATGGAGACACTACCTATATAGTGTAAGTCTATACAATACACTAGTTATTTATATTAACGTTTAGTATCGGTATATGTAATTTATAATTGAATACTATGTTTTGGACTCTTCCATGTAGATACTTTTTACCATATTCTACCCGGAGTACGTGCTGTATGATAGCTACAGTAGTTCTTCAGGGAGACTTCAGGTTCTGTAATTATAAGCTACGCGTGAGCTCAGGGCCAGCGTAATCTTTGTTGTAATCGAGCCAGTATACTGAATGTGATGTGTGGAACTACATCTTGAAATAGTTTTGTTACTCGAATATGTTCTGATTATACCCTCATGATAGATTGTTGCCTCAGAGTAGACTGTGTAATCCCAACATACCAAGCTATCTTTTCCCTTTCCAATGATGTAGTAGCAGGTGCCTAGAGGAACTTGAAAAGTCAAGAAATAGGCTACTGCCTACTGTTTTTGTGGTGTTTTAAAAGGAATACTACTGTATTCCTTTTAAAACACCACAAATGCCTAGCTATAGTTGCTAACGCGCCTGCCAAACATAGCAACCACTAGCAAACCTTATAAGTGAGGCCTATTTTCAGCAATGGACTGTTAACAGCTGACATGAATTAATGAATAAGGCAGAGAAATCAAGATTTGCATGCAACCAACATGTGGTGGTATATTACTTGTATCAGACTGTATCTGTCTGTAGCAGGCACAGTGTTGCAACTAGAATATGCATTGTACACGTTGCTACATATTATGGCGTGTCTGCAGGGATTATAATAATAATAAAAAAAAAACCAGTAGCATTTTACAAGTCTCAACTGAAACGTGTCGTTTAGCCGTTTGTAGTACCAAACAGACCATACACCATGGCCTGATTTTAGTGTAATTGGCCACAACAAAATCTATTGTAGCTCTGTGTCAACAAATCATGCCAGTATCTATACTCATGTACTGACTTAGTACTAACTGTACAGTATGTTATGGATCCACACTATGAATAGTATTAAATTAATCAAAATACAATGTATCAATTAATATAAAAGTAAATAACTATGTATATATAACCAGCATCGCAATACCTGTTAGCACATAGTCGGGCTCGAGTGTCACCCGATCTATCAGTGAATGATACTCACTGCTCAAGTATACTGTCACCACGTTGAGCAGGCGGCTTGGTGTAGGGTTTCAACATGACATAATCAAAGAAACCATTTCACCTCGATATTATGTAAACTTCATGAAGAAAACATGCAAGTGTCCGCTCCTTTTTCGGTGTAAGGTTTTATTTCTAGTTTTCTTTCTCCTTCACTGGTGCATTGTACTTTGTTGTTGTGGACTGTTCTGACGACACTCGAAGATAAGTGGTGAGATTGTGTTTTTACTGTGTTACCCTGTGGAAAATTATAGAATAGTTGGGACCAATTATGAGTAACATCCCGAACTTTTGTATCATGGAGTTCTTTTTGTTTCGCTGTAATTATTTTTATTCGAATTGTAACGAACGCTTCACATATGGAATCCTCATGATTGGGCCCCAGCTCAGTATATATGTTATTATTAATAACATCGATAATACGTAATTGACGAGCAGTGGTCTTTGTAAAATTATCAATACTTGACTGATGTACTACCGCTACATCACTGTCGCTGCTAATCAAGCAAACGCCACCAACGATTGCCGATTGTTCTGCTAACACAGAACGACACACGAATTAGTCTAACAAAACTGTAAATATTGTAATATGTAGTTTGTTTGGAAGAGATTGCTTAGCGATAAGGCAGCCTTTTGTATCACTACGCATTAAAATTTTACTGTATTTTTTCTTTTTGTAACTGGTGCAATCAAGTGTAAAATAAATAATTAAATATACATACTTGTTTCAAAATAGGGTAAATTTATTGGAACAAGTAGGATTATTCTTGAAACATCTCCCTACTTATTTAGGCTGTACGATTTGGCTTCAACGGATCCATTCCATTGTATTTCGACTTGTTTTTCCAAAAACTATGTTTCATAAGGAGAAATAAAACATGGTTATTACGATATCGAAGTTTCTTCAAAGCCCTAGTTTTGTTTTACAAATTACTAAGTTTTATGTTAGTTAAGATAGTTTACAGCATTTAATTTTTATAAATGATTTATTTATTTGTGTAGAATCGTATATTTTTTGTAGTGGTTGCGGCGCGGCGGCGCGGCGGCACTGCACACGATGGACTGTAGACATAAATTTGTTGTATTCGTGAGCGCGCCGCATGCCTCATGTCTGATGCTTGACAATTGTAATAGGTTAAGTAGGTGGAGTTGATTAGTCGCCGGGACGCAGCAGAGGTTGCCTGCCTCCAGCCTGCAGTCGTAGCGGTGACGTTGTTGTGACGGCCGCGGTGTCGGCGGGGCGGCTCGGCCGCGCCCTCCGTTATGATCAAATAATGATCGGCTGAAATTCTATTAGGATCGATTTTTGATGAATATTTCCACTCTTTATATATAGTTCAGTATCACTGTTGATAACAGTTCAGTGTATGAGGTGTGTCACGATCAAAACTCTTAACCGGGGCAAAAGTATAGACATTTTTAGATTTTTTTTTATTTGCTTAAATTGTGCTCTTTCCGTTCATAAACTTTTCAAGTATCTACCGACATCTGATTAAGTCGAGATGCATACAATGTAAACAGTGACAATGACCTGTCACAATTAACTAATCATGGGCCTGAACGGTCATCAATAATAAAATGTATAAAAAGCTTTTATTTTAAATGGTTTAAACTTATTGTTAAATGCAAATAACAGTAAAATGTTTCCTTAGTATTTTTGCAGTCGGTCAAAAGCTTTTTTTTTTTCATATAATAATACTTTGCCTTAACCGGTCGAGAGTCTTGACTGCCACATATACACATATATATGTAATTATTAAAGATATACTAGACCGGGCGGCGCGACTGAGCGCGGACCACAATAGGATCTTGTTTAATTCAATATTAAAGTATTTTGTAATATTATATAATTTTATGACTTTTTCAAAACAACTGTGCGAAATCGCGTCGCGCGTTGAGTTTGTATAGACAAATTGTTTTGATTAGATATTAATTATTGATATAAATATATAAAATTATATTTGCCTTGGTTTCTTTTATTTTATAAATATTCTCCAGATACGCTTTACATACCATACAAGCAGTTAATTGGTACAGCCTGCTTTATAAACATGACCAATATGTTAGAAGTTTAAATTTTGCTTTAAACTATCGTGTCAATAAATATAGTACTAGTTAAAGTCACAAAGTTTTTTTTTGATGGGTGAAAATGGAATGGTAATCCCGCCTGCGCTAATGGGATACGCTGGCGGAGCACCAGTGAAGGGCAATTGATGAGAATGAAACAGGCCAGTTAGTCCATCATGTTGAATTCATCAGGAATTAAGCATGATAGTTTCCAGGGAGAACTGTGAGGAGGTCGACCTGGTTGGGTATATTGCTAGCAATGGGATTCTCAGTCTCCATTACTAATAATCCCTTTCTCCCCCACAAGGTTATTAAATTTTGTTCTCTATATTGACAATTGTCATGTCCGCTGATATTATAAAGAGGAAGGATTTGATTTTTTTGTATGTAATGGATAAGCTCAAAACTACTTAACCAATCATAAAAACTTTAATTTGTACAGAACTACATTATATCAGTGAGTAACATACATTGGAATATTATTGTCATAGCAGCGGAAGGAGCCGCTAATAATTATTAAGTGTATTGAAATAAAAATAATTATCTAATTAATTTATTTATATTTATGCGAAGGACACTTCCTCACACTCATCTAACTTTTTTAGCAATAATACACATATTTTCCAGCGACACCGAGGTGGGCACGTAATAACAAAGACGAGCGTCGAATCCCTTCTCCTCGAGGTAGAGCACGCGGCCCCAGTCCAGCAGCGCCTTCGTCCGCCGGCCCACGCGCTCGCGCCACTCCTGACTTAACTTCTGTTCTTTTACTTCTATACTGTCCTGAGTGTTAGTGTTGCTGTGCGCGTCGTCACGGCGGCCGCCGCGCGAGTCGCGGCTGCGCCCGTCGCCGCACGTCGCCCACGACACGATGCCCAGCATTATGTCCAGATCGGCATCGTTTACTCCCAACTCCTACCAAGATAAGCTCATTTTAATTCATTGATTGCCGGTCAAGTTTATAAATTAAATTTTAAATAATTTCAAAAGATTCACTGTCGAGTTTCCTGCAGGGTCTTCTAGGCCGAACATTTCGAACCTGGTAATAGAATCGTAACAATATTACCGAAACAGTTGAGCACGCGCAAAGAATGTATTTTTATCGCAAGGTTATTCCTGAGGTTTTTTTTTTAATAGATAAAAATGGAATGTAACTCCGCCTGCGCTAACAGTATAAATTGGTGGGGTACGAGTGAGGGATGATATGTGAGGATGAAAGCGGGTCAAGTGGCCTAGAGTGACGAATTCATAAAAACAATTAAGATGGTTTCCAGGGGGAGTCGCGTGGAGGTCGACCTGATAAGGTATATTGCTAGCAATGAGGCCTCTAGTCCCATTACTGATAATCCCTTTCCCCTTGAATTCCTGAGAGTTGAGATATTTCCGTAGCCTGTAATTCCAGCATGATATCGTTATCCATGTCGCGTGGCCCGCCGGCGAGCAGCTGCAGTCGGCAGCAGACAATGAAGTTGGCGAGGGAGCACTGACCGCGAGGTGCGCGCGCGCCACGTACGAGGCGCGGTGCGCGCGGTGGTGGCAGCACGCCGCCACCACCAGCCCGCGCCGCCGCCCGCCGTCACCACCACCACCACCACCACCAGCACCACCAGCACCAGCACCAGCACCGCCAGCCTCGCGCTCGCACTCCTCGTCCTCGTTCACCACGCACCGCAGGGCATAGTCTAAGGACATAGGGTATTACAGTAATATAACGTCGAAAATAAATTAAATTAAAAAGTAAACAACGACCGCTCGTTTGCAACTGTGACCGCCGGTATGAACTACTAAACTACTGAAAAAAAAAATCGTAAATTACATATTATATCACTCTACTGTTGTATGTAACTTCGTTTCAAATCAGTCTGTCATTGTAGGAGTTACGAGGTAACAGACATAAAAAAAATATATACAACTGAATTGAGAACCTCCTTGTAGTGGGTTGATAATGATAGTAGTTGTCCTAGCACGATCCGATCCCTAAAAAGGGAGATCGCTCAGATCCAGCTAACTATAGGCCCATAGCTATCACTTCCTTATTCTCGAAGGTTATGGAATCCATCATTAACCGTCAACTGCTCCGGTACCTAGAAGAGCACCAGCTGATCTGTGATCGCCAGTACGGCTTTCGACAGGGACGTTCGGCCGGTGATCTTTTAGCTTACTTAACACACCGATGGGCAGTGGCAATCGAGAGTAAGGGAGAGGCCTTAGCAGTTAGTCTGGATATTGCGAAGGCCTTTGATCGGGTGTGGCATAGAGCGCTGCTTTCAAAGCTACCTTCATTTGGGTTGCCTGCGAGACTGTGCATTTGGGTCGCCAGTTTTCTCAAGGAACGTAGCATTAAGGTCGTAGTCGACGGTGCATGCTCTGATTTAAAACCTTTGAATGCTGGTGTCCCGCAAGGCTGTGTACTATCTCCGACTCTGTTTCTTCTGCATATCAATGATATGTTACAGATAAGTAATATTCATTGCTATGCGGACGACAGTACAGGAGATACATTATATACCGGTCATGCAAAGATCTCGCGGGCACATACCGATGAGTGCCGGAATAGACTTGTGTCTGAAATCGAAACTTCACTCCATCAAGTTTCGATCTGGGGTGAACAAAATCTTGTCCAATTTAACCCCAAAAAGACACAAGTCTGCGCGTTTACCGCAAAAAAGACGCCGTTTGTCGTATCTCCTCACTTTCAGGGCACTTCCCTCGATAAAAAGTCAAGTCTAGGAATTCTGGGCGTTGATATATCTTGCGACGTCCAGTTTTGCGGTCATCTGGAGGAGAAGGCTAAGATAGCTTCCAAAAAGTTAGGAGTGCTCAATAGGGTGAGACGATATTTCATGCCAGAACACCGCCTGAAATTATATAAAGCCCAAGTCAGGCCGCATATGGAATACTGTTCTCACCTGTGGGCAGGAGCGCCACAGTACCAACTCCTTCCGTTAGACCGCATTCAAAGTCGGGCGGCTCGAATTATCGATAGTCAACGCCTTACTGTCCGACTTGACCCATTGAAACTGCGCAGAGATGTTGCATCTCTGTGCATCTTCTACCGAATTTATCATGGGGAGTGTTCTGAGGAATTGTTCGGATTGATACCTGCTGCTGATTTTCACCACCGTACAACCCGCCACAAACTAAAGTTTCATCCCAATCATCTGGACGAGTGGCGGTCTTCCACCGTGCGTTTTTCAAGGCACTTTCTTCCACGCACAACCATTCTTTGGAATCAACTTCCAGCAGCAGTATTTCCGAACCGATACGACAACATAACCTTCAAGAAAAGAGTATATTCCTTTTTAAAAGGCCGGCAGCACACCTGCAATGCCGCTGGTGTTGTGGGTGATCATGGGCGGCGGTAGTCACTTACCATCAGGTGAGCCGCATGCTCGTTTGCCCCCTGTGTTGTAAAAAAAAAAAAAAAAAACGTCACATATCACTGGGGCCCGATAATAGATTTACAGTTCCTAAAGTTAAGAGAAAGCGGTGAGAGTGTAGTGTAGTGTAGTGTAGTGCAGTGCAGTGGAGGCAGTACCGGTGGCGGCGCCGCACAGGTGCTTGGCGAGCGCCACGAGGCGGGTGGCGTGTGCGGCCAGCGGCGCGTGGCGCAGCGCCACGTGCGCCAGGTCGGCGCGCAGCCGCCGCGCCGCCGCCGCCGCCGCCGCCGCCGCCGGTCGCGCAGCCAGCCGCGCCGCCAGCCGCCCGTCGCGCTTGTGGCGCAGCGCCGCGCGGTCTACCAGCAGCACCCGCGCCCCGCGCCACGCCGCCGCCACGTACTCCGACAGCCGCCCTGCACCAGTCTCAACTATATACATTGCTAATGCGAAGCAGACAAAATATCATAACCTATCTGTTAGAGCGAGATAGATAATCGAACAATAATTTGCACTATATATGTTCGAAGCTGACTTGGCGGGAATGTAAACAAATTGATTTCTAATTACTTTCACGTTTTGAAGTGGAACTAGTTTTAAGTTAATGTAACCTGTTAGAATTAAGTGTGATGCACCTAAATATAACATCAATCGGGAAAATAAACCACAAAATTGCACATTGTTCATGTAATTACGTTGCACACATATACACATGCATTGTATATACATTTTTAAGTGACTAAAAGTCACCAAGTGACAATGATTCCCAAAATCACCTTTGCCAGCTCCCAGCTCTACATAACAAGTTTGGTCCCCTGCTAGACCCTCTTCCTCGACGATCCACAGCAGGCTGGAGACCTGCCGGAGATGCCGCCGCGAGCTCTCTGTGCGATTACTTTCGTTAAAGTCCGCCTGCACCGCTGCGTGGATCGGATGTTCCGGAAAAGTTGCTATGTTATCTTGCACATACTCTGTTGCAAATGGAAACATTAAATTAATTTTAGTTAATAATTCGCTACAATCTTAATACATACTTAAGAAATCAAAATTTGTTCAATAAGCAGATTACAGATCTATTTCCATTTCACCTTCATCAGATAGAGATATCTATATTAATATAAAAAAGTAAAAAATGATTTTTGCTAATGTATACATTTACCGATTAGATTTGAATTTTATTTTTGTATTTGAGTACTATTCATTACTTAAATCAATATTACAATATGGCTATGAGTATAATTATTATACAGCTAGTTAATATACATTAAAGCCCAAAAACTGTGTGGTAACTGCAACTCCAAAATCTATCAACTCCATTGCTGATTATACTTATCTTTTATATATAATTAAATAACCGACAACAAAGTGCCAATGCCAATAGCTTATATCCATATCATCATCATTTTAGCCATTATCAGTCCACTGCTGGACATAGCCCTCCATATAGAGATATAGAATTTTGATTGTTGCTTGCAAGACTTAGTGACTATGGCTTTTCCTTCACTGTAAGGTACGTAGCCTATTGTAAAAAAGCAGCAGTCTAAGCTAATAGCATTAATTGTTGTTAACTACCTACTTTCATACAACAGATTGACTTTATCAATAAGCTGCATGAGATCTTCCCTTGATACTTCAGCGAGGGGTTTCCTGGGGCCTGCATCACCCTCCAGAGGTGCATTGATGTTTG